AGTCCTCTTGTCACCACCACGAAAGGCCAACGTGGGAACAACACAGGCCTGGAACCCGACGAGGACGAGGAACGACCGGATCTCTTCTTCCACCACCACCCCAGAGATCATGCTTTATTCCAGATTTCCAGATAGAGGTGCCGCCTTGACGGGCAAGAATCAAAGGAGACTTTCCTGGCTGAATGAGGCATGGGGCATGGGGCATGGGCTCCCCAGCACCACGAACCAGAGAGCTTTAGGTTGCGCACTCTATGTCACCGGCTGGATCAATCGACGGACGAAGCTTTGCCCAGTGACAGCGTCTACGAATATACTACGCACATGAGCGACCGAGCGATTGCGGGAGAGAGAAGGGAAGGGGACATAGAGAGAAATTGGTGACAGCAGGATTGTTGAACTGGTCGCCATTACCAGGACAGCAGGACAGTAGACACATGCAAAGTGACAGTTCTCGGCGGGAGGACAACAAATTGTCCGTTCAGACCAAAAACTTCCCGATATGGCGATCATTTGCGCAGAAATCGAGGACGTGCATAGAAAATAGTCTTTCAACCTGATTATTGTATTATGTCCTCCACTGCCCTATGAGATCGTGCAGAGGGTGGCTAGGCCTGAACAACATGAAAGCAGGAGAGGTCAACTTCCAGCAAAGGTATAGCACAACGGGTTCAGATGTGCAAATCAGATTAATCTGGAAAAGACGCTTTTGTTGGGTGTTTTCGTTCCCATTCATCCAATCATCTGACAAGACATTATTGTTTTATGTTTTAATATACCCATGATACACACTTTTGGCCCAGCAAGCGATGCATCAAGTCAAAAATTGTGCGAAGGCGATAGATGGCCTGGTCGGTATGGCACTCTACCCTCCAGGCGTTGATGCAGAGGAACCTCTCGGTCCGCGCCACGATAGCCTCCCTGACCACCTTGCGGCTGCGCAGGAGTGGGATTTTGTCCAGGCAACTCATAGGACTCCTGCGCCGATGGTGCTGACGGCGCTGATGGGGCCGAAGGTGCTGAGGGCTGTCCGGACCAATATCCATCGTGACCCATGTTGGCGTGTTGGTAGCTTTGGTGTGACATGGGGTTGGAGACTTGGTCATCTGGCAGTTGGTGAATATTTCTCTGGTCTTCAGGGAGTTCATTGAGATTCGTAAAGTACGCAGCTCCAGGCACATTCGGACCGGGAGGGTATGGGCCGCCCGGTTGAGGTTGATTGTTCCCTTGTGAATACTCGCTCTGGTCTGAGACAGACATGTGGGTAGGGTCTTGGTTGGGTGGCGGCGAGCTAGAACCTCGATACCGGAAAGGTACTACCCCGGGCGGAAGAAGTCGGTCTGGAGAACGGGGTGGCGGAGAAGGAGCTGGAGGAGATGGTAGCTCTGAACGCGTGTCGGAGCGGTTGGAGGTGTCACGGTAACCCGAAGACATTGCGGCCATAGCTCCCATCCCTGCAGTTCCGCCTCCTGCTATGCCGAGCCCTGTCATGCTAGGTAAGGTACCATCTGAATACCTGTCATGAGAGTAGGAATTTCGTTTCCTCCGTCGCCTCATGTACCAACTGTACCAGCCGCCAAAGATAGCGGCTGCTAGCACAAGAACACCGACACCAGCCCCTATGCCAGCTTTGGCACCTGTTGATAAGCCTGACCCGCCGCCCCCACCGTTGTTCGCTGGAAGGAGGGTTGGGGCGCTGCTGCCGGGAGTGCTTGTAAAAGTTGCTGGTGCGACGAGGGTGGTGGCAGGATTGGTCACTATCACGACGGATGTGAGGGTGGTGTAGCCTGGTTGGCCATCTTGGGTAGTCGGAAGGACTTGAGTAACATACGACGTGGAAGTCGAATAGGAAATTGAGGTGCTGGAGGTGGTTATAACGACTGGCGGTTCAGTTGTGCTTGATTCGGACGAAGTACTAGAGGTTGACGGTGTGGTCGTGGACGATTCTGAGGTTGTTGAGGGAGTGGTCGATATAGAGGATGAAGTGGTGGATGGAGGTGGAGTTGTAGTGGTTGTCGAGATAGTGGTGCTTGTGGTTGTTGGAGAGGGAGAAGAGGAAGTTGTGGCTAGTATAGCACCCAAGATTAGGAAGAGATCTCTCAAGTAATATGCTAATAGACACGATGGTTGACGATACGAAACAAACAAGCAAACAAAGACTCACTAGTAGTACTTGGAATTTCAGAAGTGGTAGTCGTAGTGCTGGGGGAGGGAGAAGGCGTCGTTGACGACGTCGTTGGAGGTGGAGAGGAAGAGGTTGTGGTAGGGGAAGAGGTGCTGGGGATAGAAGAGGTAGCTATGGTTGAGGAGGAGGTATAAGCGGACGTCGAGGAGCCAGAGGAAGTGGATACTAGGAGAGAAGAAGAGGGGATATCACTTGAGGTAGTAGAAGTGCTAGTAAAAGATGTAGAGGAGGGGACGCTTGAGGTACTGCTGCTAAACTCTGTAGAAGGGGAAATACTTGTGCTGCTGCTGCTGCTGTCGCTGCTGGTGCTGGTTGACGACGGGGAGGGGGTAATACTTGACGTGCTGCTACTTGTGGAAATGGTGGTTGAAGTAGAGCTGCTTGTTGGAGGCAGCGTGGAAGTAGTGGAAGAATCTGTACTGGTTGGGATAGTGGAGGTGGATGACGACGATGTGAAGCTTGTGGTAGCTGCCACGAAGCAAATGTTACAAAAAAGCAAATCCGCAAGCGCGATAGATGCGAGGCTGAAGCGGGGGGAAGATCAAACAAGTGCAAAATGGCACTCATCAACTTACTGGGGGTGGTTGTAGTAAAAGAGGTAGTAGGGGAGGTCTCACTTGAAGATGTCGTCGTCGTCGACGTAGTAGGGTCTGTTGTCGTCGACACAGTCGTCGAATCTGTCGTTGAAGTAGTGGTGTCGGTGGAAATGGTACTCGTCACATCGCTCGTGGTAGAGCTCACATCAGTCGAGTCGGTGGTGCTGGCCATGGCTGCACAAGGCACCGGTTGCGCCGCAGGATGTGCGCTGCGACGACAATGATATCGTCAGGTCGGCAGGCGGGGTAACCTGCTGTAAGGATAAGGCTGACGGAGCAAAAAGAAAGAAGAGGAAAAACCCTGAGACAGAGAGCGGGACGGCGAGGTCTTGAAGCATCAAACCAAGAAATCCACCGGGGCAGGGTCTCAGTATCGGTTGGCGGCTAGAACATTTGAAGACGAAGGGCCAAAGAGGTGTGAGAGTATCTGCAACGATCACGCCCGACAGCACTTGTAGTTGGTAGCCCTACCAGGGAAAGCGGGGTTCTTTTTTCAGCTCCCCATCGCAAGATACGAGACTATTGGGGCCGAGGAGGGTGTGATTCCGAGGATGGAGTGCCTGGAGCTGGCTGTTTGCACGGCTTATGGCCGCATGTATTAGTGGCCGAGATGCACGCAGGCAAGAACAAGCAAAACCGTCGGCAAGGCGTGGTTGTTCGCAACCAATGGGACGGTGACGGAATGGAGGGATGGCGTAGTAAATGCCCGAAACGGGCCAGTCTAAGGCTCATTGCGTTGACCTTGCAAAGAAGGCAGAGGCGAAAGCTTCGAGTCAGAAGGGACCCAGTACGAGCACATTAAGCGAGCCATGCGGGCCGTCAAACAGCTGCGATTGCTCGGGAGGACGGGTGCGATACGAGATCCTGTGATGGATCATGACGAGCTTGTTCAGCCCAGGGTCAGTCGCATGGAACAGTTGAAGGGGTCCCGTGAGCTGGATAATGGAGGAGGCTGGGGCGATTGAGGCTCTCAGGCAGCCAGGGACGAGGCACTGATGGGGAAACAAGAATGAATAACCTTGCAGCTGCAAGGGGAAGATGAGTTTGGAGAAGAGGAAGAATGAGCAGATCGGCAGAACAGGAGCGGATACAGTAAGCGAGAAGAGTGGAGGAAGACGGCACAATAGCGGAAGGAAGGAGAAAGGAAGAAAGAGAAGAGAGAATCTTTTCCTCGTGCGTCTGAGACAATCACGTGGTGATGCGAGGACACAATAACTTGGCAGGTGCCAGGCTGGTGGCTGCCTAGCACGAACTTGTCCCAGGACAGTAGGTACTCGATACTACCCACCAAGACCAGTGCCTACCTGGCAGCCTGGGTACCACTAGTGAATGCTATTATTACCTACAAATACTACCTAAGCGTGTTTGGTCTATACCGAGTACCTACCTAGTTACCTAGCACCTACTGTATCCTGCTGGTCGAGTATACAGTGTACTTGTACGTAGTGCCCGCTATCGCTATCGATAAGCCCCAGTCTCTCACCTTTCCCGCCTCGTACCCTCGTACCTTCGTACTAATAACGCTACTATACCAAGTACTCCCCGTTAGGTATTAGGTACCTACAATAGCACTAGGTACCTACAATAGCACTAGGTACCTACAATAGCACTAGGTACCTAGGGCTACCAGCGTTACCCTCCCTATACCCATCTTCTCTAGGTACACGTTATGTCTATCCCATGCCTATGTAATAATGCTCACTGCATCCCTCACCACTTCCACCTCAACTTGTCCTCCCTTTCCCTGGAGAATCCCAATGCCATCGGCGACCTCCGAGGACTAGGAATCACATTCTCCTTCCCATGATCCCTTCACGTGGCACCATTGAATCCACACGAGGTTGCTGTCTCCGACGTCATGTTGACTCATAAACCAATCGTCCAGAACGAGCCACGCAGAAACTGTGTGTCCAGCTTACCAAACAAATGCCCAACAACCAACATCTGCAACTTTTCCCCTCCCAATCAGTCTTCACCGAAACTCGCACAACGCTTCCAAATAGTATTTCGTAGGTCGGACCATGATCTAGGTCAATTCTGGTTTCACGCACGTCTACTTCTCCTCTTCTTAAGTGTTTGCTCTCCCTCGACTACGAGATCGACATAAACTACAGTTCACAACCACACTTACTACACCCCATCCAATTCATGATCTTAGCCTTTCGCCGTTCAAGAACTTTCATCTTGCCCATCTCTCCCCGTCTCAATCAGGCTGCTCTATAATGCCAGCAGCCCAGGAATCCAGCGGGGCGACTCCCGTCGTCTGTGTCTTGTGCGTCTAGAAACACGATCTCCCTATGTGTGAAGCTCCTAGCAGGGTGACTGACAGATTTCTTCAAGCTGTGCTTCTTCTCCAGGAAAAGACCCCGTCCATCTCACGTCCGCACGAGAACTGGGGCAATCTCTTCATGAGGCCGGCTACCAGCTCATCTATGGCGGAGGGACCATGGGCATAATGGGCGAATTGGCCAAAACGCTCGTCTCCCTCTCCGGTCCCAGTTCAGTACACGGTATCATCCCCAGAGCATTGATCCGCTCAGAAAAGGATCCTTCTGTGCGCAGCGAGACCAGTCGCTTCGGAATGAGAAAGGCAGAGCGCACCATGTCCACGGAGGAATTACAACGCATCGACAGTACCGAAGATCCGGATAAACAAATTGTGCCCGAGTCCGAGTTTGGGAGAACCACCATCGTCCCGGACATGCACACTCGAAAACGGATGATGGCAAATTTCGTGCAAGCCGGTGCGCCCGGCTCAGGGTTTGTGGCACTGGCCGGAGGATATGGGACCATGGAGGAGGTCATGGAGATGGTTACATGGAATCAGTTGGGCATCCATCAGATCCCCATCATTCTCGTCAATATCAACGGTTACTGGAACGGCTTGTTGGACTGGGTCAAGACGGCGATAAGAGAAGGGTTCGTGGGAGAGGGCGCTGCTAATATCTTGGTCGAGGTCCACAGCACGGATCAGGTCATCGAAGCCTTGCGTGGTTATCAGGTTGCACCTGGCAGGTATAAGCTGGATTGGTCATAGATGGGAAAATAGAGCACAGTGAAATTCTTCGATTCCACCCATTCTGCCCGGCCATTTCCTCGAGACGGTCTCGCATTGCCTTGTAGCAGCCTGCTACGCCAAACGCCGTGCAATATGCGTTCCCATCACTTGTTTTCCTACGAATCTGTTTCCATTGCGTCTCCGCCTTCAGTTGCCGTCGTCTCCACGCTTGCTTCAAGCAACGGCCCAACGTCCTGTCCGTCATAGAGCTTGAAGGCCTCCAGCTTCTTCCTACCATCTTTCTCGCCGATACCGATCACCGCCAAACTAGTGTTGTCCACTGTGAGCTCCTTGTCTTGAGCCAAAGACTCTTTCAATGCGAGCAACGCATGTTTGATCAATTCTTCACGGCCGCAGTCCGCAAACTTATCCAAGTGTCTCTCCAGGTACGTTCGAGCCATCTGACTCCTCGCTCCAATCGCACAAGCCAGCATCTCCTGCGTCATCCCTGACGGAGAGAACTCGAACAGGTGGGGGCCCAGCTCATCGACACCCGCAACCAACAGTCCCACGCCGTAGGGTCTCTTGCCATAGTGTTGCGTGTTGGTCTGAGCTCTGTCCCCAATCATATTCACAATGCGCTCGACGGGTATCGGACGGCCGTAGGTCATTTTTGAGGCGAGTGACTGTTGTTTCATGAAATTGGAAAGGACACGGGCGTCTGAAGCGAGACCGGCAAGGGCAACTCCTAGGTGGTCATCGACACCGACTATCTTTTTCTGGTACGAGGACAGTTCTTCGGCATTTCTCTATAGCCATTGTAAGCGGTGGGCGTCTTGAGAACGAAGCTGTTTTGGATGCGGACCTTCAGAGCAGTGAGAACCACGTGCTTCTTACTGACGACCCCGACAACTACCGATCCCTGCTTGACGGCCTCTTGAGCATACTCGACCTGGAATATCCGGCCTTGAGGTGAACTGGAAATGAATCAGTATCTAAGGGTGTGGAGGGTGGTCAATAAGGAGTCTTACAAGGTGACGGAGTCGTTGTCATAGTTATTTCTAAACATCTTGATTGCACGTTAAGTAGATGAAAAGGACCGGAGCATAAACAGCAAAGGAGAGATCGGGTAGTGGGTGGTGGGTGTTGGAATTTAGAATAAAATCAATGAAGCCAGGCACTTGCAGACGCGCAAACTCCAGGTTCTCGCGATCGACTGCGGAGGAGCTTCGGCGCCCAGCCACAGGTTCCTTCGAAACATCCCTCACAAGTCGGCCGACCTTTCAACCACCGAACCAACAACCCATTTCTTTCATGAAACCCAATATACGACTCTTGCGATAACACTATTCAGCCCACTCTCGCTTCGCTCCGCCTCTTCTATCCTTCCGATCACTTGAACCCCAAGTCGCAGCGCTTGTAGTTGCGCAGGCATCAAGAAAACCAGATATAGCCTTCTACTCGATCTTGCTTTCCCCATGATCATGACGGCAGGGTTGAAAACGATTATTGCTCTCTCCTTTGTACGCCGCATGAGCTAGCATGATCCTATCCAAGGCGCGCGCAACTAACAAGGAGCCAGGTACTTGCCATCGGATTCCTCCTCGTCATCCTCTCCGCTGCGCTGTTCCATAACTTCCTCACCCTCCTCGTCGTCGCAACTTATGTGTTAGCGCCCTTGCCGAACTGGGTGGCAGGACGATGTGCCAATGCAGACGACTTTATTGAGAGCAATTCCGGCGCCTGGATAGATCTGGGTCGCTTTGCCACAGGATTCCTCGTCCTGATGGGTATCGGTACGTTTACACAGCCGGAGGATATTGAGCGAGTACACTGACCAACACCCCTCGACAGCCTTGCCGATCCTGCTCGCTCATTCTGCTCTCATTCAGATTCCGGCCATGGTTATGTCAATTGTGGGTGGTCTGCTGATATACGGCACCATCATCAGCTTCACCCAATTTTTCAAGGAGGAGCAAGACTTTTAAAAAGCGCAACGCAAACGCGGACTTTTGAGGATCTGGATGCATCTGCTAGGCGTCATGAATCTGGTTGGTCTAACAGATATTGCTCCGCAATGTTGGACGAAAACATACGAGGTCGAAGTTGTTCTACGCTACGGATCACGCAAGCGAATTCTGGTATATTTGTATCAATGACTAGCTGTGGCTCGCCCACAAGGCTATTCCTAATGGGATTTACTGGTTATGCTATTCTTTCCTCCTCCGAGAAGTGGCCTGCACGATGTTCATGTGTCAATTGAGGATCAGGATCGAGCCCATGAGTTGCCGCGCATGTATTCACCTCGTGCCCCTTCCATGTATCTCTGCAGCCTGCGGTCTTGAACTAAACTTCAGGCTCCATATTACTCCCGTCGTCAGCCATCGTCGTGCACTATCCGACTCGTAACTATTCTCGAACTAAGTCCAGACGTTCACGGGGTAGCTGGCGCTTACGAGTGTAGGGTGACGGGGCCGACCAGCTCTAGCACAAGGCTGCAACGAGCTCGGTGGAAAAAGTTTCCGAGTGGTTGATGCTTCTCGGCATCCACCCAGCCGTGCCAGCCTGCGAATTACGATCATCGGCGGCCTTGCGACGTTCAGATTCCCAGCTTTCGTCCGGACCAGGACATCTACCCTTCATTGCGTCCCTGCGAACAATTAGCGTCTACGAGAACGATATACGGTTTACCCCATCGCACGGTCTCTACCTGTCGAAACCTCCTCTGCTTACACCATGTCGACCTCACAGCGTCTGTTCCGCTTTTCGAAGCCTGCCTGGCTGAACAGCGCCAACACCAGAACCGCTGGTGTCTACATTGCCGGCGCTCTCGTATGTCTCGCTATACCTCTTGATTTTTGTCCCGTTGACCCCGAGGAACCTCACTAATAGAAAACTACCGAACTTCCAGTTCTCTCTCGGCTTCTTCTTCTTCGTGGATGCCAGCGTCTTCTCCAAGTCTCCCCTCAACGGTAGCCACGTGCACATCAACTTTGTCGACTGGATCCCCCTGATCTGTTCGGCGCTGGGCATGCTCGTGATCAACTCGATCGAGAAATCCCGCCTGTCCGCGGACAGCTGGTCGTACAGCGGGAACGGGGTGGCCTGGAAAGCGCGCACCGTCTTGTTTCTAGGCTTTGCGCTCATGGCCGGCGGCCTGGCCGGGAGTGTCACGGTCATGGTGCTCAAGTACCTTTTCAAGGACTATGCCTTGCAGACGGTGTACATGGGAGTGGCCAATGTGGTGGCCAATGGGTTGGTCATGCTGAGCTCGGTGGTTCTTTGGGTCAGTCAGAATATGGAGGATGATTATACATATACACTGCAGCTGTGAGACCTGCTATGCTGGCGCGAGGGAGAAGAACAGGGTGCTATAGCGCTGTTTCTCACACGGGGTGTGTATGCGCGCTATCGGAAAACTACAGGCACACATGCTAAGGCTAAGAGGCATATGAAGGCAAGCCACGGCAGTGCAGTGCAGCTCTCAAAGGCGCACACAGTATCATTTCAGCGGCAACGAGGCGTATCCACAGCACGGCGGTCACGGGTCAACGTCTGTACTTGTATTGATCAAAATGAAACATTTCATTCGTTATATTTCTGTCGGCTCTGGCCCGGAAGAAGCTTGTGGCGACTATCTCCCAGGCTTGAAAACACCATTCGAATGCACATGTGTGCGTCCTTCTCAAGTTCGCTGTGATCAAGCAGCCGCCTGATCTTCCCGTGGTACTAAGCTGGACTGAGATCCCTTTTTATGGAATGGCGTGAGGCCAGGGATGCTCTGCTCTTGCTGGCCCAGTTGTCACAAGGGGGGCAAACATCTCTTGCTGCCCAGCATATTTGGTCTTTCGATCCCCTTCTATCGGAATGGTATATTGCCACTCCGGGATTTCGTTCGGCTCGTCTCTCAATTTTTTTTTCTCCTTGACCTCCCTCAGCTCACTCCCTTTCTCTGAGCTTGCCCATAATGGCATCAATCACGTCCATATCTGCCGCAGAGACCTGATCAGGACCGACGATATCCTTTGGCAACCGCTTTACCGCCTCGTTCATGGCAGGCTGGTAATTCCGGATGCCCGAACTCAGGGCGTAGACGGCTTTTCTTCGCACGGCCTTGTCCGCGTCATCGAGGGAAACCTGGACAAGCCGCTCAATGCCGTTGAGGGCTAAGAGTCGCTCCTGGGCTTTGACGTTGTTCTGGACTGCCGTGCCGATGCACCAGGCCGCCATGCGTCTCAAGTCTGCCGAATGGCTCTCAAGTTGCGCCAGCAGCGGCGACCAAAGTCCCAGTGGCTCCATGTTGTTGGCGTTGTCTATGCTTTCGACCAGTTGTTCGAGGTTGTCGAAGGCGGTCATTTTGGCGTCGTGGGTGACTTCCGGGTCGGAGGATCCGATGATGGCCATGGCTTCTCGCATCAAGTCGGCGTCGCTCGGACCGCCCATCAGTGAGCGCAGCACATCAGCCGACAGGCCTCTGGGTTCCCTGACGGGCTGATCGGGGTTTCGACCAGTCTCGGAGTTCTCGATACTCCATTGTAGTAGAGAGTTTAGTCCTGGTTCCATGATGGGCAATCAGGTAGGTATGTTACAATTTCTCCAAAAAGGGCAAAAATTGGTCTGTCTAATAGTGTCCAAAGTATTGTATTCGCTCAGAGGATATGATCTGAATGAGAATTCTCTTGTAAACGTCTGAAGGGATTGCTGTGGTTGCTCTTCAAGGTCTTCTTATGAGGTTAGGAGACGGGACGCCTGGCCAATAAAAATCCAGAATCTTCCAGAAGCCACCAGGGCCTTGCTGCACCTTCGAGCCTCTCTGGATCCTAGTTGACTGGGACAACGAGCTCAAGAACAATCAATATGACATTGTATCGTATTGAGAGCAATTTCCGATTCTATGAGTACCTCCATCCCAGGCAGCAGAGTAATTAAGCCAGGATCTCTGTAAGTCCCAAATATGAGGTGGCCGTTTGGTGCCGTCAGTTCGATTAAGAGCGATGACTAAGCGCCTGTTCTGCAAATGGCGTTGGTGGCTGTGCCACTGATACGCTGGGCAATTGTTCTTCCGCATTCCGGGCTCTGGCTACCCCGCGATTTGTGGCTGGGAGGCTTGAACTGCCCACGCACACAAACTCCAAAAAAATTCCACGGAGAGAAATACCTGGTGCCTGTTGGTGGTTAGCAAAACAATGTGGGTGGGCAACTACCCCCCCCAAGAAACCAGAGGACGAGTCTTCAGCACCCTTTCACACTTCGCTAAGTCTTACTACAGAGTCGTCAAGACACGGTGAGCAACAAAAAGCGACTAATACGGCTGAGGTCCATCGATAGTGGGGCAGAAAAGTCATTATCTCCCCATGTGCCTTCGTCCATACCGAATACTACTGGTAGTATCGAGAAGCGCAAGGAAAGTGTTGGATCCGTCATCATCAGCCGCACTTTGGCACCAGCAACTCCCCCAAGGGCCAAAACACGGCCCGGGCTGGGAGGTTTAAAGCCCCATTTCTACATTATTAGGGAGGTTGATCAGGCCAGCCTTGGGCGGGAATTGTAGTTGCCTGTTGCTTGGGGACCCGGTGACGAGGCTCATCCGTACTTTGAAGAAGCCATATTGCGCGGCCATACCGCCACGCGTGGAGAAAATCGTATGAGCTTGAAAATCTTGGTACATACTAGTTGCCAGTAGTCGGTGGCCCATACAAGTAGTCGTCGCTAATAAAGAAAGAAACGGAAAGGCGCCTCCCATCTCCATCTCTCTACCTAAGATTTTATTGCAGGAGGCGGTCGACCCCAGCCCATCCACGCGTATTCGCCTTCCACTCCCAAAGGTATTTGAGGCTGAGCGCCGCACCTTTCCCTGCAATCCAGAACCAATACTGATACATAATCCAAGTCTTACGACTAGCATCACAGGCATCATTCATCACTCTTAGCCGCACCAAGTGTGGCCATCCCTGCCATCGTTTCCCTCACCGAAAGCTCGAATCGCTCCTCAGACTTGACCCCATCCGGTCTTGGCGCCTCGTAGCTGCCCGATTTAGCCCACCGCCCAAACCAAACCACCGCTACTTCTGCTCCTCCATCTTACCCTCCTCAGCTTCTTGTCTCCATCCTCAATCCCCTTCTATCTATCCAATCTCCTTGCTCGTCTTCTCGAAGGTCTTTTTTCACCTTCGACATCTCGAGTCCTTTCACATTTCTCTCCCATTCTCCCATTCTCGCCGTTGTCGACCACCCCTCACCTCGTCCTTCACTAATCCGTCACAATGGAAGGTAAGCCAAATTCCAACTCTAGTGCAATTGCTTCTTGAACACAGTTCTCATCCCGGATCCAATACTGATATGGCTTTCACTCAACAGAAGAAGTTGCTGCGCTCGTCATTGACAATGGGTAAGCACCCCTATCCTCGGCCGGATTTTCCTGCCTGCGCCCACCCACAATCTCGCTCTGGACACGCGAGCTTCAATTGCGGGTGACCCGGAAGAGGAGGATATTAGCGCCAACTGTGACCACAATATTGACAATGACTGCTCCAGCTCTGGTATGTGCAAAGCTGGCTTTGCCGGTGACGATGCGCCTCGAGCTGTCTTCCGTAAGTGTTCCATGCCCCGCATTGAACCGAGAACATCTGAAACTCACACACGGTGACAGCGTCCATTGTCGGTCGACCTCGTCACCATGGTATCATGATCGGTATGGGTCAAAAAGACTCATATGTCGGCGACGAGGCCCAGTCCAAGCGTGGTATTTTGACTCTGCGATACCCCATCGAACACGGTGTTGTGACAAACTGGGACGACATGGAAAAGATTTGGCATCACACTTTCTACAACGAACTCCGTGTTGCCCCTGAAGAGCACCCCGTGCTCTTGACCGAAGCCCCCATCAACCCCAAATCCAACAGAGAGAAGATGACGCAGATCGTCTTTGAGACCTTCAACGCCCCTGCCTTTTACGTTTCTATTCAGGCTGTGCTCTCTCTGTACGCTTCTGGTCGCACAACTGGTATTGTGTTGGACTCTGGCGATGGTGTCACCCACGTTGTCCCCATCTACGAAGGGTTTGCCCTTCCTCACGCCATCTCCCGTGTCGATATGGCTGGTCGTGATTTGACCGACTACTTGATGAAGATCTTGGCTGAGCGCGGTTACACTTTCTCCACCACTGCCGAACGAGAAATCGTCCGAGATATCAAGGAGAAGCTGTGCTACGTCGCCCTCGACTTTGAGCAAGAAATTCAAACCGCTTCCCAGAGCTCCAGCCTGGAGAAGTCTTATGAGCTACCTGATGGTCAGGTCATCACCATCGGCAACGAGCGATTCCGAGCTCCTGAGGCCCTCTTCCAGCCAAGCGTTCTGGGTCTCGAATCCGGCGGTATCCACGTTACCACTTTCAACTCCATCATGAAATGCGACGTCGATGTTCGAAAGGATTTGTACGGCAACATTGTCATGGTAAGTCCGACCTTCTGTGGGATCAGATGAACACAATGACTGACACTTTTTTTTAGTCTGGTGGTACTACCATGTATCCCGGTATCTCCGACCGGATGCAGAAGGAAATCACTGCTCTTGCCCCATCGTCCATGAAGGTCAAGATCATTGCTCCTCCCGAGCGTAAATACTCTGTCTGGATTGGTGGTTCCATCTTGGCTTCTCTTTCCACATTCCAACAGATGTGGATCTCCAAGCAGGAGTACGATGAGAGCGGACCTTCGATTGTCCACCGCAAGTGCTTCTAAACACTCTTTGAGCATCGGGTATGCTTGAAGTTGGACGCGACGCAGCAAATTTCTAGAGCAAGCTGTCAACGAGAACAAGGTCATGATGAAATTAAAGGGCACGTGGAGCATAGATTGTGGGAGCGAGGAGCGAAGGGAAAGGATCCACAGTGCTCCAGCGTAGCACAGAGGCGTGTCTGAACATCTTCAGGACACTTGAGTCATTGGAGCGTGTACCGGGACAAAAGTAACATCTTCAATGAGTATCATCATTCCAGATAGTGTCTAGAACGCAATGCGAGCAAGCTTAGGTCTTCCCCTCGTGTTTTTTTTTTTTTTGGTTGGCATGTGCAAAAGTCGTGTCCTGAAGCGTGTCTGTATGGCGTCCAGTCCCCCACAAGCATCTCCCGAAGAGGCACATGGCTCTGATATGGACCAGTAGTCATTCAGTGGACGGTGGTGGTCAGGCTTTGCTGATCTCTTTCCGATACGATAGCACATCACCGGGCACATCCTGCACGGTGGCGCCATCTTCGGCCGGCTCCAAGACTTTCCACTCACAAGTAATTCCCTCGTCCTCGAACTTCTTGATGATGACACGGGCGATGCTCTCGAAATTGTCCGTGGCGAGGGCCAATATGGTCGGTCCCGCGCCGGACAGGCAGATCCCCAGGAGTCCCGGGTGTGTCTGAGGGGACATGGAGGATAATATGGAGGGGAGGGCGGGGATGAGACCGGCGCGGTAAGGCTGATGGATCCTGTCTTGCATGGCGGAGTAGATGAGCGATGGATCGGGAGGGGAGTCGGAGAGGACGGTGGTGAGGAGGGCGATGCGTTGAAGATTGAAGATCTGTGTCCACGATTCCCGAGGAGGCGGGAGAGGGATGAATCAGTACTGCGATGCATGTATGTCTTTTGTTCCTTTTGGCTTTCTTCCTTTTGCTCGCGCGATAGCAAGGTAGGAAATCCCCCTTTCTCCCGTTTTCAAGGGAAGAATTCGGTAAAACCGTGACAAACGTCTAGAGGGATGGAGGGAGAGGAAGGAAACTTACCATGTCCTGTCTAGAGTACTCGGTTGGCAATACCTGTCTGGCTTTGGCCGTGCTCACCTCAAAGTCTGGGATGATTGCCAGAGCCTTGATCTCCTTGGCCCAGTTGAATCTCCTGTAGTGGCCTATATTCTCGGGGGGGATCGGGGGTATCAAGCCAGTATCGACGCCACCGGCCGGTTGGGGGAGGACCTCTGAGAGCGGGACCTCCTTGCGCGCCATGTCGACGGGGTCGAGCTCGTTGAGGTAGGTGCCCACGAAGCCGCCGTAGAGGGCGGCGGCGACGTTGTCCGGGTGCCGCTCGACCATGAGGCAGAAGTCCAGGAGCCGGGCCTTGGGCAGGTTCAGCCCGCCGACGACGTTGCCGAGGAGCACGCCGCCGACCACGGCGGCGCCCGAGGACCCCAGCCCGCGGCCCAGCGGGATGGGATTGTGGATGTGCACGTGCGTCTGCGCCGGGAACTCATGCTGCCGGTGGCACCGCAGCACGTAGAGCGCCGTGCGCGTCAGCAGGTTGTTTTCTGGGTTCAGGTCGATGTCCTCGGCGCCCACGCCCGTGTAGCTGACGGTGCAGTTGAGCGGGTTCGACGATGGGTCTGCCGGCGCTGATCGGTCGATGCTGACTCGGATTTCGAGGTACATGGACAGGGCGAGGCCGATTACATCGAATCCGGGGCCTGAATGGGAGTGAAGACGTTGTCAGGGATCAGCAGCACGAGGAAAGCAAGGCCGAAGTACAGGGTCTTTGTAACATGGCATTGACACACGAGGCTGAAACTCACCGATGTTCGCGGACGAACATGGTATCTCTATCTCGCTGTTAGCCTGGGTCACGTAGTTCAAGGTGTGTGCCACAAGGGTCAAACCCACTGATGAGATACATGGCGCGATCTGCGTCTGTGTGCGTGGGGGTGTGTGTTGAGGTTGCGGTCGAGGTTTGGCTCAAGTGTTTATGACTCTGTGGTCCAAGTCATGGAAAGAGAAAAAAAAAGTGGGTGTTTGCTTATGTTCCCTTTTTCCTTCGTCCTCTTCTCTGAAGACGGTTCTTCTTTCACCACATGCAATGTGCGCTCTCAACTCCTCCCTCTTCTCATTCTTTTTGCTTTGGGAGAGAGAGAAAAAGTCCAGACCGAAGATCTCGAGCGTCTTTCCTCGTCCCCTCCACAAAACTTGATCGGGCCAATCGGAGCCACAAATGGCAAACCAAAATCCGCCCACGCGACTCGTCAATTTTTCCACTATTCTCGGTTTTGTCCTCCTTTACCCTTCCTCGGTATCTTGTTGCCATGCGAGAAGTGACTTCATCTTTGATCGGTTTCTCTGCTAGTGTGTCGGGAGAAAAAAAATTCAATATGGTTGCAAGTTGGTGGGTTTGGGGATGTATGCGCATAGCGGGGAGTTCGCTTTTTCAGACATGACGAGAAAACATCACTGTCCTGAAGATATCGTGGGGAACACTCGAGAGACAAAGATTTGGCAATCCCTTCACACTTATGCAAATTCGGAACTTGGATCGAATGGATTGGGCTGAGCCAGACGGTATGCGGCAACTTTCCACTGTCGCCATGCTCCTCCCTGCCCGTCACAGGTCTTGGACAGGCGGAGAATCGTGCAAAGATGAGTTTGAAAGGTGAGCTGGAATACTATGGAATGCATGTCTCAAGTGATTATCTATACGATGTGTCCTGCCTACAATGGTATTCTACGGTCTCCTCGCAACTCAGTTGTCGTGCACTTCAGGGAGTCAGCCTTGGCCTCATTCAATCTGCAATTCCTCGTCACCTTGGATGACCTCGTCTTCTGGTAATTGAGTCTATGCTTTCATTTTCAATAATTTCACAGTCCTCGCCTGTTGATTAGCCAAGCCAGCACTCTGCACAATGACGAGATGGGAATGAATACAATGTTGGTGCTGAACCTCTCTCGCTATCTTGCTCTACTGGAGGCATTTCGGAATGTCGGCTCGGCGCTGCTTTGACTATTCCACTCAAGCCACTCACTAATTTCATCTAATGCATAGAGATGCCCAATGAAATGTGTTATAAGAGTCACTTAGCCAGATAGAGCAAGTATGGCGGGGCTGGATGTAATAGGCCGTAAGACGGCGCCAACTTCTTTCCTTAAGGGGATGAACCGCGACGAGATTTTCCATGGCTTGGCATCAATTCTCATTTTTTCTCTCATGCCCCTCCTCTTGACGTCTTTTGGTTCTAAGAGCTGGTCTCGCCGATTTAATGCTAGACTACGATTTCACTTCTTGGGCGGGACTCTGACTGCTCCTTTTCGAGTCTTTTCCCTGGACCTACATACCTTGCAATGGCGGAGAGACTACGGATCCTCGTTGTTGGTGCAGGCGGCCGAGAACATGCCCTTGCCTGGAAGTTATCCAGGTCGCCTTCGGTCGATGTGGTCCATGTTGCCCCCGGTAACGGAGGTACAGAGGCTGACAATATCGTCAATGTGCACATATCCACCGATGACTTCACAGAGCTCGTTGCTCATGCGAGGAAGCATGGTTTGAACTTGGTTGTCGTGGGCCCAGAGGCCCCTCTGGTCGCAGGTATTGAGCAGTTCTTCAGAGCCGTGGGCATCCGCTGCTTTGGGCCCAGCAAGGCCGCTGCGAGAATGGAAGGTTCCAAGGCCTTCTCAAAGGATTTTATGCTGCGCCACGGCATTCCGACGGCAGCATTCCGGAATTTCAGCGACTACGAATCTGCACGTGAATACCTGGACTCGGTCAGCCATGATGTCGTGATCAAGGCTGACGGTCTTGCCGCTGGGAAGGGCGTCATAATCCCCAAGACGAAACAGGAGGCGCATGATGCCCTGAAGATGATCATGGTAGCTCGCGAGTTCGGCTCGGCCGGCTCACAGGTCGTGATTGAGGAGTTTCTGGAGGGCGAGGAGCTGAGTGTGCTCTCTTTCAGTGATGGTTACACTATTCGGTCATTACCGCCTGCTCAAGATCACAAGCGTGTCTTCGATGGTGATCAGGGCCCAAACACTGGAGGCATGGGCTGCTACGCGCCGACCAGAGTTGCCTCGAAAGAGCTTATTGCACAGATTGACCGAGAAATTGTTCAACCTACAGTCGACTGTATGCGGCGTGAGGGCATGCCTTTCGTCGGCATGCTATTTACCGGCTTGATGATCACCAAAAACGGACCCAAGGTCCTCGAATACAACGTCAGAGGAGGAGACCCCGAGACACAAACCTTGCTGCCTCTACTTAGCGATGACACCGATCTGGCCAAGGTAATGCTGGCCTGTACAGAACATTGGTTAGATGGCGTCGAACTCAAGATTGAATCCAAGTTTGCGGCCACGGTGGTGGCATGCGCTGAAGGCTACCCAGGCACTTATGCGAAAAATAGACCCATCTCAATACAGCAAACTCCCGCTGATACCTTCGTCTTTCACGCCGGTACAGTTAGAGACGGAAAGCAAATAATTTCTGTTGGAGGCCGTGTGATTGGCTCGACATCAACTGCGGAGACATTGGAAGAGGCGGTGGCTAAGGCATATAAGGGAATGGAGTGTATCAAATTTAATGGTATGCACTTCCGAAAAGACATCGGCCATCGGGCTTTCAAGCGAAAAGCGCAGGAAAACGGCGCAGAAGAGGCTGTGATGACCTATGCGTCAGCCGGAGTGTCTATCGACGCAGGGAACAACCTCGTTTCCAGGATCAAGCCTGCAGTGAAGGCGACCGCACGTCCTGGGGCAGACGCCGTCATAGGTGGCTTTGGCGGTGCCTTTGACCTTGCAAAAGCGGGTTACCACGAAAAGTCTCCAATTGTCATTGGAGCCATCGACGGAGTTGGCACAAAACTCAAGATTGCCCATGCGATGAATGTCCACGACACTGTCGGCATCGACTTGGTCGCTATGAACGTGAATGACCTCGTTGTGCAAGGAGCAGAACCACTCATGTTCCTCGACTGCTACACTTGCAGTATCCTAGACGTGGACATCGCGAGTGATTTCATTCGAGGCGTCTGCGAGGGCTGTAAGATTGCAAATTGCGCACTTGTCGGAGGAGAGACTGCTGAAATGCCTGGTCTGTTGAGTGGCACCGAATACGATGCAGTTGGCGCCGCTCTAGGGGCTGTTGATATCCCTGCTGGGAAGAGAATACTGCCCGATCTCGAGAGCATGGTCGAAGGCGATGTCCTCCTTGGTCTGACATCGAGTGGGATTCACTCGAACGGATTCTCCCTGGTCCGTCGCATTGTCGAGAAAATGCATCTGGCTTTATCAGACACTGCTCCGTGGAATCTCGAAACCACGGTGGGCAGATCACTGCTTACCCCGACCCGGATCTATGTTGTTTCTTTACTACAAGCAGTCAAGCGAGACTTAGTGAAGGGTATGGCGCATATCACAGGCGGCGGGCTCTTGGAAAATGTACCCAGAATGCTTCCCAGCCATCTTGCCGCCGAAATCGACGTTTCTGCTTGGGGCCGCCCGGGTGTCTTTAAGTGGCTTCAACAAGCAGGAAATGTCAGCCACGAAGAAATGGGTCGGACTTTCAACAATGGGATAGGCATGGTCCTTGTCGTATCTGACGTTGCATCCGGAGAGGTGAAGAAAATTCTCGAAGCTGAGGGTGAAACCGTCTACAAGATCGGTAAGCTGGTCGAGAGACAAGCAGGACAGGAGGCTTGTAAGCTTCAGAATCTCGACTCATGGGGTCCGTCCTAGTGCGCTGCTCATTTCTGGTGGGTGCGGCAGGTTTTTCGCTTGAACTGTCTAGAGTATGAAAGAACTCTACGGTACCAGTCATGTCCACACGGAACTATGGCTTTTTTTTCTCGCTCTGCAACACGTCAAGCATTTCAAAACATGGAAACCACTGAGATCTTCATAAGTGGTTGTGTCGGACAAATGATCAGACGCTTCTGAGCTTGAACTCGGCATCTGACTGGTTGATATATTCTTGTGCTCGTGTCTTGACCCAGCAGCTCCCACGGACTTGCGGAGGTTTTCTACTTCCGCCGCTCCGCATGCAGCTCAGCCTTGTCTGTATAAAGGGGTCAGTGACTAATTGCAGAGAAGACGAGGTGACATCCATTTCATCATGGCTTGCGTCTTCGATCGATGGAGATGGCTATAAAGCAGAGTCTCTTGTCTTGCCCTTTTTGCATTCTGTTGTTCATCCTCAACAACCAATTCAGTCCAAACCGTGCAGATTCCAGGAGAGGAAGCTATTCTTCCCGGAACATTTTGAAGCAAGTCCAAAGCTATACTCCCAAGAAATCTCTCTTCATCATGAATGCCAATACAACCATCGTCATAGGTGCAAGCAGAGGTATTGGTCTCGAGTTGGCAAAATATATCTCGCAGAAGCCTGAACACCATGTCCTCGCAACTATGCGCAAGCCCTTCGATCTGGGCAAAGCCAATGTTGATGTACTCGAGCTCGACCAGACCAACCAGAAATCTGTCGATGCTGCAGCTGCACTCGTTAAAGAAGCGGACACATTGATCGTCAATGGTGCCATTGGCGAAGATGAGCTCCTCACCAAGATCTCTTCCGACCGACTTCTTCACTACCTTGATACAAATGTTGCTGGTCCTCACCGAGTCGTCAACGCCTTTCTCCCTGCATTGCGAGCCCGCAAGACTCGAAAGATTATTTACATCTCTTCCACAGCGGCTTCACTTGCCGGCCAAGTCGGCGAGAAATGGGGACTTCGCGGACCCTATGCGACCTCCAAAGCTGCCGGCAACATGTTGACCGTTCAGTTCCACAACGAGCTGCACGAAGATGGTTTCACTGTGGTGGCCATCCATCCGGGCTGGGTCGACACCGATATGGGTCGGGTCGGAGGCGACGGTGCCATGCCACCGCTAGAGTCCGTGCAGAAGATCATGAAGATCGTCGATGGACTGACTAGTGCTGATGGAGCCAAGTTTTTCAATATAGACGGCACAATTCTGCCCTGGTAAAGACCGGAGTGCATGTGTTGATAGTATGGTGGTGATTTTGGCCGGCAATAGGGATTAGACGGTGAGACATACGGTATATGGCATAGACGATAGACTTTGGTGACAGCAATTCAAGCGTGGCGAATCTTCTTCTGAATTCACTTTGCTTCCGCTAGCCGATACATTGACTTCAGTTGATTGCAATAGAAAGAGTTTCTAAGATCTGCTACCGCGCGGCGAAGGGGTGAAGACGCTGGGACAAGGCTGGGCGTATGCTCCACACTACTCGAAGGACTACGGCGGAGTATATGAAAATATGTGGGTGATTCCTGGAAAAAAAGTATCGAGTGAAGCCCAGGCTCAAGCATGCGACCAGACATTCACTCTGGTAGTCCATTTCTTTCGCTACCTCGTAACAGGCTCACATAGACACGAATTGGTTCTTTGGTTCTTATTTTTCCAGAATTCTTCGTCGACTGGGTTGTCTCTCCTGCAGAAACAGTCCCTTTGCAACTCGGGAATAGACCGTCATTCCTCCCTGTCCTCGTTGGGATCATTTTTCACATGCTGCCTCGCTCGGTGAGGCATTACATATGTCCACCCTGTCAAATCAAACATGGCGCCTGGACTGGCGCGCGGTTTTCCCTCGAGACCTCACCTACGCAAACTTCTCGATTTCTCTGCTCTACAACCGTCCAGAGTCTCCGGAACCGTAACCGGACGCGGCAAGGTGCATCAGGCGACGTAGAGAACCAAGAGGCGTCTATACAAACGGATGGCGAGAACGGTAATGGGAAAGCATCTCATGGCGGCCGAAAGAAGTCGACTCAGAAACCAGGGGCACAAGGACAAGCGACTGGGAAGCCTGCAGCGGCGCGGTCGCGCTCATTAGCAGATCGTGCTCCCCGGAAGCTCTCAGCAGTACAGAAAAATGAACTTAACGCGTTCTCCATGTTCCGGGCGAAGATGCGCAAAATCGCGTCTAAATTGATACCGGAGGTTGCATCGAGGACCGAGGACTTGACCCTAGACCAAGTGCTGGATGGGTCAGAGCTCAAACGGAAGGGTTTCAAACGCCGTGCATCCAGGCTCCGATCGGCGTACCCGGGACGCTCCTACGAAGAGGTGGACAATGACCTCGGGGCCGTGATGCCCTTCAAAAGCGGGAAGAAGCCTCTCTCGGATGAAGCAGCGAGAGTCTTGACTGCCCTAGGACTTTTGGACAGCCGTGCTGTCACAGATCCTAGTGGTCTGCAGGCAGAGGTATCTTCAGCACCAGAAGTGACCCAGAGCGCGGCGACCCCAAACCCACAGGCCCTCATGGTCGAGACTCCGAAAGACCTACTGAATCCTCCCTCAATGATTGTCCCTCCTGCAGAAGAACATGACGAAGGGACTATCAGTGCGTCAAATGTCCTACCCCCACCAAAACAAGATCCGATACGCAAACATGAGGTGATACCGCAGCAAAAGGAAAAGGCGAGAATTGCCGTCATGAAAGGAGACAATGTACGCGAGGCAAAAGCAGACGCCTTCTCACTGGTGCCATTGATGGCAGAGCCAGCAACTGTGCCGAGACTGAGCCATGATCTGTCGCGCGTTCTGTTCAATCCAGGTGTCTACCAATTGCAGGATCCACGGTCGAGAGTATGGAACTTCGATCCATACCTGGGCACGCTGATGCCTGCCTCCGAGTTCAACTACGAGGCATTGAACAAGTACATCACCTCCTCTGAGGACACTAATCTTCGGGAAGTGGCTCTGCAACACACGAAACGGTATATCGGTTCCACTTCAAGCATGTCGGGGGTCCTGTCCCATTTCCATTTCCTTCTTTCAGGCTTTCGGGGTCTCAACTTGGAGAACCTGACTCGGGGATTCAAGGATGATGGTGTCCACTTTACCAGACTGCAGAGAGGTCCCACAGCTATCTTCCTCCGCCACAAAGATGGTGTATATGCCGTGGACGCAGACAAAGAATTTGATTCTGCAAACATCCTTATGAGTCTCGGCCGCTCAATGGAGAAGCTCCTGACACTCGACAAGGAAGAATTTGAACGATACAGAAGGACTAAGGACGCGGCTAAAGAATCCCCGATGCCCTCCACTGAGCCTGAAGTATATCACTATTCAGGATTGGGCGAGTTCCTGCTGCGTTCTCAACTAGACGCACATGATCCTCGCCTGCCCGGGACAGGCATGTTTGACCTCAAGACCCGAGCCGTGGCGGCTGTCCGAATGATGGTCCACAACCATGAAGTAGGTGCGGGCTATCAAATCAAAGAGAGGTTTGGGACGTGGGAGTCGTACGAACGAGAATACTACGATATGATGAGATCTGCCTTTCTCAAGTACTCCCTTCAGGTGCGCATGGGCCGCATGGACGGCATCTTTGTTGCGTATCACAACACCGAACGCCTGTTTGGGTTCCAATACGTACCTATTTCCGAGCTTGATCTGGCGCTGCACGGACAGTCGGACCGTATTCTGGGCGACCGAGAATTCTCCCTCAGCATTCAGCTCCTCAACGACATTTTCAACGAAGCGACGAAGAAGCACCCAGGTCAATCGCTTCGGTTTCACTTTGAGGCCAGGGAGGCCACGACTGCCTCTCCGCCTTACATGTACATCTTTGCGGAGCCGGTTACGGAGGAAGAGATCGTCGAGATTCAAAACCTGAAAAAGGAAGAGATCCGGGCATTCGAGGACCGTTTGTTTAACCCACGACGAAGCCCGTCGCACGAGAGTGATGAGTACGAGGACGAGGAGGAAGATGAGACAGAGCTCGAGGCTGAAAGTGACGAGGGTAAATCCAATGCCCTTCTAGATCCCGCCTCTCCAGTTACCACAACCGGAGGTCCAGCTCATGGCTCCAACGCCGCAAATGTCGCGTTTCTGGATAGCATCTTGGGCATGAATATCCACGATGCCCTGGGATCCAAATCGAGCGATGGGACGGCCGATTTTCATTCTTCGGCCATCGAAGAGTCGGCTGCACAATCTCCAACGCTGAAACCATTCTCTGCCTGGAAGCTGCACATTAGGAATCTGGTCAATGGACTGCCAGTTGTCCGACCTGAGAACCTGAAAGAAGGAGATACGTGGACGTTGCAGTACACACTTAAGCCGCTCGCCGACCACGAAGCTCGTCGACATTACGGCCTTTGTAAAAATCGCCGCAAGGCCACGCTGGAAGCTCCCCAGGACGCGGATGAAGCAGCCAGCTTCTATATTCGACGTCTCATATCGATGAGCCGCAGCGGTGCACAGTGGCGGCGGCATTTGGATAAACTTGACGCTCAACGCAAACGGGTTGTACTATATGGGGATGATAGATAACAAATGATCTATCTGTACACTAGGGCAACAAGGATATATTCCCAGAGCATGTCAAAATACATCTGGGGTATCAGGGTATGTAATACTTGTACATAAGATTAGGAACAGGCGAGAGACATGTCTCATGATCAAAGACACCAAAACTATATTCGAAGCGACAATGGCATGTTCCACACGCAGCACAGACAGGGGGGGATCTGTCATTCTTTTTATATTCTGCCTTTTGGACCCCAGCCACAATATCCATCACTGAGACCTCGTCGACCACCACCATGTATCAACGTATCAAACTCCACAGTGACGACGATGGGACAGGATCGCGAGAACCGGGGAGTCTAGGGAACTTCGTTTCAAGGCTGGCGGAACCTTGAGATGAATTGCCGCTGTGGCGTGGTCCGGCAATCTCCATCGAGCCCCAAATGCGCCTCCAAAGATGGATTCCGGACTTGGACTCGCCAATCGCGCGGCATCTCTGATCCTACCTTGTTGGTGACTAGGTTGTCATCGACAGAGGTTGGTTTATCCCACCTGCGCAGCCAGCGTAGCCTGCGCGCAGGCTCAGTGGCTCATGGAATCACTAGGCCTATCCGGAACCCCCCCTCCTCTTCTGCAAGCTGCTGGCCAGAGCCCTGCATGGACAAAAGATGGGGGTACCTGGCACACCTAAAGGCACGATAGCTGTCTTGCTATCTTGCATGTGAGTGTGGGTGGACTGACCGAACAAAAGGATCGTGCCATTCAAGCCTCCCTCCAGCCAAGTTCAGCCCGTGGATAATTTACCCGCCTCTACCTCCTGTACCAAGTAATGTACCCAATATCGTCAGTCGAACAACCGAGCCGTTATTGAAGTAACCATTACGTCCGACTGCCGATCCACCGCCTGGTCCGTTTTTAATGGTCTTGAGTCCTGCATTGACTTGTTGCTTGTCCATCCATCCATCCAGACAAGATTTCCTGACCTCGACTGTACGAGGACACGGCAATCCAACCTCCCAAGTTCCCCCCCACCATCGGCCTTTCTGTACCTGAAATACCTTGTACCACCTGTCAACTCTCTTGATGCTCCTGCTGTATCCTATGAGCTCCCAGACTTGACCTTGTCTCCTGAAATATATTGCTCGCGCAGCATCACCAAGTTCCAGACACGAAGCACAGCCTGAGAAACCGTCACTCCTCCGCAATCTTCTTTTCGATCCTCCTTGCGGCACGCCGAGTTGCATGCTGAGCTTAGTACCGTGCCCGGCCATGTCCCGGACGCCGACAGCATCTTGCTGAAAGAGGAGGCCAAGGCACATTGAATGGCGGGTTGGCACGTCGGGGAGGTGCTCAAGCCCTGGAACATGTGTACCTTGAGAGACCCATGACTTCCTCCTGAGACTTTGACAGACTTCGAAACAAACCTGCGTCGTGCAGTGTTTGCTTGGTGGGAGTGATTGGCCGTCTCTCTTGTCGTCTGTTTCCACCCCTCTGTTCAATATGGCAGACAAACGCAGGAGGAAAAGCTTGAGCATTTTCCGCCAGAAGGCGGACCATGGGCCCACGATACAAATACCTGCAAGCCCGCTGCTGGAGAAGCGTTCCAGCGACTACCTGCCCAGTCCTGTGGACTCGGATCCCTCGAGTCCCAAACCTCGCCCCAGGACGTTACAGAAAGCCAATCGAACCTCTGTGTTTGGCTCCTTGCGCTCGCTTCACTCCCTCGACGAAGAAGAAAAGCTTACTCTGACGAGGTCCGACTCGAAGGCATCATCGTTCCATGAGGATCCCGACATGAACGTAAAGGGACTCCTGGGCAGTAAAGTTCTCCAATATGGTGAAGTACACGCGGGCGGAGGCAACATGTTTAGGAAAAGGACGCAGTTCATGGTCCTCACCGAGTCCCATCTCATTCGTTTCAGGAGCCAGGTCAAAGCCGCCGAAATGTTCCCCAGCATCCCTAATAGCCTCAACAGGGGACACACCCCCAGGACCTCGTCGGTGGGCTCCTATCAAGAGCTACAAATGTCGGCATATTCAGAAATTACCTCGGGCGTCCCACTCGACCAGGTGGTTGCGGTGTACAAGATTGACGATGGACGCCCTACTCCTGTGGTAGAAGTGGCATACCTTGATGAACGTACAAGAAGATCGTCCGCCATACAATTACATTCGAACGAGATGCGCGAGGCCGAGCTGTGGATCGCGGCCATCCGCTCAGCTTGCGATCAGGCGAGGTCTCTCATTGAGCAGCACATCCAGGATCGAACGGTAGAGCACCTCGCACGTGTCGTGGAGAGGGAGAGAGACTATGACCCCGAGCACTTCCACGTCTTTGCCGTCATTCAACGGCATATCAACAAGTCTACCGGAAGAGCATCAGCTGAGGATCTAACTCGACTTGGGTCTTCGGCACCCTGCTACCTCGTCATTGGACTACACAAAGTTCACCTGGTGCCCCTACAGAAGTCTTCCACGCGATCATCGAGCACCTCGCTCAGCGAGCTGGATGCCATGACCTCCTATTCTATAGTTACCTTGACGTCGATCAAGGTTGTGGCGGACGACGACGGTCTTCAATTGACCTTCAAACCACCTACGGCACATCCATGCACTGTGCAACTAGCTTCATATTCCGCTGGGCAGATTGCACTATGGCTGAGGTCTGCTTCCGAATATCTTCGACCTGAATGGCTAAGGCAGCCTTTTATCTTTGATGTTCCGCCAGAAATTGATGACCAGATGATTCCGCCGAACTTCCCCAAGGAGGAGCATGACTGCTTTGACCGAACATTAATCGCATACTGTGCGGGTTATGATGTGGACACATCTCGCATCTGCTATTCTGTCGATTATGACTGTGAAGATGCACCACGCTTTCAACTGCTTCCGCCGGCCAACGGAACCAACTATTCCGCCTTGGAGTTACTCGCTGTATTCCGAGCTTTACGGTACAATGAGTCGTTCTCGTCAATTTCCTTCGCACGAATTAATCTGTTACCGCTGCGTCTCTACTACGATGGGTTCGGATCGGACTTGGACAGTCTGTTTACGCGGTCGGGTAATCCTACCAACATTGCCGGCCACCAAGAGCTTCCCGTCCTATCGCAAGAGATCAGGGTATTGGCGTTGAAAAGCCGGCGATTGAGACGGCTAGATTTCTCGCATACCATTCCACAGCAAACACTGGCGGGAAACGGGGAACCCCTCAGCTGTGGAATCTTGGAAGCGCTGACGCCACTGTGCAAGAGGTCTTTGACCAACGTCGACTGGATTGTTCTCACAGGTCTTCGACTGGCAGATTCCGACTTGAACTATCTCGTCGATGCTGCCTCGGAAAGAAAATGCCATCTTCGAGCTCTTGAGATTGGAGAGTGTGGTCTCTCGGTCCACGACATTGACGTGCTTTTGTCCGCTTTGGCTGTCCAGGAGAGCACGGTCGAGGTCATTGACATATCAGGGGCACAAGGCCGGTTCAGCCCGGAATTGTTCCAGCGCGGCATGGGCGCCTTTACCCGGATTCGGCGCCTGAATCTCACTCGAGTGCAGAAGACGGCTGGCCTGGAGCCTTTACTGCCGCCCGAGGTGCTTCTGGCGTGGCGACTTGAGGCATTGTATCTGTCACAGACCACCCTCAATGAGCAGACGGTGGACTCGATATCTACATATCTGGCAACCTCAAAGTCTGACATCCTCCGAGAGTTGCACGTCAATCAATGTGGTCTGACGGGATACGATCTTGCGACCTTCTTTCGGTCAATGACTCGGGAGGACATGGTGCCCCGAATCATGCACGTAAGTGCCAACGAGAATCGGCTCAAGACAGGTAACACGATCCTCTTTAGGACGATTGCTCAAAATTGTGGACCAACGTCACTGAGCTTACGAATGATGGATTTTGAGAAAGAAAATCACTTTCGCGAATTGATTAATGCCTTGAAGGTGAATACGACGTTACGAAGTTTGGATATATCACGTGCTTCTTTACCGTATGATGCCAGCGTCGAGACCTGTGAGGCGCTGAAGGAAATGTTTGCCACGAATCGAACGCTGGAGGAGCTTGATATCAGCGGCGAGCACGCCCATTTAGACACGACCCGCTTCGGCATTGGCCTCAATATTGCGCTGAGAGGGCTGGAAAAGAACACTACCTTGAAGCTCCTGCGTATCGAGTACCAGGCGCTGGGGTTGCAAGGCGCTAGCACGTTGGCCGAGGTGCTGGAGAAGAACGAGACACTGCTGGAAATTCACTGCGAACACAACGACATCAACCTGCAGAGTTTCACGGCGCTTGTCAATGCGCTGGAGAAGAATCATACGTTGCTATACATGTCGACCATGGACCACGATAGAGCGAAATCAATGGATAAAGTGCGCCGTGAGATTGCAGCAGTGGACCGTGCAGACTCTCCCAAGACTCCCAAAAGCGGTGGCGGAGCAATTAAGAAGGCTTTGACAGGAACATTGACGGGCAAGGCACACGGACACGGGAAGGGACACGGACATCGGCACAGCAGTTCGCTGTCTTCGACAGCGTCATTTACGGATCAAGACGTGACGGCAGTGATGAGCACTTTGGATGAAAAGTGGGACCTACAAGTCTCGAGGATGCAAAAGTATCTGTTTCGGAATTACTGTCGCGCACAGGGTGTGCCTTGGGAAGATGGTGCGGGTGACGAGGACAGCCAGCGAACCCCAGCTACAGCGGACAATACGATGGCGCAGATCTTGCAGCGCGTCAAACTCGACCGAACGCCCACTGCGGCCCAACCGGATGCCTTGGACTATATTGACGAGAAGCTGGGGAGAGACAGCGGCAGCGACATGATATTCCAGATCCCTGAGGATTGATTTCGGATCCAAGTACGATTCAGGGAAAAAGTCAGGGATGTCGCCACCGAGACGAAGACCCCCCTAGCCTGGAAGCAACCCCTATCTGTGTACAAAGAGAGAGAGAGAGAGAGAGGCGGTGGAAAAATTCCCAAGATTTGGAGGTTCAATGACGACTTACAGCGTTGGGTTTCTTCTTGATTTTTTCACCTTTTCCACCCTTTTGATACCCACCACTTTGGCTTTTCAGGTTCAGTTTGGAGTCAACTCACTCGTATGTACGTACCGAGTACGAACAAGTACAGGGGAGTTTGTTGGGGCGCCTCGGAGTGGGCGGGGCGGAGCGGACGATATTCACACCGTTATGCATTGCACACCTTGGATACCTACTCGCACAGGAGGTATTAGGTGTTGGGCATTCATAACTACCTACCTACGGAAATACTATGGGGGGCGCGCCATACTCGGCACACGACGAAGAATAGTAACGGAAATGGGAATGAATGAATGGGTTAGAATAGCGACTAAAAGGAGTACTCGTACGTGTACAGTACCAAGTAGTGATGAAAATCATTTTGTTGCATATAGAGAAGTGCCTGCTGTAGCACCCAGTATTGAGTGTTCCACGTGATATTTTTATTTATGCAGAAAGACGTGATGGCATTCGAGAAGAAGTGGCTTTTGTACCGGAGTAGAGAACCAGACGTGACGGGGTCAGCCTTGGCCACCAGGCTCAGCCTCCAAGGGGGGCGAGCAATGGCACACCGACTCTGCATTGACAGGCAGTCGAACAGTGGGACGAAGGCCTGATTATGTGTCTGTGCTCGTCTGTAGGGAGTTACGAGGTTCATGGCGAGGCGCGATGGGGGGCCAGACTTGCTACGCACGAGTCCGAGTGTCAAGTCAGCTTGTCGCCGTGGAAAGTGCCTCGTCCTCGTAGTCATAGTTGATGATGATGATGCATAACCGAGGCTTTAAGTGGGCAAATAATGGACAACTCAGCAAGTCAGGCTGTATGTACATATGAAGTGCATACCGGGCGAGCCTTACGAGTAAATACGCCGGCGAGCGTAATTGCGGATTTGGGTTGCGAGATATTTTCCCACCGTCCCACCCACCCTTGGAAAATGGATAGCGGCGGGGCCTGAAAAACGGGAGGGGCCCTGATTTCGTTGATTATTGTTCCGTCTCAGGCACCGACGAATCGAAAAGAGATACTGCTTCGAGATGTTGTGGAGGGTTAATCATCCGAAGAGTCAGCACTTGAAGCCTCTTTTGTTTGTAGCCAGGCTACTCGGTACGAGGGACAGATGGAGAATACCCTACGTAGGGGGTTTTGGTCGCGCGGCCACGGGGGTTGGCGGACGCTACGAAGAAAAGGCTGTGTTGATTATTCCTCACTTGAATAACTATAGGTAGACCAGAATTGCGGTGCTTATACTTGTGTGTCCCCTCTCGCGCGGTATAACGTGCTCATATCAGCTCTGTACAAGTATTTTCCCCGTGGCTCGGCGTTACATCATAGCGGCGGTGGTGGTGGCCAACAGCGAAGTGCGCAGACCCGGATTAAGTAGTAGTTGGTGCGATTCGTGCGAGGCGAGGAACGTGGGAATGCGTATTGGAGGAGGAGCAATCCGAGATCCGCAGGAGGTTCTTACTCGTTCGATACTCGTAACTAGCTTTTTTAGTGACGAAGATAACCATCTGGGTAGACGGAACATAGTACGAAGTCTCGTCTCGAATACGCTTTGGATGGTCTTGGTATTGCTCGCTCGTAGAGGTGAAGAAGGGGTTGTATGTCGTTGGGTGGCGGACTCCCCCTCTTCAGCTGCACCAGCGTGTGCTTATGGTGGCCATGATGAGGGCATTGCGTGTGTTCTGAGGACGAGGGCAAAAGGGAGGTCGTTGCGGCGAGTTGATTGATGGGAATGGACATGCAGGTGGACGAGTGACAAGGGATGCTGCAGGCACTGCCACAATCTTCGCCTTCGCAGATTCGAGCCTCAATTGGCTCGTATACCAGCAACCCACCAATCCGCCAATCCCCTGCGGGCACCAGACTACGCCCGCTCGCAACAAGAATTTCCCTCTGAATTTCCCCCTACGAGAACTACTTGGTCGGTACTCTCCTTGTCTCTCTCTTTGTTACATACCTACTTGTTACCTTTCATCTTTTCCCTCGTTTGATTTCCCTGTTGTCGACATCATCCCCGTACGCTAGTCCTACGGTTCACTCCTTCAGCCCTAGTCTCTCCTTAACTCGAACCATCCCGACCCCCCCTATAACTGTTCTTGTACTCGACAACCCAAAAACTCAACCTGAGTTGTCCCGTACCTGGTAGACTTCTCCGGCCGAACCATGCTCCTCCACTGTCATTGAACTCTGCATGCTTTGAATCTCGTACCAGCCTCGACCCCTCCGAAGAGAACTTTATCAGCCAGTTCCTCAAAAGCATTCCTTCACTCCCAGATTTTATTCTCGAACACAGCGACACGGTCTGTGCATGCGTGTCGTGCATGGGATTGCCGACGACGAAACGGACCTACATTCATACCTCGAACCTCGTCCCTCACCCTTTGCGGGCTGCCGTCAAGATGCGGCGCAGTCTGATGGTCTTCCTCTTGGTGGCCATCATAGTGTTAACCCTCCTCCTACACTCAGTCTCGACGCTGCTCGCCCTGCTCATAGAAGACGCGTCTCAAGACGCCATCCATAGATCAGAGCTACCCGCTCCCAATTCCACGCTCCTCGAAACACGACCACATTTGATCCCCAAGATCATTCATCAGACATACATTAACGAGTCCATTCCCGCGCATTGGGTCCCCGCGCAGAAATCATGTATAGATCTACACCCAGACTACGAGTACATATTGTGGACGGATGAAAAATCTCTCGACTTCATTGCCAAGGAGTATCCGTGGTTCTTGTCGACGTTTGTCGGGTACAAACACAACATTCAACGCGCTGATGCGATCCGATACTTTGTGCTGGCTCACTATGGCGGTGTCTACATCGACCTGGATGACGGCTGCATGAGGAGGCTCGATCCATTGTTGTCGTACACGGCGTTTGTACGGAGGACGGTCCCTACAGGCATTAGCAACGATGTCATGGGCTCGATACCGCAGCATCCTTTCTTCTTGCGGGTGATGGAGTCCCTCCAGGGTGCCAACAGATCCTGGCTCCTGCCGTATATCACCATTATGGCCTCGACCGGGCCATTGTTTCTGAGTGTGATATGGAAAAAGTGGATGGGTGAACACGCCCACCTCGATCCCCAGAGCTGGATAGGCAGAGTCCGAGTGCTGATGCCGGACGAATACAACAAACATTCCTGGTCGTTTTTCAAGACATACAAGGGCTCCAGCTGGCATGGCAAAGACGCAAGGCTGATATTCTGGATGGGCAAGAACTGGGTATTGCTTACCGTGCTGGGTTTCCTCCTCGTCATGACCGTGGGCTTCGTGACCTGGTTCATCTACTCGAGGCTGCTCATTTGGAGTGCGAGGAAGAGAGGCACGAGGGGCAGTCCTCGAATGGTTGCCTTCCGATTCCCTGGTGCTGCACAGATGCCGCTGTGGCGGATGTGGTCCGGTGGGTTGGGAGCTAAGAAGCAGACGTATGAGCTGGTTGCTCAGCATGATGCGTGACCTGCTGCCGTTGTTGGACACCATTCAGCTTCCGGAACCGAGTCAGTCGAGTTCCAACAAAAGAACACGGCCGAACCCCTCGACATACAACTACAATGAAATTTACGAGCGCAGGCGTTAAGGCGAGACGAAAAAGAACCCCGCTGTCTATATTGTCGGACGGTTTACGCGCCGTCTTTTTGCGATAGAAAGCGAGTACAGGATACTGGGCATGATGTATTTTACCTTGACCCGGAGTCTCTGCTTTTCTTACTTTTTGGATGCCGCGCCGATGATATATGGCGGATTATACGATATTGTAATAAGACTTTTATTCTCACAGACCAGGCGGAGGATATGAATCTATCAGATGGGATCCAGATCCAGGACAACACGAGATGGATATATGCTCGAGTATCTCATTACCAAGTACCGAGTACCTCGTAGACAATTCATTCCCAGATGAGCGTACTCGTATTAGCTGTCGTTGCGATAAACGCGTCTATTGAGTTTGCAAAGTCAGACCAACCCAATCCTCGGGGGCAGTTTGCCTGAACTGTGTACTCGGTACGCCTGATCAGAGACTGTTGCGAGTTCATCGTGTTGTAAATTGTGCCTTATCGGCTGATCAATCTGCACTCACCATTCTCATCGCACTCTGTACTGGGTATTATCAACAAGTTCCCCCATTTGACCAGGGAGATCTTCCCTTGTTTAATCTCCTGCGGCAGTGGCTGAGACTCACATATGTATGTATGTCCTCGGTACCAACATCCATGCTAACCTGGTCCAGGCAAGGCCCTCACGTCGATTCCGCCTGACGGAGTACCTCGTACAGTAGTGATTCTCCCACGGCCTCCGACCCAGACTATTACATGAGCAGGCTATGCTACTCGCGTCGTTGACGGACTTCTTTGTACCTATGTGGCACGGGAAAAGAGAGGGACAGGGATGTGATGTGGACAAACGACGTCTACCAAGGCAAAAAGAACTACTTGGTCTCCAGCGACCATGACAAACTCTCTTGGACATACCTACTGTACGGAGAGCTCGTGCCCGCTACAGTACATACTCGCTACTCGCAATTTTTTCCGTTGCCCCCCTGCTCTGTATAATCTCCACACTCTTGGGTTTCAAGTGAGACATGTGCGAGGTACCAGGCAAGTACTCCCGTCGGGGATGAGCTGGGGTATCGACAACGGCTGGTTGGTTGGTCAGTTCCCGCCCCAGCCCCAGTGGCTATCGAGCTATGTACCAACCCTGGTCCCCTTTTATTGCTACACAGACTCGTCCCAACGGGGGAAATGCTCAGATCATACTCGTCCTCTGGAATTGTATCTGCGACCGAGCCTGCTGCCATCGTCTTGACGCCTCATCGAGACGTACGTCAAGACTCTCTTTCATGCGCGACACCTTATCCCGTCCCGGCAAGATGAACAGGCAGGCAAAAACAAATGCTGGACACAAGCAGCTCCCGTCCGCTCGAACGAACGCCATGTTGCATCTCGACTTCCGGCGGCTGTCTCCTTCCACCTGTAGGGAGTTCCTGTGCTTCTCCCGCATCAGGAATAGCGAAAACGCCCTCTTGCATATGCTTGAAGCACTGTTGGGGCCGAAATGCGCCGCGCTCTCATCTTGGAGCTTTTGGAATGGTCTACGGCCAAGCCCCGCGGCTTGATATCTTTGCATGAGTGGTGCGTTCCAGAGGCTTTGTGGGAGAGAGAGACAGAGATGGTGCCGCTCAGTCCAGAGTAACAATGTGTGACCGTTGCAGAACTACTAAGTAAGGTGAGTTCTTCGAAAACTCGTCGACGGCATGTTACCACAGGGCGACCTCAGAGTGAGTCCCTAGTCTCATCGTCCGTGTCTTTCACAATGTCTATCTATCGTTGTCTTTCTGTGATGCTATGGGCTCTCAGCCTTTTTGTTGTCTCTGCAGAAATCGCATTCAGTAGTTACAATGGTGCTGGCCTGACAGAAGCCGACACGCTGCGGGTTCTGCGCCGCGCCCTGTCCGCATCCGGGACAGAAGACACAGTCAATCTCTTCGACGAGACTATCGACAAAAGCTGGGACGGAGCAGTGCTATTTGCCATGTAGGGACCACAGAACAATTCCTGGTTGATTGACCATGTCTGGCTGACCCGTCAGTACGATGGAGGCAGAGGCGGATGTATCGACTCCCGCCGGCAATGGCTCCCTCGAAACCCAATACGGTGTTAGTATTGTTTGTTCCGCCTGCTACATTACCGGCAGGGTCAGTGGACAGCTGACGCGCAATGCCGACTTCAACATCACTGAGCTCGAGGAGAGTGCCATAGACCTGGTCAAGAATATCACCGAGGAAGCCGGACAGGCCTTGTCGGATCTCGTCGAGGGCAACTCTAACTATACAGAGATTGATTTCAATGTCGAGCTCCCCATCTTCCCGGACTTTGACTATCGGCTGCAGTTCAGCTTTGACAACCTAGAGCTCTACATGAAGCTTGACACCATCCTTTCTGTCGCATCCACCTATACGATCAACCTATACACATCACAGAGCCCGGCCGGCATCAGCCTGGGCGATTCCTTGGAGATCGGGGCGTTCTTCACTGTGGATCTGATCCTGACTGCTGCGGCAGAGGTGGATATCAGCAGCGGAGTGCACATCAAGGTCGACGGAGCCGATATCAATTTACAGATGTTTAACAGGAGTGTGGAAAGCATCTCCATGTAAGGGCAATTGACATCGCTGAACAGATCACAGAGACCCTGACACTAACACGCCCTGCTTTTCGTTCAGTGATGGTGGCATGTTTGAATTCCTCCCCGTGAGCGTCGAGGGTGCCGGGTTCGTGCTCACCGGCGCGCTGCAAGTCGGTCTCCACGCCGGCATCACCTTTGACATCGACACGTCCGTGACGATTGCGAACTACACGCTCGGCGGCTCGGCGGGCCTGGAAGCAGGAGTCTTTGCCAACATTGCCGAGTTCGTCGCCAACGTCACGTACGACGCCGGAGGTGATGACGGCGACTGCGAGCTGGCGCTGGTCGAGTCCTTCACTATGGCACTCGGCGCCGCGGCGGGAGCATCGGCCGCCTTCGACCAGACCACCTGGGGACCGACGCCCGAAACCGAAGTCCCCATCTGGTACACGGAGCTGGGCTCTGCGTGCGCGGCCCGCCGTAGCTCGACAACCACACCGGCGCTCGTCACAGCGAGAGACGCGACGAGCGACCTCTCTCTCACGCTCGCGACTGTGACCACGGAGACGACGTCTTCCGGAGTGGCCTGCATCTCGCCCGGCTTGCTCAACTGCCCCGTGTCCTTACAGACGACGAAGACCTTCACAGCGACTCTCACGACGACGACCTCGGTCCCGTCCGGCTCGGAAGCGACATGGCCTGCCGCGACTCAAACGGCCGTGAGCACGGTCGCATTCGGCGCCAGTGCAAAAGCCCTGACGGCGACGACGGGCATTCCAGTCTCTTACATCCCGCCACCGTCACCACCCTCGTCCTCATCTGCCTCCAGCACCGCAACCGCAACAGGAGAACGCGCGAGCCACGGAAACCACAGACCGCTGATCATCGGACTCTCCGTGGGCCTGGTCGTCCCGGTCCTCGTCGCAATTATTGCCGGCGTGGTCTTCTCCCTCCGCAGGCGCTGGGTCAGGTATGCGCCTGTGCACAAGGCCGAGAGTCAGAGTCCCGTCGCGGAAGAGGTGCAGCATGAGCAGCAGGGGATGCTCAAGCGGGCGACGACGGTTGAAGTGGACGAGACGGACTGAAACTGTCGGAGATTGACAGACTGATTGATACTGACTGATTGATTTTGACTGATTGAGTTGATTGAGTTGATTGATTGACGTGGAGAATGTAGTCCACCTAGACTTATACACCTGTCCTGCCTCGAAAACGACCCGCTATGTAAGGGTGCATATATATGCATGCGTATGTGACTTTTATAGTATAGTATTGTACCAAACATCCAGATGTCAAGAGAATATCCCGTTCATTCCGAGTTTCATCGCAGCATAAATCCCGACTCTATTACAAAGTATGCATGGATGCTCTCTGTATCCTGTACCTTGTAACCCGGTAACCTTGTACAGGACGAACCCGTGACGAGGTAAATATAAAAGAATGAGCAGAGCTTCCTTCCCTGGCAATACAACATCCATCGGGATTCACCCGAGCGATGACTTGTCCCCCCTGTCCCCTGTCTCATGGTTCCTGTCATCCTTTCGTTCTTTCATCTCGTTCTCGCTCTCGTTCTCGTTCTCGTTCTCGCGCGTCTCTTGTCTCCTGTCTGCTCTGCATCGACCGGTGGGGACGCCACGAGTAGAAGCAGAGTAGTAGAGGTCCCGGTCCGTCCGTGGCTGGTATCTTTGTCCTCTCGGAATCAGAGACCGAGAAGGTTTGAGGATGCTGGGCCGTGAGAAGAGAGCGGGAAAGGGAGGAAGGCAGGAGTTGTGGACAAGATCGATGCCACGTAATGGTTTGATACGACAGAACAGAACAGCACAGCGGCGGCTCTGTGGGTTCAATACTTCCTTCATACTCCTTGTTATCCCCGAAACGCCTTTTTGCTTTTCTTTTTTTTTTTTTTTCCCCCGTCATGACCTCGCGAGAACTGATGTGGATAGACAAATCCCGGATATGCGGATGCGGATGCGAATGCGAAGAGTGAAGAGTGAAGACAGGATTATATCATTTCTTACTTCCCTCCCACACTGTCGGTGCCACCGCCGCCGCCACCACCACCAGAACTCTTCTGCGCGCGCTCCTCGGCCGCGATCCGCCGCTCGACCATCTCACGCACCTCCCTCTCCTCCTCCCACGCACGGCGACTCCGGTCCAGCGCCCTTCGCTGCCGACGGATCCCCTCGTTGAACTCCCCCACGCGCTTCTCGGCGAAGATGCACCCGCCCAGGATCATGGCGCTGATCTGCAGAAACACCTTGAACTGGATCGTCAGGCCGCGGTACACGGGCGTGTAGCGGTTCAGGAGGAAGTGCGTGGCGAAGCTGATGGTGCCGAACCGCAGGGCACCCGAGGCGAAGCCCTGCGCGGCCACTTGGCTCAGTTGCGGAGGCGGGAGCGGGTCGGTTATGTACGAGGGAGGAGGCATTGTAGTGACCTTGAGCCTGGGGAGATGGGAATTGGTAGTACGAGGATGAGAACTGAAGGTCACAGGTCAATAGGACGAGGAGGGATTTTGCGGATTCGATGGACCTTTGGAGATGTTGACTCTCGTCTGCTTTCGACTGCTCCCGAGTCCTGAGTGGGTAAAATTTTCAACGGCTGCACTCGATATGGGACCCCAAAAGGCACAGATTTGTCCCAGATACAGCAGTGGTATCAACAGATGCTGAGACTGAAACAGGTGCTGGTCGTGTGAGCGATGAAGCTCTGCTGCGAGTCTCCGCACTTGAGGATCCAATGATGACGTTGAGTTTGCGGTCGGCGCCCGGGAAAATGTTGGCAATTTTCTTCTCCAAAAGAAAAGTTCACAGCGACAAGCAGCGCCGGTGATCGAACTGTAACTTGTTGTAATTCAAGCCCCCCAAACCACGTCGCATGAAAATTGCCCTCCCCCAAAGATGGCGCCCAAACCACCTTCAAGCTCAAAGCCAGCCGCAAAGAGAAGTCCAAAAGCCCACAAGTCTGGCTCGGCGGGACCCTTGAAAAAGTCCAAGATCACAAAACGGCCACCGCCAAAACAGGTCAAAACTAAGCCAGGCGTACATTCCCAGACGTCTGCACAGGCCACGAAGCCATCCAAACGCAAGCAAAAGACTTACTCTGACAAAGACCTCGATCTTCCTGCCCTCAACATGATCACGCCGGTGTCCGCCCCCGAGAACCCCACCAACCACTCTCGCAGAGGAGGGACCGGCAAGAAGAAGAACAAAATCTACATTGACGACGAGGAATCCATGCGCACGATACTTGCCATGGTAAACGCGGAGAAGGAGGGACAGATCGAGAGCAAGCTGATGAAGGCAAGGCAGATGGAGGAGATCCGAGAGGCTCGAAGAAAGGAGATGGAGAAGAGGAAGGAAAGCAAGAGAGAGGAGCTGGAAGGAGTCAAAAACGGGTTGAAGAAGGGGAAGAAGAAGAGGAAATCCCACGACGGGGGAATGGTTGCTCGCGATGACCCTGAAGGGAATGGAGAAGGCAAACCAAAGACCAAGAAACGAGTGTCATTTGCGTGAGTGACACAAGAGTCGATGAGTGGATTCTATTCTTTCTATGCCGTACATGACCCTTCATGGTGTCTATCATCCACACCCTGACCATGTCGGATGGAATTGTCATAAGCCCGGGACATGCATCTTTCTGCGCATCGGCTCGAAGACAGGCTTCAACGGTTGTCGTTCGCCGCGAGAGATTTGACCCTCCAGTTGAGCACCTTTGCCGTCTGTCTTGGAAATTGAGTCCAGGTCAATATCGTTGGCCATGGTCTGGAAGAACGCTGTGGTCTACGCGCAGTCGCGTCAGCTTGGAAAGTCCTTAACAAATGCTTGGGAGGATACCGACCACTCTTTCGAACCATCGTCTGCCACCAAGCTCAAACCAACTCAAATGACCCCCACCGGGAGTCGTACAGAGCACCCCGTATGAAGTTTGTTGTACTTCTTCCCGCGGCAGCGCTTCACTTGCTGTCACCTGCTCTGATCAGCGACGCACAGGGGAACAGTTACCAATGTGACGAGCTTACCGGATCATCTTCAGCGTGAATTGCCAGGAAAGGAATCCTTATGGACAATGCTGAATCGACCGACGAAGCATCACGGTAATAGGCCCCTTCTGTGGGATAACCCCATGTGGGACCTTGGACATACCGATCAAACTCATGAAGATATTTGGCCTGTCGGACGAGACCGACGTCGATCTTGGGGTTCTGGGAGATCTGGTCTACGTGCCTTTCGAAGAGCTTCTTCATACTCTGGCCCATGTTCGCGGAATAGGCGTTCCGACGGAACCATGTTCTCTGCAGTGCAAGATTTGCGGCATGGAGATCCCATGGATTAGACAGAATAACAGCGGCCTTCAAGGGGCAGTTACTGCCTTCTTCGCCGAGGTACTGGAGCAGATTAGAAGGAACAATTGATTGAAGCATCGGAGTGGAACAGTACTCACGTTCGTAATAATGTTGGCGCCCAAGGAGAAGCCCATTCCGAAGAGGGGGCGATTAGGGAAAGTCGTTCTAAGCCACTTGACTGTCTGCCTCATGTCCCAGGTTGCACGCGCGTTGTACAGCACGCTACTAGTGGTTTTGCTCATGGCACAACCTCTAGAAATAACGACACAAGCCTCCCAACCTCCCTCTCCCACCAGAGGGGCCAGAACGTGGCGCAGATAGAGCTCATGGGAGCCGCCGCTCAATCCATGGAGCATGATCAACATAGGTCGATTGTCCAGAGAGCCGATGTTCTGAAACTCCTGTTCTGTAAAATAGGTCGTGCGCGATGGTAGAGACGCGTCCGAGTCATTGTTGGGAGACGTCACGAAGTCGACCGAGAACTGGCCTGTGAAGACTGGGTCTTCATTCTCAAAGATTCTCCGCTTGTAGTAGATCGGTACATCCTCCCGGGTCAAGACTGTCCAGATGGTCTGGAGATGCCCGTTGAACAGCAACGGATTGAGTCGACACGGCGGAATAAGCGACTTGCACAGGCCTGCAAAGGAGGTGGTTCGACCATCTTTCGTCTTCAGTATCAGTGACCTAGTCGAGTGCCAGTATTTCGGTTTGACCATTTTGAGTCTCCTCGCGGGAATCACAGCCAACGTTGCTGCGAAGGCGAACCCAATGAGGGCGAAAAAAGGATGGTCTTGTGCTTGCTGAAGCAGTGCCCCAAGGCCGAGCATCATCGCCTTTCTCTATTCAAGCCGAATAGTCTGATCTCTTTCCATCCCAAAATCAGACCGGAAAAGGCGGAGGGTTGTGTCAAGGACCATCTGTCTGTTATGTATTGGTGAGTGTTGCATCGCGTCTGGCGGCGTCGCCGAGTCTATTGTGGATTGGTGTGCGCCGGATGTACGTTGCCGACATCCGCTGCTCAGTCTGTGTCCGAAACCCTGCGTGCGGATCGCCTTGTCCCTTTCATCCTCTTCAACCGTCTCCACAAAGGTTAGACTTGACTCTCTCTCAGATTCGCGATATTCTGGGCCATGTATCCAAAGGCATGAGGAATGAAAGGACCGCGACGATGGCTAGACTCGTGAGCGTGCATTGAGGAGGCTTGGACGCGACACGACCGACTTGACACCACTGCGCGAGGGAGAAACCGCTGTTTGTCACTGTTAACTCAGGTTCACAAAAGGCCATTTGGGGGGCGCGTGGGCAATTATCACAGAAGTTTGACAGGCCTTGAATGATTGTGTGGCGTTTTTGCTCTAAGTGCAAAGTGAAGTCTGAAGATTCCAAGAAACTGCGGACGGCCAGCGTGACTGCAGCTTCTCATCATGGATCCCAACTTCCACTATGTCAACAACTCGTCCAACCACAACCTCGGCCAGGGCTACTTTTACGATACCAACAACAACCTCGCGCAGTCTCCCTACCACCTCAATCCCTTGTCTCAACGTCCTCAGCACCCTCAGCACCCACACTATTCTGGGCATTCTCAGCAACCTCAACATCACCGCCCTCACCAGTCGCAAGCACACCCCCAGGCACAGCATTACTATCTATCATCTCATCCCCAAACTCTCGCCCAGAACCACCCCCCGAACTATCAAAGTCGAGCATACCCTCAACCCTATCAGCCTCCATTGCAACAGCTTCAACAGCCAATCTATCAGCAACCTGTCCAGCTTCACCCACAGCCACAAAATCAGCTTGATCCTGGCACAATTGAAATCCCGATGCCTCGATCCCCCTATCAGCCTGCGACTGTGCAATCACAACGAGGCCATCAACCTTCACAGCTTGATTCCGGTATCATTGAGATATTGCCTCCTCGCCGTCCTATTCACTCCTCTCCGCCACAAGCACAGTACGGCCAGCAAACCCCTAGAGCCGGCCAACAGGCCAGACCTCAAGTACCGAAGCCAGTCACTGCCTACCAGAATACCCCGAAAAGCTCCCAACGACCTCAACCTGCGGCACAGCTACCTCAACAACATCTAGGAAAAGACTCTCGATCCGCCGTTAGTGACATTCAACACCCCACCCCTGTTACTCCCTCGTATTCGAAGAAAGAGGAGAGGCAGGGGGCATCCACGAGTAGTTCAAATACCCCAAAGACGCCTCGACAGAACCAGTCTCGTGTCCTGAAAGCTGTGGAGATCAATGCAACATCAAGGCAGCCTGTCGTAAAGTCGCCGGGCCAACGCGACCTTCCCATCGAAAACGATGAGCTGGAACCAGATTACCCCTCTCTCCTATGCGTCCTTGCCGACGACTACCTCGAAGCAGCGCGTAAGCTGCCTGCTCCGACCGAAGAGTATTACACTCTCATCGCCACCACGCTCGGTTGTCTTGAATCAGTCCTAGCCAATTTCAAAGTACCTCCTCTGAGGGAAGCACAGGTCTCTTTACGCTACGCCCAAATTCTGTACGCGGAAACCGAAAACTACGATACGGCAGAGACTATCTTAGCAAAGGCCATAGAGCTGTGCGAGCGACACAAGTTTATTGATCTAAAGTATGAGATGCAGCTCCTCCTGTCCAAGGTACTTTACGAATCGAAACCCAAAGCCGCTCTGCGAGATATCCAGAGAATGATCGATGACATCGAAGCCTATAGCCATACAGTTTGGTTGTATATCTTTCGTTTCCAACACGCAATGTTTTCGTTGGCTTCCAGTGCCCCCGGCGAGATTCACGGCGCTGTCGTCCAGTTGCAGAAGATTAGGCGCTTGGCTCATACAAATTCTGATGACGCCGTCTTTGCATTTGCTGCTGCTCTTGAAGCTCTTTTGCACCTATCTGGCTCGAGTCAAGAAGCTGTGACAGCTAGTCAAACGGCGCTGGCACAGGCTCAAAGTTCGCAATTGAATACAGATGTCCAAGGGATCCCACAGCTCGCCATACTGATGAAATTCAGCGACCTCGCCTGCAGCGTCCGAGGAGCTAACATTAGCCAAATCGCGGAAAAGCTCGCGGCTATGCTAGACGCTCTGAGGCGGTCGGTGAGCGATCCAAATTGGAGAGAAGATGGCTTGATCTATGTTCCGGTTGGGACAAAGGCAGTAGCTGGTATGCAACTCCATGGAAATGGGAATCTCATCAAGAAAAATGGAAAGTACCATATCCCCTTTTCGTGGCTGGGAAAAAAGGAAACAATGGCCTTGGGCAATTTGTTCTCGGCAGCGAGTTCAGCTTACAAGAATGGATCTGATGGAGGCAAGGCCGAGAAATATGTGGACAGCGGCCTTTCTGTTCTGAAGGCTCTGGGAATGCCCTCCCTCAGAGCAGGATACCGAGAGTCCAAAAGACAGTTGATCTCTCGAAGGCTTGCTGAAGCTGAGTTCTCGTTGCTTCTCGTCTTCTTACAGTGCTCGAAAGGACTTTGGCAGGCGGCAACCCATACCCTAGACAAAGTCCATGGGATCTCACAGGAGTTGGGCAACGCTTTTCCGGTCAACATGAAGTACTGCCTGCTGTATCTCCGGGGAGCCGTACTGCAGGGGACGGGAGATCTGGCTGGGGCGCTTCAGGTCTATCAATCTCTTTTCGACATTGATACTCAGAACAAATCACCCTCGGGAGGATCCAGATGCTCGAACCAGATATCAAATTCTTACCATGCAGAGTCCGATATAACCTGCCAATTCTCCATCCTCGCGATGATGAACTCCACCTTGATCATCCGCAATCCAGCCCATCCACAGAATAAGCGCCTGTCATCTTTGATCAAGGATCTGGACACCGCAGTTCAGAAGTGCGGAAATCCATACATCAAGTCGCATTACGCTCTCGTCGAAGCCATTCTGTCCACAAATCAGACCGCAAAGAAGAACTCTCTGGGTCGCTCAATGGCAGAAAGCAAAGCAATTGGTAACGCGCAGACTACGGCATTGATCCTCATCTACATGCAAGACCAGATGTACAAGGGCTCGACGGACGACCAAGCCTTGAAATGCGCCAGGGCCGCCAGCAATCAAACAGGGAGATGGGGCCAGCCCATGTGGTTGCACGTTGCGATCGCCTTGGAGGCCCAGGCACTGGACTTTCAGGGCCGGGTTGTCGAGGCAAAAGAGAAGATGGCTGCAGCAGAGGTTGGCTGGCAGATGTTGCCGAATGGCATCAAGGGTATTGCGGATGATGGCACAGCCGGCCCTCCAGAAGAGTGAATGGGCGCGAACTTGGTCGACCTCTGCTGTACATTCTGTGGTCTGGGATATAGCACGGCAGAAGCGATGGGGGTTTTTTTAAACACAGTGTTTGAGTGGGTGGGTGGTAAACGGGATGGCTGAACTCGTCTTCATACAGCAAGGAGCTAGGACAAGGACCAAAAAGGAGGGAACCTGTCGACATCTGGGAGTTTTGATGAGTCTGAAACTTGATGGATTTTAAAGGCTAGTTTTGCACATGACTTCAACACCCGAGCACCCACCGTGGTAAGCCGTGTTAGTTAATGTGAGGTTGTTCTCTGCCATTTCATCTCTCTTCCTGTGTCTGATCTTCCGTGTCTGATCCTCCATGTCGAGGTCGACGACGACATTTGGCAATTGTCTGTCCGGGGCAGATCGAGATGTCAGCTCAGTCATGCGGTGGCTCTCCTCGAAGTCTTGTACCCGAACAACCCATTCAGCGAGTAAATAAGCAAGCAAACAAACAAACAAGCGTTGCGTTTGCTCTCTCGATTCAGCCCATGAATGGTACCACGACCCAGCATTGCACAAGGAGCCAGCTGATCCATTCGCGCAACCGATCAAGCACGAGGAGTGTTGTTCTTGTTTGCGATCGTTGTTGTTGGACCCTCCGTAAACAAACCCGGTGGTGCTGTAGAAAGACATCGGTGGCATTAGCCAGATAGCAAAGAATCGTCACACATCGACTCATCCATCCTCAGATTTCGCGTCGACCCTAAGTGAATATCTTCGTCAAGCGTCGATACTCTCTGGAGTAGGCGGGGCGTTTCCCAACGACTCGGACCCTATTGCTTCTTTTGGGCCTTTCTTCTTGCGGTGGCGTTGGCGCTGGCGCTGGCGTTTGCCTTTGCCTTTGCCTTCGTCCGGGCTCGCTTTTTGGCCTGGCGTCTTTTGTATGCTTTCGCCGACGTTGCTGCCCTCTCCACGGCCTCTGAGAATGTCAGCCCAGACACTCTCGTCAATGGGTGACTCACTTCGTCGATCGTCCCGGATGTTAACGCCAGGGCTGCTGGCACTGGTGCTAGCAATCGCAGGGCTAGTGGCTGGGTCTGTGCCTTGGTTAGGATTCTGGTTGAGATTTAGACTGCGACTAATTTCATTCTCGAGTCCATCTAGATCGGAAAGGACCTCCGCGTCGGACAGGAGAGTCGGTTCTGCAGTGTGAAGTCGTTGCGAGACTGAAGAGTCACCCTCACCACCGCTCGGCTCCGGAGAACCGACACTAGGTGTAGGAGATAGCCCACGGTCCGGGGCACCTTGAAGAGCCTTTTGATCCACTGTCTCGTCGACCACACCAGGTGCTTGTCGCTTGCCTGTCTGCCATTCTCGAATCGTTCTGGATACATCGACCTGCCATTTGAGTTCTTCCAATTTCTGTTGGATAGAATAGACGATTTGTTCTTGTTTCCGCTGCCAGTTGAACAGCGCTGGACCGCCTTCTTTGGGCGCGTTGTTGAGAAACTCGGGAATCTGCAACAGATTGTGGGGTTGTGCCAGGCCTTTCAGCTGGCTATCGTCAACGAGGACAGTATTACTCTGATCCCACTTCCGTCCGGTTCCTGCTTTCGTTCTGATTTTCTTGTCTTCCCAGATGGGTTCGAGCTTCTTGTACACCTGAACTTTGGTGTCGTACTGTTCTCTGCTGAGGCCCAGCTTATCTCGAGCCCAAACACCAGCCATTGCACCCCGTTGAGTTGGATGAAAGAACTGACTTACCATGGCTGCACAGTTCTCAGGCTTCGCCGATGAGTACACCATGACAACATGGTTCTGGAATAAGTAGTCCAACAATTTGGGAACACCAGGTCGCACAATGATGTGCTTAGGACGATGGTGCTGAGGTCTAACAAGGAGTGTGCCGTTGAGGTCGAGAATGACTAGCAGCTTTTGTGGTGTTTCTCTCAGCACGGGCGGCAGTGCTGCTTGTCTCTTATACTCTTCGGTGGCTGTCGGGGCGGGAGGAGGCTTGACATCGGAAATCCATAGCCTGCGCTGCTGAGCTCTGGGAATCGGGGTAGTCCCACCCTGTCCTCGTTTACCTGCAGTCTCAGCAGACGACGCAGGTGCGCGTGCAGCTGGAGTGCTGTAAGCAGCAATCTGCGCTGGGCGTCTCTCTCGGAACTGGTATCGAGATGATGTTTGTGGCTGTGGTACCCCAAATATGTTTTGAGCGTGCTGGACGATATACCTCTCGCGTGTGCCATTCGACACTCTGTTTGACTTGTCAACTCGATATGTAGGATATCGAGCATAGTTATGGACTGACCTTAAAGGTTGATACGGCCTATAGTAAGACGGTAGTTCTTGAGGGGGTCGAGCCGCAAACGCGCCAGTACTGAGTCCTGCTGAGGCGGCAGGGTGTGTCTCGTGCTGGGCGCGGCCAAAGTAGTCATGGTAGGAGGACTGGAAATTGGTGGCAGTCTGCAAATTCGAGTCGTCGTTTCTGTACGGTCTCCACGAATCCGCTGCATTGTATGTGTCAATTTTGTACTGGATATAACACTCAAAGTAGTCACCTTGACGGATCGGTGCGTTTCGATCTGGCCTGTAGGAATCATATGCGCCTACATTCCGTGGCTGCAACTCTTGGGGCGTTGCGACCGGCGCCGCAGGCAGTCGATTGTCATTCGGCTGATATCGATCACCTCGAGTCCTACCCATGTTGGGCAATTCTATTGTACGCAAGGATAGTGATGGAGGATGTAGAGAGGGTCGGAAGAGGTGAGGGATGTGCGGCCACTGGAAGAAGAGTTAGTGGGCGGCGAAAGTGAAATGGGTGTTTGGAGGTCAGGCAGACTCTTGAATGCGGACTGCGATAGAGGGCGACCTCTATGCGCAACGCCAGACTGCGCGCACCTCGAATATGTCGAGGGAGAGCCTAGAGGCGGGGGGGAGTGAGCCGCAGTTGTAGCTGATAGTGTCTGTATTTGTTTATTTGAAAGACAGGCAGCGACGCTGGAGACTAAAAGTTCTGACTGATAATAATATTATTAGGGCAATTGGGATGGGCATTCCATTTTGCGTATGGCGTAGTCGTCAACTTTATCTGGCTTTTAAGGTCGTCGATCCACTTGATGCCTGTAACACACGCATTTCAAAATAAAAAAGTTCCATGCTGGGAGCGGGGTCCGCAGTTTGAACAATCATCGCAACCGGTGCTCTACTCTCAACAGTTTCAATGGCCTCGGGGCGACTCCTAGAAGGTCCCATTCGATTGAGACATGAAGATGAGGAAGATTATGAGCTGGAGCTATCCGACGAGAATTTAAACAGCCAAACGCAGTCGGGGAGTGACATCTCAGAGGAAAGCAACTCGGAGTCTGACAACGAGGTAAATCGATCTACCAGCCGCCGAGTTCTTCTCCTGTGCTGACAACGTCTAGAATAACGCTCTGTCGTCCGGAATTGAATCCGACGAAGAAGAATCCTTGGGTGATATCAGCTTCGGCGCTTTGGCGAAAGCCCAGGAAACGTTCGCTCCCAAATCCCGGAAACGAAAGCTCGCGGAGAGCTTGGAAGAGCCCGCATCAGACAAGGCCGAGGTGAACAGAGAAGAATCTTTCGATACGCGCAAAAGAGCCAAGGAAGCACGGATTGATGCACCCAAGAGAAGTTCAAAACATGCCCCCGCCGTTGAGTCGGCGCGGAAGCCGGTCTCGCGGAAGAGAATCATATTCGAGCCACCCGCTTCCCTGAAAGCGCGAGACCCGCGCTTCGATCCCACAGTCATGTCCGCAAATCGAGACAGGAACGCCACAGAGAAGGCAAACAGTAACTATTCTTTTCTGACCAAATACCACGCCGACGAGGTTCTGCAGCTCAAGGCCCAAATCAAAAAGGCCAAAGACCCCGATGTTGTTGCCGACTTGAAGCGACAAGTCATGTCCTTGGAGTCAAAGATCCGCAGTTCAGAAGCCCATCAGCGTGAAAAGGAGATCCTGAAAAGGCATAAAGAAAAAGAAAAGGAAGCGCTTCGAACTGGACAGAAATCCAAACCTTACTACTTGAAGGAGGCCGACGTGAGAAGACTCGCTAAGGAGGAGAGACTGCAAAGCCTGGGCAAGAAAGTCCGGGATAAGGCAGAGAAGAGGCGACGGAAGAGAGAGAAGGCCAAAGAAGCACGAGATATGCCCAGGGCAAGGCGTGAACGATAGCAATCACGAGATACAATTGTACCGTGGATGACTATGGTTTCATCTCCATATCTACGACCAGCTTTCCACCCACCCCCCGGTGATAATCCTCGACCAGCTCGTTCAACTTTTCCAGCGGATACGTCCTGATCTTTGCTCTCACGCCGTTCTTGGCCGCGAAATCGACCATGGCCTGCAGCTGTCGGTTCCTCCCAGTCAGGACGCCCACCAGCTTGATGTGTCGAAACACGAGATCGCCAGGCTTGAATCTCCACCCGTCTTTGGGGAAACTCACGCAGACACAGGTACCGTGGTGCTTCAAGATACCCATACCAAAGTCAAAGGCGGCCTGCGATTCAGGGAGGACGATGGACGAGTCGCACCCCTTCTCGCCCTCGAGCCCCGTTTCAGCCTCGCCGAAAATGCGCTTCTTCGCATCATCCACCGATTCCTTCAATGCGTCCACCACCGTGACCCTCTTGCCGTCCTCTCCTAGTCCCTCAATCACATCCTTCAACATACCCATCGCAGGTGTGGTGTCGACTGCGACAACATTCCATCCCAGCTTCGCCGCAAATTGCACTCCCAGATGACCCAATCCACCACCCGCCCCGAGAATCGCCACCGATTTGCCTTGTCCACTGCCCTTTGCACCGGTAGGATCCACACCCGCGGCCTCAAGGGAATTCCAAACCGTGACTCCCGCACACATCAGTGGGGCTATGTCGACTGCTCGCATGCCGCCAACCTCAGGGACGCGGGCAACCTGCCGGACATCTACAAGACACCACTCCTGGAAACCACCGTCTTTAGTCATTCCCAGATTGCCCGCCCGTGTACACCAGACACCATATCCTTTCATGTCCCCACCATTCTCCGTACACTCCTTGCACTGGCCGCACGGGTTGAACGCCCTCCCAGGCACGCCGACCAAACTTCCGACCTTTAGTCCTTTCGCCTCGGCTACCTTCTGCGCGTCGGAGCCGATCTGCTCGATGACGCCGGCAAATTCGTGAGAGCCGATGCGCGGCAGGTCTTGCTGCATGGCACCGGACACGAAAACCGCATCCGTGTGGCAGTACGAGGCTGCCTTGACGTGGACGAGGATCTCATGTCCCTTGGGCGGAGGCGGTGCGGGGTGGTCGGTCTTGAAGGTGTAGGGAGTATTGAAACGTTCTAGCACTTGAGCGCGCATTGTGGACGGGGTTCTTGGGTTGAGGGGATTATTACTGGTGTGTTTGGTGTCGCCGCTGCTGTGTGTATGGAGACTTCTGACAAACCCAACTCGAAAGGTCGCAACCTCACTCGGACAGCTGCGTCTTGTGAGTCGAGGTTCAATGGAGCCTTGCGTGCGCCAATTCTCTTTCAAACTCGCGGTTGACGATGGCAGATGCTGTAACGGTGACGATGAAGCTGATGCCCGCGAAGATGACGGCGTCCGACTTGGGCCTGTCGTCCGTCGGAGGAGGAATTGAAAGAGGTCTGTCGTTACTCTTGCCGGACCGTGCCCTCTCAGCATTCAAAAACGGCCTTTTTCTTTGGGTTCTTTCTGGATCTCTCTCTCCTTTTCGGTTATATGCTCCAAAAAAATACCCCCGCGACGGAGAAGTTTCTCCGAGATGTTGGATATCTTTCCGTTGGGTGGTATCCGGGTGGATACGAACAAAGACCTCCTTGTCTCCCGTTCCCCGTCTCCCGTCAGCAGTCAATCGATTGATATACAGTACCTCGTACGTCTAGTCGACTTCCGAAGAAGAAGTAAGTAAGAGTGAGGCAGGAGGAAGCGCCGGGAAAAAAGAACGAAATTTGAGAGAAACTATTCTTGTTTCCAAAAGAGAATAAAACACACCGAGGGAACTTGGGGGGACCTCGACAACGGGATCCAGCACAGACTCGGACTCGGACTTTGGATATTTGAACCAAAAAAGGGTATTACAAAGGGGAGGGGAAAGGAAGGGAGGGCATTGAGAGGTAAAGGTCTGAATGAGGTTTTGCCATGTTGGAGAAAAGGACTGTTCAGCCTCGTCCGTGGGTGGCGGGGTCGAGGCTTTTTCTCCAATTCCGAGTTGGAGAAGGAGAAGGAGCAAACCGCGAGACTGCCAGACTGCGTAAGACTCTACCGAGTATACAATCTCAATCTGACGTTCACTTTCCACTCTGTCCGTCCAACAAAATGTCGCATCGATATAGGAGCCATTCAGATGAAAAGAAAGCTAATCCCGACAAGGGGAATGCTCTTCAGCTTTGACACCGATCAAGGTGACTAAATTTCCCATTTTCCAAGCCTAGCGAATCTGTGCACTATCAAATTCGTCCTCCTTTCCCACCCACCGATCCCGAACGTAATCACAAGATAAAATGCATCATCATCAACCCTGTCCTTGGTATCTGGGAGACCTTTGGCGCCCACCACATCCTCCTTAAATCAGCCGTCCCACCCGATTCGTTGTGTCCTGAAGTCGGTAATTGGTATTAAGCAATAGTCCCAGTCCAGCCAGTCCTTGTTCATCATTACGCAGTTGTCCCCTTTTGCAAGTTCATCAGCCAAAAAGAAACACCTCGATCCCCAAAAGGCGGTCCAAATCCCACAGAGCTCAACAGATCATAGGTCCGAGAGAGCAAAAGCCAGTTGTCTCATTACGCCGTAAAGCGCCGTCGCCCAAGAAGAGCTGGGAATACGTTTTCAGTATCCAAAAGGACATGAAAGCGACGAGCTGTGGTTACAACTCAGGAGTGGAACAGGTCCCAGGCTCTCGAGCACAGGCTCAAGAACTCCTCCTTCTTTGCTCTCTGAGTAGCCGGACTGTCCCTTCCCTCGCCAAAAGGTCCGTTGTAACGAATTCGATCGGGGCCTGGACCGAGCGGGGGACTGCTGCCATCTTCATACTCGTTGCGGCTTCTCCTCCTGCTTGTGGATTGCATGCTGGGTTGGTATTTGTGCGGAGTGAGACTGTCTTTATGTCCAACGCGCGGTGAAGGAGGTGTAGGGGGTTGGTGACCACCATAGTGAACGATTTTCGGCAGCAGCTCCTCCCGGCCCCCGGTCAACTCGTGCACTGCTTCTTCCGCCGATCGATACTCTCTTGGGCGGTCGAAATTATGTGATTGATGCTGAGACGCCGGGTGAGCTGTTTGCGGAGCGAATCCTGGCGATGGCAGGGGAGGACCATGGCTTTGAGACGAAGTCGAGCTTGCGTGAAGGAAAGGCGGTCGACTAGCGCCCGGATGCAGTTCGTTAGCCCCAAAGACATCGGCAATAGGAGGCAACCGGTTCGTTGTCTGTATAGCAGGCACGTGATGAATATGTGAGTTTTGCGCCAGGTTGGGTGTTTGGTTGTTAATCTGCCTCGACATGGGAGGAGGGTCATGTCGACCGGTGAAGGTCTGATTTAATGGTGCGGATTGAATGACCCTTTCGTTGGCAAATCGCTCCGCGGGAGGGGGGACAATCGATAAACCTGGTGGGGGTCTCTTCTTCGAACCATTTACGGTGCTCTTGCTCGAGCTTGGGCCAGCTCCTTCACCAGGCTTTCCAGACTCTGGCGCATCGCCTCGAGCGGATTTAAGGAGTCTTGCCTGGATGATTGATCGTTGTTGGTCCCGGACTGAAATGCTGCGTTCAAGCTGTTCCCGCATGGCAGGATCTTGAGTCTGAAAGCCAGGCGACAAACAGGCCAAACCAACGTCATGCATCACCAGGCCATCTCTTGCAGTCAGTGGTGTTGCAGAAGGCCGCGAGTTCAAGCCGGTGGAGATCGAGGTATTTGTATTCAAATCCAACTTCTTTGGACGGTGACGAGTACTCGCCTGGAGCGAGGGAGATGTTGGTGGCTCTTTCTTGACGATGATCTTTGGATTTCCGTTGCTCCTACCGCTGGGTCGGAGGACAATCAGCTATCGTTTAGCAGGAAATAGGAGCGTCGATACAACTTACGACCTAGGGGACCTTTTCCCATCCGAAGGTGTCCTTTCACTTGAATTCATGCCACCACTCATTTCCGAGGTCATGGCCATATCTGAATTTCTGTCCTTTGGGGTCGAGTTACTGGAAGGAGCTAATGGCGGATATGCTCTTGGGCTCGGATTTCGGTCAAGGGGTGGGAGCGCAGCCATTATTGCTGGAGCTACAGCTGTCGACATGGTGAGGTCGGCCGTCAGAAACCGGGGTGCAGAGGGGCTGCTGAGGACTCGAGTCGCACAGGTAGCCCTTTACAAAACAGCAGTGAACAATCCAGCTCTTTCTCTCAGTGATAAAAGACTTGTAGGTTCAAGCTTCCCGTCGATAGTCGATTGTAAAGGCGTCGGAGGCGGCCCCCAAAAAAGAATAATTGGACGCTAAACGAATGGCTTCGCCAGCAAGCAGCGCGAGATGGATGGCGGCGATTTGCCAGCAAGTCGAGCACAACCTTGCGAGTAGCGAGCGACCGTGGTAGCGACAAAAAGATCGAAAGGCGACTTGAGATGTTTTGTGAGAGGCGGAACAGTAGAGAACGGGATGAGCAAGCAACGAGCGGCTAAGGTCGTGTAGAAAACAGACCTCGCGGATGCAGGTGACGGATGGATAGGGAAGGGGGGAAAAGGAAAGGATACGAGCACAAGTGCAATTGGGAAAATGGAAATGGGAAAAGGCGGGCGGCGCAGGGAGGGGAAGGGAGGACAGGGAAGGGAGCAAATGGAACGCGCAGGAGGGCCCCAAGGAGCCCCAAGGACACCCGCAAACGAGAGACACGACACCGGTCGAGTGTCGCGAGTCTCGTTGGGTTCACACTAGGGATTCAGAATTGGGAACTGGAACAGATGAGATCCAAGCCCCTAGCCTCGACTGGTGTTAGGCCCACCCGCCTGAGCCAGGAACAACGTCGAGAAGTGGTCCTGGGTGGGCTTCGGTGGCACTGGGGTCCTAAGAACAAACTGTCAGAGCTTCTCTTCCGGCCTGCCATGTGTCTGCGCAGATTGTGGCCGTTAAGCCGAGTCTGGGCTAGCGATGAATAACCAGAAGTTTCATGGGCGCCACCCTGAGGGCCTTTCCAGGGGGGCGTGCATCTGACACGCAGCACCAGATGCACCAGCAGCACCCACAAACACCCAAAAGTTCAAGCTGGAGTTATGCCGAGCCTGGTTCACTCCCCTTCGACTCCCAGCATCTGCGGCGTGATGGCATTACCACTATGACTCGGATCCCGCATTCTGATGCCATCCATGGCTCGATCCCAACCGGTTCATGTTTCGGACTTCGCTAGTTTGTCCTCTAGTCAGCCAACACACGCGGGAACCTCTCGGATGCGACAACTAAGCGACCTCATTCGGCCCAGAGCCCAAGCTTAAAGGCTTGCCTCGCGCTCCTGGGGCTCTTGACTTTGCCCACCCTGCGGCAAATCGTGTTTCATATGCCGAAGCTTTGCGTCAATATTATTGTCATGGGCATTTGTGGGCATTGATGGTCTCGAGCCGTTTTACTCCTCGCACTTGGTCCTGACACCAACGGGTTACAGCCCTCCCCACAGAAGTCACCTTTGGATCGTGGACGCGATCCATCTCAGCACTGTGCTGCGAATGCTACCCCGACCCTGCTTTATCGGTGTCACATATTAGTCGCAAAAGAGGAGGAAAGAGGAGGAATTCGAGTGCAGAAAATGAACCTGGTGGGAAGTGACCCGGAAGTTCGGATTCGCACGGGCAGCACTAGGTCTAACATCAGCCTCTGACGAATGCATGTCACACGTTGCAATCGGTTCCAGGTTCCTAGCAAGGAATCGCACTATCGCCCAGCTCGGTGGAATGAGATGCAGCTTACCGCCCGCCAAAACATACCCTAGACCTCGTTTGTTGGGGACTATTCGGCATTGCTAGGTACCAAATAGAGGCATCCCAAATGTTCTACCTAGCTTCCAAGGCCGAAGCGAAGGTTACTCACTCATGCACTGCATTTTCCAGATGCATTGATACGCACGAGAGCCTAGCAGCAACAACAGAAGTTTCCATGCCCGTTGACTCAACGGCTGCAATGCTTGACCAAAACCTGCAACATCCAGAACGGGCACAGGGTACTCCATACCATGATTAATTTTACCAGAAACAGTACGCTACGCGGAGAAGGCGTTCTACCCTTATGTGCCTAGACACTCTCTAGGTGAATCACAAGTGGATGGTGAAACGCTTCTAGTGGCCGATCGTGCTGCGGCAGACTCCAACTGCTGGGGCAGCTGAACAACGAACAACAGCCTCTCGATGATCCTGCGAGTAATAATGGTGCCCCTCAAAAATTGGATGGCACTGGTTAAAACATGGCCTTCGAGCCCTTGCGCGTCTTTCAGCACTGTCGCAAGAAAAGAAGTCCTCGTGATCATTGTCCTACGTGACTTGTGTCAAAATCTTCACATCTTCCGAGTTCCAGCCATTTCATGATTGGATGCCTTTTCTTCCGCCAGAGGCCTCACATCTCGCTAGTTTCAGGCGTTGGTATTGCAATTCCAACTACCCCTACCTGAAGCCACGAGGTAGCCCAATCGTGGCGCCCAGATGAGCGAATGACGAGATGCCTTGAAACGCCCGCACGAGGCTAACCAGGCCGCCAGGCAGTCTTTGTCTGGAGTGTGAGTACATATGGAGGTACTTTGACGGCCAGGCTGCCTCATTATTGTCCAACTTCAGGTTCAGGGACTGTTACTCGAGACTACGAGTCTGTTCTTGACACAACCGTCATATCGCGCCTCTTATGTCGACACAGGAGTGGACTTTGTAGCGCTTTCCGCGCGTATCGCGTGGCACAAGCACGGAAGAAGCCTTCGCAACCACTACGGATTTGGTGCTTCGATAAGAGATTCTCGTTGTTCCCACCTTTGATCGCTAGTTCGCTGACGCCATTCTCTTGACAGCAGCCAATTTTGATTTTCTATTATTATTACTTGCAGGTACGACAAGCATTACCAAGTACCTACCTAGTAGTACTCCGTGGTAGGAGATCTATCCACTTTGCTTTCATCACACCTCGGCACACCCTCTCTAGCTACACTATGGATGTACATCAAATGTCTGGAGAGCAACCAGTACGAGCAAAACACGGCCACGAAAGGTTTCGATCAGATCACGACATGCAGCACGTTCTGCAATAGTTCACTGTCTGAAAAGAAGCCAACACAGCCAAGAACATCTTGTCAAGGTCTGACTGGGCGAAATACAGGCATGACGACCAATTTTCGAGACTTTTGTCTTGATATGGAGAACCACGTCGCCTCGACGCTGTGCTACCCTTTCAGCATACGCACAGTCGGTACTATGGGAGCTTCTCACAGTTTCTTTGGGAGTCCCCCGTGATAAATGATGATGTATCGGTTTTTCGTTGTATGATAGCGAATGCATGACTCTGGGCCCGGGATCTAGTAGTTCAAACCCACACAGGACCTCGGGGTAGGAAACGCTGTCTTATCGCATAGCCTCCATCTGATCCTTGCGAACTGCAAAACCTCGCAATATCTTCGAGAAAGGGAAATCATGCATATAATCCGAGTCACGACACCCAATCTATATTTCGCATTTATGGTGTATATAGATAACAAGTGAGCGAAATCTTTGCCCATAACAGCATATACTGTATCATAGAATCAGGAGATACAGGAGGTCTATCGCGAGGAAGCGAACTCGACAAGATGATGCAGAATATGTTGTTGTACTTGGTGCTCAGTACTCAGTTCCGCTTGACCTATTCCCAATTAGGCGAATTGCCTCTGGTGTCTTGGCATCAAGAACCCGTTTCCGAGAACCTTGAAGATTTTATATCCATTGTCGTATCTGTTTCTGGTCGACCAACGTCCATTCATCGCCATCTGTTCGAGAAACGTATTAACTACAACATATCTCAAGATGTCTGAGGTTTCAGAAGGCGACGTAAACGATCCCGAATATATCGAGGATTTGCTGTTGCGCGGGGCGAAGAAGCTGATCGTGGTAAGTTTCTGGGAGCGGTGGGATTTGGATACAACAAAAAGTCTTTGATCTACGGTTCTGATGCCTCTTGTGCTGCAGCTTCCTGGCGCATCTTCGCATGCAGCATCATTCCAATTCGAAAAAGAAGACCACACGATGGGCAATGCTTTGCGGTATTTTGTTAACAAGAAGTATGGCTCCGTGAACGATGGAGGTTTTTTTGGAGTAGATCATGGGATTGACTTTTGCAGCCCCGATGTCGAGTTCTGTGGCTATACAATCCCACACCCTTCCGAGACGAAAATGAACATTCGGATACAGACTTGGGGTGAGTGGCTTCTCGTGGTCCTCGTCTCATTCACCGCCCAATGCTGACCCAGACCAGAGGATACCGAGACAACTGCAGTCGACGCACTCAGGAAGGGTTTGTTAGATATGATTGCTGCTTGCGAAGTGGTGTCGAAGAAATTCTCAGAAGCGCGAGATGAATTCAATGCTTCAATTTCATGACCACGTATCACGAACAGTCGGGGTGTTGAGGGTAATGGATTTGCACTGGAAAGGCGCCCGGAGTGTCGGTAGATTTTGGGGGGTCTTCTCTTTCTAGCTATGTACAATTGCTTCAGCGCTCCTGCCGAGTGGGAATCTGCCTTAGTTACGGCCCTAAAAAGAAGCAAGAGTTAGCCAGCAGGAACAGCAATGATAGGTGTGCGGCATTGCTGGATGCATACCTCAAGAAAACCCTGGATGAAGTTCTTCGGCAGTTTCGCATTCTCATCTTCATCCACTCTAAAGTACTTCATGACGTGTGAGTACTGCTTCCAGTAATTCAACATTTCCTGCGGCGAACACCCGTCTCGTCAGTGTCTGCATGCCACCTTCAGACCATCTTTGTGTAATGTTGAACCCACCTGAAACTCTGCATGGCTCTGTTGGAGTAGGACGTCGACCGCCTGTACGTTGTTGACATATCTGTGCTTTTCGAACTCTTCTCTGACTTTCGTACGGATTCTGGAGACCGGCATATTGAGGGAGTAGAGCTGTTGGATCTCAGGTCCCTTGAATTCCAAATCTCTCAGTCAGCCACCCTTATCCCCCCCAAGCGCAATGAGGTCTGGTATTATGTTCGCGTACCGCTCTCAGCCATTCTCGATAGGACTTCAGGACTCGCCGTCGTGCATCTGACCAATTGATTGCTGTCATCCGGTCAGTGAATTCCCTCCCGTAAGAAGACTGGATTCCGAGGATCGGGACACCTACAAGAACGTGACCGTTGGGCCAGATATGTGGGATTTATGACCATCTTGGAGCTCTCAATTCTCACATAGGAGGTCCACAGAGAGAATGTGAAGTTCCGGCGTACTGCAAGGTCCAAGTTGCGGTTCAAGTGTGGTGAATCCAGCTTCGAGCTCGGGCTGCGGCAGCGTCACCTTCCGCTTGTGTTTGCTCCGCAGAATCTCAATGTCGGCGACAATACAACCTAAGCCTGTTATGGAAAAGACTAATCTACATTCAGCAAACATTTATTGCTGCTCTTGTTGAGCGTCTATTGACCCCTAATGAAATGCGAGGACGAGTAATTATATTTGTTGGTTCCGAAACTTCGAGGTGCTCTCAGAGGTACGGGTGTTGATTCAATTGCTCGGGCAAGCTCTTAAGCTTGTCAATTGACAGGAACTGAAAGTATTGACCATCTGGTGCGCACCACCGATAATCACATCAGGGTTAACTAGCGCGGGTCTGAGGCCTTGGGATTACCAAAGGACGAGACCTGATTGATTGCATGGCGGCTGCGAAAGACAATAGCCAAAAGCAGCGACAACAGAGCCCCGTGTTGGGCAAGTCTGACAAGACGGATTTACTTTTTCTTTCTCGACTGTCTCTCACGAAACAGCAATCGTCGAGACAGGTCAAAATGGGGTCAATAGAACGAATTATGCCGTTATCACTACCGCGCCGAACTCACACACTCTCGCGCATCACCAACGAGACCAAGATCCAGGTGTCGCTCTCGCTAGATGGAGGCGCACTCCTTGCATACGAAGCCTCCCAGCATTTCCCTTCGGCGATATCACCAGCTCAGAAACAGGCACATCCCGACGTCCTGTTTCCTCTGCCCACCTCGCACCATGCGACACAGATAACGCCCACTCAGCAGATAGCCATATCCACCGGCATTGGATTTCTGGACCACATGCTGCACGCACTGGCGAAGCATGGAGGTTGGTCCCTCGCCATCCGGGCAAGTGGTGATCTGATCATCGACGACCACCACACGGCAGAGGACGTCTTTTTGGCGGTCGGATCAGCGTTCAATGCCGCGCTGGGGAAACGGACTTCTCTCGTCCGCTTTGGTCGCGGTGACGCCCCCCTCGACGAAGCCTTGTCGTGGGCGGTCATCGACCTTTCCAACCGACCGTACAGTGTGATAGATTTTGGATTCACCCGCGAGAAGATCGGCGATTTGAGCACAGAGATGATCACGCATGGTCTCGAGAGTTTTGCACAGGCTGCCAGTGTCACCTTGCATGTAAAGTGTGTCTACGGAAGCAATAACCACCACAGGGCGGAAAGCGCTTTCAAGGCGCTGGCAGTGGCTTGCAGACAGGCTTGCGAGAGGAGAGCGGAGGGCGCGGTGGGTAGCGGAGATGTGACGAGTACAAAAGGCGTGCTTGGATCGAGTGTGACAGGCTAGGATCGGAAAACCAATGGACAGAGCGAGTTTATTCTGGTATTTGTCTGCTCTTTCAACCCATTACGGCGCAAACACGAGTCGAGCGGAACTCCCGCTGACCAAAACAAATTCGCATGCTGCTTTGTAGCACCTTTTCATACAGACGCCAAACCCAGGATGCTGCGACACAATCTCCGCCGACTTGGGTTGACCCCGTATGCCTGTCCTATAAGACCTGGATAGCAAAACACCAAACAATACCAACATCTTTGTGAATCATAAAGTCATGCCAGCTCAATGCATTCGCTCAACCCAATCCACCCCAAGCGCCTCGAATCCTTCTCGCTAATTGGATATCCTTCTGCATGATCGTAACCCGCTTCGCATGGATGGCGCACAGGTTTGTGTCTTCGAAGAGATGCACAAGGAATGCCTCGCTCGCTTCTTGCAAGGCCTGGATCGCTTGACTTTGCCACCGAAGATCTTGCGCTGCGTGGTACGGAAGGATAGAAAGGGCAACTTCTCGGACGAGACGAGCGAAAGGCAGTTTAAGGATTAAGAGGTCGGTGGATTGCTGATATCTTCGGATTTCTCTGAGTGCGAGTGTTCCAGGGCGATATCTTCGGGGTCGTCGCACGGGTATGGGATCGCCAGCTGTCGAATGTTATCAGCATTTGGGTGTTGTGTGGGTGTGTGTATATATATATATATATATACACAGTGATGAATTGTCTTGGAACTTACGTTGCGCCCGGAGCCGCTTGCCTGATATTGTTCTAGGTGACGGGTTCACTCGTTGGGCCTGTCCTCTCTTAGGGGTAAGAGGTCCTGAGCGTCGCCGGATGCTTTTTGTCTGAGCCATGTATATAACGTCGTGGGTGGCCGACTTGGGACTGAGTCAAAGTAAGGGAAACCAATAGAGGGCGGGGGATCTCGTGGCTGGACGCGCGAGTATCAGTTGGTTCTGGAAGTCGACAGAGATGGCTGCATGGACTCCGAAGTCAATGGATGCTGGCCGGCTGTAATAGTGTTGAGTAACTGGGTGACGCCCAACAGTTGAATAAGGTCGCGTCCACAGACATCATTCTCCGCGCGTTACGAAAGACCCACCACCCACAACTCGGTACTCGGTACAAGTCGGCATCCGGCCGCTTTACTGAATGGTCGCTTCACCTGCCTGATATGACGACTTCATTCCTCGCCGTTCCTTTCTTCGGAGCCATGCTCGCCGCAGTTGCTGTGGTTCGACATCATTCCATTCCATTATCCCGCCAGCCCCCAAAGTAAAGCCTGCTCGAACCTCGCCCTCCTATGTTGTTCATGATGATGTCTCATTCCCTCTGAGAAGAGGCCACCTACACACCTAACCTCTCTACCGCTACATGAACCTTTCCTTTCCTATACTATCTCCAACTCCGCCAGCAGATCACTTCTACCATGACTACTCGGACCTGCGTTCCCCGATCTTGACTCAGTCCGTACTCTCGCCTATCTACACCATCGTCCAGAGCCCCGAATTCCTCTCAGACTTTTCTCGCACGATCCTCCCTTTTTTTGACCTGATACCTTGGATAATGGCCGCGATACTTGGGGGTGGGGGTGAAGATGGCCTCGGCCAACTGGGGCAGTTTCCCCTCGAACAGTGGTTTTTTGAGATGCCGCCTTGCACCCGGTACTGGACGACAGCAACGGTTATTACATCTATATTGTTGCAGTGCAAAGTCATCACGCCATTTCAGTTGTTTTATTCATGGCGTGCCGTCTACTATAAGTCGCAGGTGGGTGTATACGTCTACAACGACCAAGCTCGTATTTGCTAACGTTCCCAGTATTGGCGACTGTTAACTACGTTCATATACTTTGGTCCGCCGTCACTGGACCTAGCCTTCCATGTGTTCTTCCTTCAGCGATATTCTCGACTGCTAGAACAAGGCTCTGGGGCCTCACCAGCCGTCTTCTCTTGGCTGCTATTATACGCATGCACGTCGCTGCTAGCCTTGAGCTCACTTACTACCTCCATCCCATTCCTGGGCTCGGCACTATCCAGCACTCTTGTATACATCTGGTCACGACGTAACCCCGACACTCGACTGAGTTTTCTCGGCGTTCTTGTCTTCACCGCCCCTTATCTCCCGTGGGTTCTAATGGCGTTCCACATGTTCATGCATGGCAGCATTCCCAAGGACGAGATACTTGGTGTGATCGTGGGCCATGTCTATTACTTCTTCGCGGATGTTTGGCCTGGTTTGCATGATGGCCAACGACCGTTGGACCCTCCTGATTTCTGGGTCCGCTTATGGGAGGGTCGACGCGACGAAACTGGCGTGCGAAACATTGACGGTGATGTGGCAGCTGCAGCAGCTCGGCCGGGCGAAGTACGTTGATAACAAGCTGGACCCTGGAATTGAACAAAAACAGTCGAATTTCTCGAGTTGTTGCGAAACACCAATAGAACCTGGCTGTGGATTACACATAGACGCAGCAAAACAGAATAGACCTGTCAGTACTCAAGACTCGAAATTTATCTGGATATGAATATCAACTTATTATTCACGCGGATTTGTGTCTGAAATGCCTTCACTACAGCACGCCCACAAAAGTCAAAATGGGTGGCGCGCCAGAGACCAGCACTCCTAGCGTTGCTCTTCATCTTCAGGGATACTCCAATTGATCTACGACAGCTGCATGAGAGGGCAAATCATTTGTGCGTTCTTCATGTGCGCGCATACTCTGCTCTACAATACAAAATCAAGATTACCGAGAACAAATACCTCAAAACCTTACCCAAGAAGCAGCTCAACCTCAGTGGAGAGCTAGGTACCTGGTGAGAGAGACTCGGATCTTTCGAGGTACATTGGAGAACTATGCTTCTCGGGGCCATTGCAACCAGTCAATTCCTTGGCAACTCGGATTGATGGACAGGGTTGTTGGGCAGTATATTCCAAGAGATCAGGACTCTTCACTAGGAAAAGAGCGACACATTGATACGACACCGCTCGCTTGATTCAACGAGGCTGCAATTTCGACCTCTGGCAAATTAACCCCGAAGCCTCAAAGATCAAACTGAAGGATCAAGTCGACTTGTCTGATCAACGATTGGACGACACGGTCTACTGCTGCGCCCTGCGTTCGATCACTGGGCAAAGGTTCTACAGACAGTGATGCATGATTGATGTACTTGGAACCAAAGTTTCGCAGACTCTGCGCGATTTGCCACAGTAGCAAACGAGAAATATTACGAGCTGAGTGGCTATCCACGTCCTTGGAATCGAACTTTGCAACAATATGTGACCCACATGCTGAGAAGGGCACATAAATGGTTCCATCAAAACACCTCAAGAGTCGGACGGATCCTTGCAATATCAAAGCTTGATCTTTCTGGTCACGGCGAGTTTCCATCGGATCTACTGTGTACCACGCTTTCTTCCTTTGACACAAGGTGCGAACGTGTTTGTTGAGGGACGTCTTCTTTTGAAAGCTCCGCTGGGTTGATCTCAACACCGGGCGAGTGCCTATAAATTTGAGCTCTGCCATTGACCGATCTGAAATACTTTCTTCCCTCTTTCCTATATCTCTTTTTCTCTATCTTTTGCCTTTATCATCCTTGAACCCTCCGGTTCTCTCCTTTTTGTCTCTCACTTGACCATCCTCCCTCGTCTCGCCCTGCGCTGGAGCCCCTGCCGCAGTGCCCTGTGCCTTGCCTTGACCCCACCTATCTATCTATCCTCATCTTTTTTTCTATATTAATACCATCCGAACCCTTATCCTCAACCTCGTCCCATATTCTTACCGCCAACAAATTCTGATCAGCACGTCACTGTTGATCAGAAACAAGCAGATTCCTGTTTCATCAGGTCCTTTTTTTACATTGTGTGTGTGTGTCTCCCTCTCTCTGTGCACCTTGCACTTTGCACATGAGACCACCAATTTTTTGTTCTTATCCCGAAAAGGGGGGGAAAAAACTTGTGTCGATGTATGGCCTTTGCACTACCGCCACTGATGCAAAAAAAAAACATGACAAAACTTTTTCATCATTCGCTCTTTTTTGTTTTTTGCCTTGCCGCAAAGCATTGGAGAAGAAGTTTTACTGTCGTGTCTCGGTGTCTCTTTGGGAGGAGGTAGGAGGTATTATGAGGAGGTAGGAGGAGGTAGGAGGAGGTGTGAGAGAGGGAGAAGAGGGAGAAGAGGGAGAATCATGGGAGGGTATTCGCCTGTTTATTCGTTTGGCTGGCTGGTGGCGTCCTGACCTTGGTTCTCTTCACCTACCATGCCATCATACCACTATCACAAGGGCTCGTGGACCGTGGATACAACCTCGTGAGATACAATACACACGTGCCGTACATAGACAGATGTCAATTCTGTAGGAGAAGGGGTTGTCTGGCATTCTGGCGCCTGGAGTCGAAATACTCGAGCTACCAACATCGCTTCGTCGAACCGAGACGTTCTGTATTGTATGTACTGTAGGAGGTGTGGGAAACCCGTGAGCCTGATGGCCACAGAATCACAAGTGCAATGGTACTCTGGAGGAACTGCTCAATTCGTATTCCTTTCTCTGCTCTATGGAATCTGTGGATGGCAAGCAAAGAGTGAATATGAGACGCGGCGGGCCTGTCTATCTGCCTTGCTACTGTCGGAACTGAAGAAACACGAATCCACTCGTCAATCGTGCATGATGTTTCTCAACCGAGAGTTGGTCTTCCTTGCCTGTCATACTATCATGCACAACATCCACTTGTCATCCGAACTGTCATTGTTGGTATCATCATCACATCCGCTCAACCAGGAGCAACGTCTTGGAACGGCGAGACTGTCGACGCATTGCTTTACTTGAAGACCTTGCCGTCAGCCCACTCGTACGTCTTGCCATTGACCTCAATTGGCTTGTCCCAAGACCATTGGTCCTCGACGAATGCCTTGTCTTCGGGCTTGCTGGGATCAAGCTTGGTGAACTCGTAGCTCTCCCAATCTGGGGCGACGTCAAAGGCAGGCAGAGCTTCGTCACCACGGACCAGGAAAGCGCCCTGGATGACCGAATCGTTGGCCTGTCCGTACACGGAGGCAGCGCCAAAGAGGTATTTGCGGGACGCCTCAAGGCGATTGAAGAATCCACCTGGTTCAAACACTTAGCTGAATGTTTCACCGTGAAAGCGGTGGCATGAAGAGGGACGACTTACCAATGAGGTTTGATGACATGAAAGTCAGCGTCAACTCGTCGTTGTACTTGTAATCAATCTTCCACAATGAGTACTCCTCTGGTTTGTAGTGCTCCCAGAACCAAGGCAACGCCACTGAACGAGTATCCTCATTGGAATACTTTCTCTTCCAGTCATCAAGAATCAAGGTCGGCTTCGGTAGTGCCTCGAGAGGATGCTTGGCTTTGACCTCTGGTTTGGCCTCCTCCTCCTCCTCTGGTTCCTCCTTGGCGGGTTTCTTCTCAGCCTTCTCCGGTGCAGGAGCCTTAGCAGGCTTTGCTTCCTTCTTGGGTGGGGTATACTTCACGGCCTCTTCGACCAAGATTGGCTCGGGAATGATGGCCTTCCAGATGGGTTGGTTTGTAATGGTCTCGAACCAACGTGTGGTGTTGGGATTCTCTGCACGCCATTCCTTGTCGAGGACATATTGGAAACCGCGAGACAGTTGCGAGGTCACATACAGGTCAGCAAGAGTGATGCGCTCTCCAACCAGGAAGGTGTGAATGAGGAAGTGTTGTTCAAGAGCATTGATAGCATCAGAAGCAGCTTTCTTGTGGTCATCAACCGACTTCTTGTTGTAGGGAACCTTGCCAATCAAAGGGCTAAACCACCCAGAAAGGTTGGGGAGGATTTCGCTGTTGGAGAAGGACATCCATCGCACAATGGAAGCATAGTCTTGCTTGGTTTTTCCAAGGAGAGTGGTCTTGTCATTCTGCGAGGCGACTGCGATGAATCGTCAGCGGAACTCCTGCATGTCCAGTGCGTCAAGGGGTACCAAATAAGGGCTAGGAAACAAGATCTCTCAGAGTTTAATGTAGTCAACAAGGGTTATTCAGACAGGGATAACTGAATATGATAATATGGCTCATCTTTGAAGGCAGGAAATGACCAACATGGAACTGCGGGGCTAGACTCACAATAGATGGCAATGGCAATAGACTCAGTCAAGACGAAGCCATTGGAGCCAACAAAGGTGGGGATTCGTGACAGAGGGTTCAGCTTGCGATATTCAGGATCTGTGACGGGGGTCCTGGTCTCGACGAGTTCGATGTCAAGGTTGTTCTCCTTTGCGACCGCCAAAAGGGCAGTGCTGCGGGCGTTTTCCTACAGGGGTGAAGTCAGTAACGCTTGACTCTCTGTAAATGTCCATCGGCGTAGGGCTTACCTTGAAGCTGTAGAGCTTGCCGAACGACATGTTGAATCTGGGTACGGATGTCTCTCGGGAAGAAGAATGGAATGGAGGTGGTAGAGTTGTCGTGAGGCGAGCGAAATTCAAGTCATAAACAAATTTTTGAGGTCAGTCATAAGTTCCCGCTTTTTGCAGCGCAGGCTCCTAAAAAGGCTTGGCGGAATGTGTGCCCGATCTCCAAGCTCCAACCTCACCATCTTCTTCACTCACGAAGTGCCATTGGGTTTGCGCTGGATTTTTCCAGGCAATCAATCTGCATGCCATGATCTGTCAGAGTCTTCTTCTCAGCAGGTGATGAAACACCTCCCACTGAACATGGCGCGACCCTCAGCGCGGGCCTTCCCATCCACCATCTCGTTCATCTGTCGCCAATGTCGACTTCATGACAAAATCCAATTGACAGCTCATCGTCAATGGATCCAGCCTCTCGGAAGATATCAGGGCTTCTCTACGACAACACATTCTGCCGCAGAGGTTCAGATCCGTGCTGCGCCCGAGATAGACATTGACGACTCTACATCTCTTCCTGCTCGAATCCTTCCACGGTCTCCCTCCTATTTCACAGCCTCTCCGGTCTTCAACGATCACCTCTTACTGTTACAATCACTCGTCAAGAAACATGCATCGCTACCAACAGCTCCTCCAGACCAGATACTGCGGCCTGCTTGGCTGAAGCTAAATCAATACCGAAGCTCAACAGGCGAACAGGTGGCTGCTTCAAAATATTCAAAAGTGCTGGTTCTCTTGACTCGGTTGAACAAGATTCATCCCAGATATTGTCCCAAGGAAGTGAAGCAAATCCTGACGCGATTCCGACGTCCCGGCTCCGAAGAGATACAGAAGGCAAAGCCTGGCAAAATCGACGAGTATGGCAGGTCTATCGGTATAGGACGAAGGAAAGAGTCCTCGGCGAAGGTGTATCTGGTGGAAGGTACTGGAGACGTAATGGTCAATGGACGCAGCATCGTACAAGCATTCCCACGACCTCACGACCGAGAGAGCGCACTGTGGGCGTTGAAGATCACACAAAGAATGGACAAGTACAACGTTTTTGCATTGGTATCTGGTGGAGGGATTACCGGTCAGGCCGAGTCCCTCACATTGGCTCTTGCCAAGGCTCTGCTGGTACACGAACCAGCACTGAAGCCAGCTCTGCGACGAGGTAAGCGAAGTTTTCTCCCAGCTTGTGTTCACTCGCAGTCTCTAATTCTTAATCCAGCCGGCTGTGTTACTTCGGACCCGAGACGCGTCGAACGCAAGAAGCCAGGTCGACTCAAGGCACGGAAGAAGCCAGCTTGGGTCAAACGGTGAGGAGTCGGGACGCGCCAGTGGTACTTCAGTGGTACTTTCTTGTACATCATTGTATCAAGTGCTCCGTGTATATTGGGTGTTCATGCCAGATCTTGTGCAACCAGACCACGATCCTCTCGGGTACAGATCGCAAGAGGGGGTGGCCTCCAATCTATGGTCATTGCTACGGTTTCAACCTGGGGCAGAGCTCTTCTGGTTCGTGGCTCCAAGGAGGAGTAACATGTAATTTGGGACTTGGATGTTCACCGTCTGGCACAATGGCTCGACATGCTCCGTGACGGAACTCGGTGCCAAACCACTGAATTGGCATTGTTAAGACCTTGTCAGCCCTGTAGGCAGAGTAACACACATGCAGACACGACTTCGTGCAGACAGATTGTGCATCGGTTGACGCGGCCGGCATTGATCATGGCGCTCCTCACGTGCCTGAGCCTTGATCTGATCCCGATACATGAGCCCATCCTGATCGATGCATTTTCCTTCTCTTCTGATCCCCGGCATGTCGCGTCGCACCAATCCTCGTCCCATTTACGCTGGTTGCCCTTTTGATTCTGACTGCACCAATCTCACGATTACCAAGAGGGTCTGTCGACAGTCTCAACGGTCCTGCAAGCGAGCTGTCAGATGCCCAGCGACTCGACCGTGATATATCCTGCAGGCTGCAGCCGACACCGTCGTGGTGATCCCTTAAGCGAGATTCCGGCAGATCCATTTGCAAGACTTCGGCCTGATGGAGGAGTGACTTGCACATGTCGAGTCACTAACACTCATCTGAGCCTAGCTTCGCGCCCTGCACGCTGCACGCAACTTCGCAAAATAGAACGAATGGTTTGCATCCTGGCCCAGTGGAGCCGTTGCTGGGGACTTGGGAGGCTCGTTGCCCCGAGGCTGCGTCGGAACTCATCTTCCAGAAAAGAGGTAGGACCTGTTTTTGACCTGAAACGCATGTGCCAAAATCTGACGGGTACATACCTAGAGGGGGAGTATTCGAACCCTCACCATAAGCACCACGGGGATTCCGCCGAGTGGCCGCCAGCAATTGAAGGCTCGCATTCACAAATGAGACTTCGCCGCTCTAGCATTCCAAGTCCAAACCCACGGGGAAATGACCATAACAAGCCTCGCTCAACCCGCGTCGCTACAGCTCGCGTCACGATACTGGACCAACTGTTTGTGGTCGAAGTGCGGTACATGTCGACAAGGACCGAGCCACAGCGAACATGAAACGAAGCGCTGAAACGCGCCCTCTAAGCGACACGCTAAACGGAGTGTCCAAGATGGTCCCAGTGCCCCAGTGCGGCTCGGAAATATACCATCAGTCAACCCCGCAAGAGCAAAATGAAGATACCCGTCGGCGTTTATGACCACCGCCATGCCTTGAACCCGTTTAGACCATACTCGGCAGTAAGAGCCACAGGTCGGAATGAGTTCAATCTTAGGAATTCCATTTAAAAAAGTACGATGTTCCTGTCGGGTTGCGGAGATCTTCAGGAACCTAAGCCACCCAGGGAACCGGGTGTGAAACACATGCATGCTGCAGGACTCCTTGTTCCCACTCGACCGCCGTCACACGGGTATGCCAATAATGCATCTGAAATTGTGTCAAAGATATCATTGGCGTGAGAGTCCCAAGGCCACCTTGTCGCGTCCGCACCTATGCATACGAGTACGGTTGCAGGTCCGGCCTCAAGGGTCGAAAACTGGAGCCAAAACAACAAGTGGACGCCTTGATTCGAGCTATTTGCATGACCCGGAGATTGTAATCCCAATAATGAGGTGGAAAGACCAAAAACCAAACAGTCTTACAAGATGTGCTTTCAATACAGAGGGGGGCGCGTGTGTCTGGGGAGCAAACGTGGCTTCAGCAACCATATGACAGGTCAGGCGTGGGGACTTGAAATGCATCTGTCTCTGACACAGGCACATCACGTACATTTCGCCAGCTGGAAGCTCACCAGATCGTTGGGTCGATGGTACCACTGTTGCCATCCGACTGGCTGACGAGGCTCGGCTCGATGACGCCTCTAGATCGAGGAACGTACTCGTACACGGCCAACAGGTCACTGTCGGGAGAGAGTCGAACAATGCCCTTGACTTGTTCCATCGACGTGGTCGGACAACTGTCTTTGGGTATAAACTCGCCATTGGGACGATTTCCAAGGCAAAGGAATGCTTACCAGAACGGTACCACAGTGTATACACTGTGATTCTGTTCGGAACCCTCCGACCACTATGTACCTAGGAGACGCGTCTCGCGATAGGACACGAGAGCTTTTCATGCGCTTGCAAGATCACATTTCGTGTCCTCGATCAGGACATCCATCACACTTTGGGTTTTGATCAAAGGATTTTCTGACCGGAGGAATCGTGTGCACACAGCGGCGGTGCAATCCGAGCATTGCTCGAATCCTCGACGACGGTGCCATCCGTCAAACGGCGGTTGTACAGCTGACCACTGGTCTTGTGCGACACCAACACATCCCCCGAGTCCAACTTGATGGGGCTTGGGTGGTAATCTCTCGAGGATCAATCAGCGTCGTTGAAGAGTGTGCCCCCGACACTTTTATAAAGCCAATTGATATACATATCCGAGTACCAGCCCAGCTGAAACCGAGCACTTTTGGACTTGTCGACTTGGCCATTAGCTGCTTCTAGAGCATCGTCTGGGCCTTCTTTTTCACCTGCGCGGCATCCCAGGGCCACGACGGGGCAACCAATCCTGGAGCCTAGGATCAGCTGTGGTGCGGACGGTTTGGAAGTCTGAGCTCCAACCAGGTGTCATGCTCCCCCTGCTTGATGTTCCTCGGGCGCCACACTCTAAATCTCGCCTGGCGCAGCGGCAGGTGGATGCCAGTGGCAGGCTAAGATGCAAGCCTTGTCAGACCAGTGGCTAGTCCAGCTCCCTTGCGCTTGATGAGAACGCCCCCTCGGCCTTTAGCGAACCCCTTGCAAAGGTCCTGGAACAGATCCACTGGCGGGGACGTCATGCCCATTCAGACGCGTTCTTTTCGCCTGGTTTTTGCCCATGGGTCATCCATCCTGACGCTTGTGAGGGTGTCATCATTCCCAGCATCCATGAACCTTGGGCACCGTCGCCAATGCCTGCTTGGAAGTGACAGCTTGATTGTCTGAAGCCCTACCTTTCCCTACAGCAGCGAACAGATCGGGCGGGAACTACTTGCTCAAGCTCGAACCCGACGCCCAGAAGATGGACCTCCCTTGACCTCCCTTGACCTCCAACAGGCTGGCCTCTTCGAAATGGGACCCTGTTGGCATTCGCCCCCAGGCCGCGGGTGGGCATGTCTGTCCTCCTGTGGCGCTGCCCACTTCAAAAGACTTTTTTTTCTCTCTTTTGACACCCGGCAAGAAACGCCTTGCCTTGCTCTACTGGATCTTGGGTGGGAAAAAAAAACGACATCACCGGCCGCGTTGGGAGGAGTTGACTTTGACGTACCAGGAACGAGCGACCCATCGATTACTGCCATGCGGTATCTGCGCCATTCCCCATCCAAGTCTCCTTGGTTAAAGTGTTTATTATTGATTTGAGTCGTGCGCACTTTCGCCTGCCACGGCAGCTGCACCACTTCAGGCCTCTTTTTTGTATACATTGCGTTTCCTCCACTATTCCAAGGTACCTGGGTCTTCTTCTTTTTCTTATGCTACCGAACGCTCCTTTACTATTTCTTTCGTACGATCCTTTGCTCCATGTCCTTGCGTTCGTGTCTTGACCTCTCGATTCATTCCGTCTATCCACCCTTCTGACGCCACTAAACCTCCCCCCCCACTATCCTTTGGATCAACTCGACGTTGTTTTTCTTTGCCTGTTGATACGGAGCGCGCATATCCTGAGACCATTCACGACGTACGTCCATATGTGCGGCGGAAGTCGCCGAGGATTCATTTGTGTTTGACCCCAACGACTTGCGCCCGGAACATTCGACTCTCGAGCACGAACAGGATAGCGACTGGCCATCCAACCACGGGCGCTGCATCTGCCGGTCCATCCCACAGTATCTGGAGCAGGCGGTAATCCGAAACCATTTTCGCACTCTGTTGTCGGATTCGTGGTTGGCTCTGCGCAGCTATAGAGGTGGTGTCAACCCTTTACTTTCCCAAATCTTATACTTCTCTCTGTCCTGTGACGAACTTCCGACCCACGAAACCCGGACACACAGAGTCTTCTGCCGATATTCCGATATCGACCTCCTGCCTCTTTCCGCCTCTCAGTGGTTGTATGAGGGAACGAACTCAGGCGAGGGGGAAAGGAGAGGCATCCGAGGTCAAGGAGGAGGCTGTCCTTCCAGGTCCATCATATCAATTCGGGGGCATACGATTCTCAGAAGGCGCGGGACTGTTACTGTCAACCTGGCGTCGACAGGCGAGTCCGTCTTCCTTAAATGGACGGCAGTGACCGTCGGCGCACCCAGTATGGACCACCATACCAGTCACAGGCGCCATCGCGCCCTCTACCAGGAGAAGCCATGGGCCCACCTTCGGGCGACAGGTTCGCGCAGCCAGCAACGCCAGCGAGGACGGATATTGGCAGATCTTCGATGACGCGCCCGTATCTTTCCGGCTACACTGGCTACGGGTACCAAGACCCGCAGTATGGCAGTTCCCATCTGCAGAGCAGCAGCCCGATGCAAGGGGTGGAGATGCAATACTCACCTGCGTATCTGTCGCAGGCCTCCAGACAGCAACAGGTCCAAGCCTCTCCCTCACAGCAACAGCACCAGCCTTTTGCGCAGTATGCACCCTCGGCCATGCTTCCGCCGGTAGCACCACAGGCGCTCTACGAAAGCATTCCGTTCCAGCAGCGACAAACGGCAATCGAGGTTATGACTAGTCAATTTGCAATTCCCCAATACCTGCAGCAGAGCGAACACGCGGGAGCAACCCTCGGTTCTGGTCCCGCTCAATACCTGACTTCCCAAGCGGAGCAGAGTAGCTTCGGCCATGTGGCTGCGACTCGACCATCTATGCCTCAATCTTATGCCACTGGGCATGTCGACTTTCCGGTGATGGAGCAGCAGGAGGCCGACGCACCGGCTGTGCTGAGCGGCGTTCAAACGGCCCTTGAAGAGAGTCTGAGGGACTACCATCAGCAGCTGCGGGCCACTTTCGACGCGATCATTGCGGGCCGAGTAACGGCAGCTAGCGAAAAACTGCTCGCTCTCACTCGGTGGCTCGTCAGCTCTGTGGCTGCTTTGGGTAAGTGCAATCCTTGATGAGTGAGATGCGCAAGCAAATCTAATTGTTCCCCAGGTTTGCACCATGACGACGAGACCCGGCATGCAGAGCGCGTCGACTTCTGGCGAGAGTTGAATTTATGCTGGGAGGCTTTGGGACAAAAACAGAGAGAAATCACAGAAGAGGCCGCGAGAAGCAAGAGACCACCCGTGGACATGCTCTCGGCCAGCAGCATAACCAGTCTCATGGACGACTTGGTGGGCATGTGCGATCAACTCGAGCAATACGGCCTCGTGGACTTTGAAATGGGCATCTGGGAAGAGCAGATTGTCCATATCTTCACCGTCTGCCTCGACCTTCTGCCTCGTGGCGGACTCAAACGGCGAGCCAGCGAGAGCCCCGGCTGAGACCAAAGTTCAAGACCACCATCCTGATTCTCTACCGCCACGACTCTACGACACATTACGAACTGGGAACCCTTTTCTTTTGTGGGCAACGGCCTTTCATTAACCTGATGAATTATACCTCGTTCTTTCTTCATGATACATGAACTTGTACGACCAGGACGTTTTTTTGACTTGCATGATGTACGACTACGAATTGTGAGAACCGGTAATCCTGGCTCACAGCAAAAAAGGCCTTTAGGGGGGGGGGAGGAAAAAAGCGCGGAAACAGGCAGGCGGAATTCTACTTTTTTTTGTTTTGTTGGCCCCTTTTGGATCGGATCTTGTTTTACATGGATCGATGCTTGATGTTCGATGCTTGTAAAGGAGGAGTCTTCTGTACCATAGCTACCGTCAGGTTGGTCGGTACCATTTTTCGGGCTTTCTCGAACGAGAACCACAGATTCTAAAGCATTGCAAGGCTCCTGATTGTTGCTTCGGAGGCAGTTCCCTGTGGTTTGTTTCGCAGTCATAGGTGGACACTGCGTGGTGCAATCGAGTGACGGTCCAGCCATTTGAGGACCAATATACCTGTCAATCTATCGCACCCTTGCTTCTTGAAACAACAGCCTCACTCTGGCCACTCACTGAACCTTGTCCTTTTGCATTGTCATCGACTCAGGGGTTGATCTGGCCTCACGTTTACCCTGGATAATGTGCGTCTGCGGTATCTGTCCAAGACCCAATGAGAAGACCGAGACAGGGAAGTGCTTTCAAGAGAGATATAGAGAGCACACCTCTCCACCTTTCTTCGCCATCGGACCGACTTTCACAGGTTCTCCCTCTCCCTCTTCCTCACCCTCACTGCTTGCTACGGTTTTCTACTCTCTGAGAAAATTGCTGCTTTAGGGGCCAATCAAGGTCGCGAAAAAGTCGTCAATGTGGGACTCGTTCCAAGAATGCACCTACGAACCAAGAACTGTCTTCCCAGCGAGGATTGGTCGACGAACGTTTGTCCTGTAAAATGCCTGCCTGCGACCCTCGCCTGCGTCCTCCCCCATGCCACGTCAGAAATCACCAAGCACACAATTCAACTTGACTGGGATGGATGAATGGAGGGAGAGAGGGAGAAGAGGAGGAAGCTCAAGAGTTGGTGTTGTTGTTGCGAAACAGGCCTCACTTTTCCCCCTTTTAGTCTCGGCCACTTCTCAGAGGGCTAGGCTACTGGCTACCTACCTCACACCATCCAGTCATGTTGGAGAGAAAATCCGCTTGGACAGCCGACATATCACGTTTCCTTCTGACATGGGGGTAGAAAACAGAGCCAACGAGGCAATGTATGTATGAATTACCGCGTCGCTTCCACAACCAGGCAAACGTCAGGCGTCCAATTACGTTCCGGTCGAGTCCTTCCATATACGAGGATTACGGAAGGAAAGATGTTGATGATGATGATGATGACGGGCTACTTCGCGCCCCAAGAGATATCGATCGACCTGAGGTGACCAACGAGGAAACAGAGGCGTTCGACACCTCCATCGCCAGCCATGTCTGCGCCGCGAACAACACCAACTCGCGTCATCGTCATTGGCGCTGGCATCGCCGGCCTCGTCGCCGCAAAGACTTATTTGCAAGTCTGCAAGCATCTCGGGCGACCGCTCGAATTGCTCGTGCTCGACGAGGCAGGGGATCCAGGTGGCGTGTGGACGACGGAGCGCCAGTACCCGGGCTTGATGGTGCAGGCTCCCAATGGATACTACGAGCTCTCGGACCTGTCGATGGTAGATGACGACTACCCGTGGCACTCGCTGGTCCCGGCAGCCCGAGAACAGGCGTATCTGGAAGCCTACGCCCGCAGGTTCGACGTCTACGACAAGATCCGCTTCGCCACGACTGTCGTCAAAGTCACTAGGCGGGAAGCGCCCTCTCAGCCACCTGGATGGCTCGTCGAGACGGCGACCGGAGAGGTCCTCGAGTGCGACAAGCTCGTCGTTGCGTCGGGTCTGTACTCCAAGCCCCGACCGATCCCGGTGCCAGTCTCGTCTTACATGGGCACGACCGTCCACTCGCGCGACCTGGGCCGCGTGCACGAGCACATCTGCGCGGACCCCACCGTCAAAGATGTCGTCGTGGTCGGCGCCTGCAAGTCGGCCGTGGAGGCATGCTCGGTCTTCCTCGCCCGCCACAAGCGGGTGCACTGGCTCATTCGCCCTTCAGACCAGGGCGCGCCGCTGATCATCTCCCACCCAGACGCAAAGCCCAACCCCCTGGCGGTCGCGCTGACCCGGTTCTTCCCCGTCTTCACCCCGTCCATCTGGAGCACCAGCGGCTTCTGGTACGGCTTTCTGCACTCGGGACGCTGGGTGCTTGGCACCTGGCTCGTGCAAGCCTTCTTCGGCCTGATGAGCTGGGCCATCATGAGGGAAATCCACTACGGGCGGAGCCAGAACTCGCGCAAGATCCAGCCCAAGCAAAAGTCCCTATTCTTCTACACCACATACCTCAGCCTGGTGGTCGAGGGCCACCCGTTTCTCGACGCCCTGCACGAGGACAACCCGGACAAACTCACCGTCTATCGTGCCACGCCCCTGAAATGCGAAGGTAGAGAAATCCTCGTGGATGAGGAGGGTAAGGGGCAGAGGCGGCTCCCGGCTGACGCAATCATATGGAGCATCGGCTGGGATCTGGGCCTGGACTTCTTCGAGCCAGAGGAAGCAGCAGAGATTGGGCTCCCTGTGCCCTTGAGCAGCAATAGCAGCAGCAACAGCAGCACCACGAGGACCAAAGACCCAGATTTGTTAGCGTCCAGTCATGGTGGTGGTGGTGATGATGCTCGCAAACCAGCTCCCGCTATACCAGCAGACGCGGCCCTCCCACCCCTCGAATTCTACGACGACAAGATCCGGAACCTCTTCCCAGCGACGTTGAACCGACCACCCGCTCAACCACAAGACCCGACCCGGACCCTCTCACACACACGATGGGGTTTGTATCGCTTCATCATCCCGTCCAGGCACTTTGCGCGCGACGACCGCACGCTGGCGTTCGCGGGCTTCATCTCGTCCGCGCAGACGGCCACGACGTCCGAGATCGGCGCGCTCTGGGCCGTGGCGTGGCTCGAAGACCTGTTTGCACGCAGGCCCATGCCCCTCGTCGACAGGGCCGACGCCGACCGATTCAACACCTTGACGCCACTGCCACCGCCGTCCTCGAAGAAACCAAAGCTTATGCAACAACAACACGATGTCGACCGATCAGTCGCTGAGGAGGACGAAGATGTCCTCCGACGCCTCGCCGACGCCGAGATCCGCTTCACCCAGGCCTTCCAGGAACGGCGCTACGGGCTCCGCGGCGCCAGGGCGCCAGAACTACTCCTCGAGGCCCGCAGCTACATTGACGTGCTGTGCCGCGACCTCGGGGTCGAGGTGCACCGCAAACGGTTCCGCATGCGCGAGCGCAACACCCGCGGGGTCTTGCCGACGACAACGACCACGTCGAGGGAGACGGGCTCTGGCTCGAGCTCGGGTCTGTGCCTGGGCCACTTGGGCCTTCGGGGACTGTGGGACGCAGCCAAGGACTGGTTCAGGGAGTATTTCGAGCCGTACCTCGCCGAGGATTTCAGGGGTGTCGTCGACGAGTTTTTGAGGAATAACATTGGAGAAGAGAGGGTCGGCGCGCAGGAGAGAGAGAAAGATAGATAGATGGACAGACAGATGAACCCACGACATTATCAAACCCAAGGATGGATGGATAGGGCGAACGAAGTATCAGGGTATCTATCTATATGTATCCCTTTCTTTCAATTCTGCCGTGACGTCGGTTGATAACAAGTGAGAAAGGATCCACGAAGAGGAGTAATAACCAAGCTGCAATCTTTCTTCCACATCCATCGAGTAGCTGTAGCTGTACATGTTGATATCAAGACAGAGTCACCTTTTAAGCAAAACCCCGTTTCCCTCGGACTGACATTGTCTTGTGGGAGCTGTAAACAATACAAAACCGACCGACCAACACTTGTTCGCCGCCGCTATCGCAAGATATGTCTCTTTTTCGGACCCGCTCTTACGTTCCAATTCCATTGCCCATGCTCGTGGGGACTTTTGAAAAAAGACATCTCAAACGCCTTGCTGAAACCCTCGCTAAAATGCCCCCCAATCCTGTGATACGTGCCCACGATGGGCCTGGAATATGTCCAATATGCACAAAGCACGACATGAGTATGACAAAAGAAAGAACGAGTTTCCCTTTCGGGCGTCTCCAATGGCGCCATGACACTTCCCCTTCCCTGCTCCGCTCTTTCGTGAAGTCGCAGTCGAGTCATCAATGGGTCTTGCTCGTTGCACCAATATTTGCGCTCTGCGCCGGTACAATCGCAGGCCCAGTCCCCTGTGTATCGGGTCGAGGACCTTGACTTTCCCCATCCTCCGCGACGACTCTCACCTGGGGATCGGGAATCTGGATGTCTAGATTCATGTACCCGGTCCTCCTCAGCGGGATAATCTTCACACCATCTCGCGCGCCGACAGTGTGATTCCAATCCTCCAACCACTCTTCCAACCCCTTCAAAGCGCCTTTTATTCCCCAGGGTCGAAAATCTTCCCAGAGCCACCCTGTTAATACACCCATGATGCCGTCAAACCAGTTCCATGCAGAGAGAGGGTCGTACGCTTGACAGAGAGTTTGATTGATGTGTTCTATTACATATCGGAATTCTTGTTCTTGCATTAGAGGGTCGAGGATTTCGGGATATATATTCGAGAATGTAGGAGCGAGGTCGCCCACCACCATCCAGTCGCGACGGATACGGATTATGCGTGTGGCGGTGTACTCGGGTGAGTGAACTGGAACGTGTGGATTGAGATGCGGGAAACAAGGGTGGGAAGGACCCCAAGCGAGCTCCTCGGCCACGTCGCTGTCTTCATCTCCGTTCGGTATACCTCTTTCAACATCTTCTAGAGATGCCGTATTTGGAGGATGGCCGCTATCTGTGTAGGCTCTCCCGCCAAATGCAGATGAGTGTATTGAGGCAGCGGATTGTGCTCGTTTCAATGACTTGTGGGAGGTGATGCGCCGTGGAGGCTGTAAGGGCTGGTCGAGAGGATTGACACCATAGCTCTGTCCCAACACAGAGGGTGCTTGCTGCGTCGCAGTCCCATTGTCTCCATTGAATTTGGAAACAGGTACGGTGTGTGCCCGTTCAGGCGGTTTGAGGCCACTGGGATCTTGTTTTTCCAGGTCCACCATCAGTCCGGCGGTACCTTGTGAAGGAGGGTCGGGAAAGAAAGTGCTACCACGCTGTTGATTAGAAGGCAGACCGATACTAGTTCTGTCGCCGGTTGGAGTCAGATGAGGACTGTGCTCGACGATGGGGTCTGTGGGAGAGTGTTGACGTGAGCGACGTTGTTCGGGAAGGCTGAGGAGAGTGTGGACGTCGCCGGTGCCGCGAACACCGGCACCCACGTCGGTGGAAAGCTGGGGTCGTTGAGGCTGGACTCGCACTGGAGTAGGACGAGGGACGTAGTTGATGGGATTGAGGACACGAGAAGTGGCAGAGCGCTCGTCGGCCGGAATGGTTCTTTTTTGGCCTTGTCGCGGCAGTAATACTTCGAGGAAGGATCTTCTGTATGGACTAGGAGCTTGTGAAGGTGCAGGCGGAAGGGGAAGCGGCTTCTGTTGGTATAGGAGGTAGTCGGCAGGAGGTGCAGGCTGGGTGGAGGATGAGGTCAAAGATCGCGGGTCTGAAAATGGAGCATGGGAATGATGAATCTCTGCGGTCAGTCCATCTGCATCTCTGACAGGTTGTTTTTCAAGCGCCCGCGGTGATAAATGGCCGTGGTCCAAGGATGCAGGCTCCGTGGTGTCGGTATTGATGGTGGATGGTGCAGCAGCAGCAGCAGCAGTTGCAGCGACTTGGGTGCAGGCGTGGATGGGCAGTGGAAAGGGGTGAGGGTCGGTCGTGTCGGGCGTGTCGGACGTGTTTCTGGTAGGGGGAGTTCCGGTGCTGATGCTGCCTGCGGTTGGTGGGCGCTTGCTGAGAGAAGGAGCCCTAGAATTTCTGCTGGGCTTCGATTCTGCAGGAACGCGTTGCTGCTGCTGCTACTACTACCACTGCTGCTTTGGGCACTCAACCGCCTGCGCAGCATTCTGCGCTCTCGACGTGGACGCTGGGTGAATCGACAATACAACTCATACAACCAAATCTTCAAAATTGTCAATTCTGGAGGAAGAGGACGTCAGGCCAGAGACAAAAGGGAATAATCTTTCCTCTTGGTCCCCTACGCAGGCTGACTCGAGGCTATTCCGTATCCTTTCATCCTATTATATGGACCTTTGTGCCACCATGCCTCCCGGGTTCAGTTTCCCTCACTTTCCAGAGCTGGTTTGACGAAGTTTGAGCCACTTCGCACCACCCAGCACCATCTGGCCCAAGCGATCCTCCCCCTCCCCCTACCTTCTATTGATCGCTAACGAGCATCCCGCGTCGGGATGTCCTTTCCGCCTCTCCCAATTCGTATAAATGACTTGCGAGGATTGGCAAATCCCTACAACTACAACTCAAAGAGGCTTTAGCTTGAGAAAAAAAGACATGGGTTCGCAGATCATGGTGCCCAATTCGCTCCGAAATACTCGTCGCCTGCGCCCCGTAATGTGGCCTACGGGGCTAGACGGCCTTTGCTCCCCCTGGGGCGGCTTGCTAGGGCTAATAAACTTTCACAACGGGTGATAGGCAATTGGGCATCACTTTGGGGAGAAAAAGGGGGAACGATTATCGAGCGACGACCTGAACACCCCAATGTCACCCGCTGACGTGCCTCCCTTCCCTCCTCAAACCGTGTGATCGACATAAAATCAAGGACTGAGGCCATCGTTCGGAAGGCTCTGTTTCCGGCCGTTCATTGATACATGTATGTGTCAGGTCCGCCACAAGCAGTTTTAGATGTCTCTCGAGAAAGCAACTCAGACTGACAAATTGGTGGCTTCTTATGTCATAACTCTCATGTCGTTAAAGGGGGTTGATCCTGCGCAAATCCCTACTTGGGACGAAATACTTGTAGGGCAATCCCTAAGAAGCAGGGCTAGCCGCTCGCTGATACCTCGATCCTCTCCGGTACCGTTGGGCCACTAGCTTCTTTTCTCTCCCAACCTGGTCATTGGCTGCCCTGTGCAAGCGGGTCGACCCTGCATGAACCGCTGCTCTTGTGCTCGAAAACAAAGCAGACCGCCAGTGATTTCGCTTCTGGAAGCCGATGGGCTCTCTTAGCTTTGCCTAAGCATATCGGCGAAATTCCCAGCTGGAATATCCTGGTCCCTGCTCTACCAGCCTCAAAGCGAGATAATGTTCACGAGACTTGCAATTCCCACGCCCAAGGTTAAAATCCATTCCGAAGGTCGATTACACGGGCATACGTCATTCGACGACTGCGACGGAGAAACTGACAGGCCTGTGGAAGTGCCAGAACTGGCCGAGGGCTCCTGGGTCGAGCCCATCGAAGTGCTTGCACTACCTGTCGACAGCAGTGTCCCGGTAGCACCTGAGGGCGTGGGAGTCGTTGCGGGAGGCATGGTCGATTGACTTGGTATGGCCACGGTGCTGAACAAAGGATCGGATGTCGAAATTGAAACAGTAGCCTCAGGCCCAATCTATTGTTCAAGACAGGTAAGTGTCACTGCTTCTCGAAGTTGACAAAATCTACAAGTAAACCGATAGATCTTCGCACTCAAAAAGAGATGCCGGAGATGAAGACAGAAGACTCACAGTCACAGGCACACTAAATATGGCGCATATCTCGGCAATTGCAGAATACGTAACTGCAAGTGGTCAGTCTCCGGCTGATAGCAGCATTGAAACACCAGTACAGACTTTCTTGATCCGTAGCGTTGCAAGAAGCCACGGTACAGTTGTTAAGCCTCTCAATGTACATGTTGTTGGCACACAGGCACGGCCATTCGCTGTTCACTGTCGTTAGCCACGACCCCGTGAGTCGACCACTACCTGTACATGGCGCGGAATACCGTGCACACAACATACCTTCGCTGACAGTTCGTACCATTGACATTTGCGACACAAGCGAGCTGTTATTTAAGGGGAACATCTTAGCGAATGGAACCCTAAGCCCCAACAAGACTTGGCTCACTTACAGCGCATGCATCAACATCATCCTGAGCCCAGGCTCTGTGGGCGTAACAAATGCACCACAAGGCAAGAAGCAGGGGAAGGGTGTTGACAGTCTTCATGGCTGGCGACCATGTGCGATGAGGACGTATTTTTGGATCTCTTGGTTCCCAGAAAAAGTCGGATTATAGGACGAAGCTGATGAAAAGCCAGGTCAGAAGGATGTATGTAGAAGAGAAGGGTTGTTCTTGATTATACCAAGCCAGAAAGAAGTTGCGTTTGGTGGTGGCACGGTGGCTCGTGGTTCGAGATATTCAACGTGGCAGGAGCAGGTGACCTGAAGATATCAGGCAGCGACCATTCTCCCCGGCACGAATTGCAGTTGCACTCGCATCCAGATTGCTGCCTCGTAGATACAACCAGTGCCTGGCTCGCACTCTGAACTCACCAAGCGCATCTCATGGTGTATGATGTGACTTGGACTACCGAGAGGTTTGTTCCTGCGATCAAGGATGACGTAGTGACATCTTGATGGGCGAGTGAAATTCTTGGCAGCCTCGCAACCACCTTCGAAGCTCACGTGGTGGTGTGACAAGGGAAATCGAAGTCATGGAACAAATGCTTAGGGGCACAATGTTTTCATTCTCGTATCGGTCGCAGTGATATGGACTAACTTTGAAACTCCCCAGTAACAATACAATCCATCATGAATGCCTATAATAATGGTGATAGTCATTAATCTCGTGTCCCTGACCGTCCCAGTGTAACATTTTCTCCGTGTCCAATGCAGTGGGTATCAGAAATATACTGGTGGCCCATGTCAAGAATGCAACTCTTCCAGAAGTGCAATTACAGAGCAATCATGGTGGCAAAGATAGCCGCCACGAGAGCGCCGCAAGCGCTGAGACCTCGAAGAGAAGGAGCAGCATTGCCCGAGTCAGAGGCGCTGGTAGCAGCAGCGACGGCTTGGATACCAAAGGTTGTGCCGGTGATGACTTGAGTCGAGCCGCCAGTCGTGACGGTCGTGGTGATGGTCGCAGGGATAGGGCTGTTGGTGGTAGTGCTGCAGCCGGACCAGGTACCGGTCCACGATGAGAAAGGACCCCAGCCAGCAGTCCAGGTGGTCCATTGATCGCAGTTGACACCGCTGGCTTTTGTGCCCCAGGGTCCAAAGCCACCAGGTCCGAAACCAGGACCACCTCCACGACCTCCCCAGGAGCCTGGGCCACCCCATGGACCTTGGCCACCCCATCCACTGGGAGCAGCGGGCAAGCCAGTGGAGCAAGCAGAGATCCAGCTTGACCACTGATCCGAGTTCCAACCACCACCGGGACCGAAACCGGGGCCGGCGGTGATCTGAGAAGGCCAGGCCGAACCGCCAGAGGTAGCACTAAATGTTGCTTGCTGAGAGTTGGTGACTGTAACGCCTGCGTTGGCGCAAAGCTGTGCAACAGCGCCATAGATAGCTATTATTCAGTTGTCAGCTCGGTGAACTTTATTTCCTGGCTCTTATTGTGGTGATAGGCAACTCACCCTCTTGATCGGTGGTGTTCGTGCAGGATGTTGCAACACAGGTGTTCAACTGAGCGATGGCGGTTTGATTGGAGCATAGGCAGTCCCAGCCGCTGGAGGCGTCACAGGATGTGCCATCCCAGCTTCCCATGCAGTCAGACCACTGCAGATTTGTTAGAATCAAGACCCTTTAACAAGAGACCATGTGCGCAGGACATACCGAGCAGGATGGGAGCCATGCGAGAGTGGAGGTGGTGAACAGGGCTGCCGCCAAGGGCACAGCGGATGCGAAAGACTTCATACTGAATGAGAATGGATATTTGATATGCGTGTACTAAGTAGTGGTGAAAAATGAGTACAAAGTATGATCAACTGAGAATGTCGGTCGAGGTCTGACTTATGTTGAGGAGGATAAAGACGGGCTTGTCTGTTGTGGCAGGGAAGGAGCAAGATATAGGGATCTCGTAGGGCGCAACGAGCCTCAGGCGAGCCATGCGTTTGTTGTCTGTCACCTTATTACTCGAGAGACGGCCTCTGGATGATCGCAGGGTTGGGGGGAAACAGGGGTGGAGCGCACAGCCTTACCGCATGGCTGGAAGCGGTTTCTTGGAAGTCCGAACTTAGCATCATTATACGGGGATTCAGTGGCTGGTAAGGGAGCCTGCTAGCTATTGACAGTTAGAGTCCTCTTAGTGCAAGGAACGGAGGTCGGAGACAAGGACGCGTCATGCAAGCCATGGCCGGGAAATTTTGATTCTTTAGGGCCTTTTCAGGCCTGTTGGAGCCTAGCGCAGGCACATTCAATTGCTTTCAGGCTTGCCAGGCTTGCCTAGGACCTGGCAGGCTGGCACGGCCTCCAGAGTCGGCTACATCAATTGGCTTGGCTCATCCATCTCTCCATCCCTCTATCTGGCATCGGGGCCAAGGTACACGCCCCCGTGACGCCCAATCGGGGCTAAACTCAATTCTCAGAGGTCCGGCTTTTAAAAGGTCCATCTTGATTCGTGTCTATTTTTGCGGACCTGGGGAAAGTCCCAGGTCAATGGTCCTTCATCTGCACCTCAGCCTCAAAACCCTCAGGCCTCGCCGCCATCACAGCCCTGGTTCTGAGGCCTCGAAATACGGCACATTCAAAATTCCATTCAAGCGAGAGGGGCACTGGGCCTCGTATGTTGCTCGTCCGTAGACTCTGGGCAATCTTCAGCTTCAACCGACAGTCTGTGTCTGCCCGACTGATGCCAATAGCACTGACGCGTCACGCTGCTTGTGCTACCGCAACCTCCCCGAACTATCACTTAGCAAGGTACTCGTAGTCCGGAGAGCAGTCAAATCAACCAAAGGGGTTCAGAGTGATTGACGTCGGCTTTCCTCGAAGGGGACAAATCAGTAGATGATGACGTGGAAAGCTGGAAAGAAAGAATTGACCTCCCCTTACTCAGATCGGACAATCGGTGGCTGGGCCCCGACTTCCGAGTAACCGTCGAGCCCCTCTTGAAGGGGCAACGCTGAACGCCGCAGCACTGGAGCGAAGATTGGCGGATTTGGAGCTTGGCTGGGCTCGGTACAAGCCTGCCAAGCAATACATCGTAGTCCTTATTCTCATTCAAGAGGCAAGCGTGGGTCTCCGCCTGTGTCGGTCTGAAAGTGCCAAGATGGCATCTGGGACGTCTCTCAGCACACCGCTGGTGCCGCCGCCCCTTGCCGTCCCGTTAATTAATCGCTCGTCCTTCATGCTGGAACCTCAAACAGCTCCGGCTTCATATTTATCTTGCACAGTTTGGCCAAACATCCGCTCAGTTGCAGAAAAGATTGGACTCCCTCGAGAATGCGCATGTGCGTGAATCCAATTTCTTTGATGAATTCGAGTTTCGAATGCTCCGAGAGTGTGGGGATGGTCTTCGTGACGCGGAACATAGTGCTTATGATGTCGTGTGAGGAGTATCCCAGATCCCTTTTTAGGGTTGCCCCATGCCGGTTAGTTGTGACTTTCCACATTGTCGGACATGAGCCCGCAATGATCAGAAACGTATGACTTACCATAATTCCTTCAACGAGTCAACTGCGCTGTCGATCTTGCCCTCCCAGCATGCCTTGATCATTGCTTGGACTTTTACGGGGTGCGGACTGTCGACGACTCGGAAGACGTTGTCCCCACTGACGAAGCCGAATCCTGCCCACGTACTCTGCAGGTTATTAATCGCCTGTCGCATGTCTCCTTCTGCGCTGAACACGAGAGCAGCCAGGCCATCTTCGGAGTATTCCACCTTTTCTGCCTCGACTATTTGCATCAGGCGCTTCACCACTTGCGCGTCCGTCAGACGGGAAAACCGCAGGATTGCACATCTCGATTGCAGAGGTTCGATGATCTTGTTCGATTGGTTGCAAGCAAATGCAAAGCGGGTGGTGTTCGAATAGATTTCCATGGTTCGTCGCAGCGCCTGTTGTGCCCCAGGTGTCATGCTACACTTCCACGTTAGACTCGCGTAAACATGCGGCCGGCACCTCCATACCTGTCGGCTTCATCAAGAATAACCAGTTTGTGCCGCCCAGGTGGCAACGTCACCTTCTTTTGCGCAAATCCTTTGATTCTATTCCGGACGACATCAATACCTCTTTCATCGCTCGCATTCAACTCCAGCACGGCCTCTTTGTATGCGTCACCCAGAAGTGTCCGCGCAAGACACAAGACGGATGTGGTCTTCCCAATTCCCGGCATGCCAGAGATGATGACATGCGGCATGTTTCCATCTTTTGCAATAATCTTGAGTCGTTCGATGATCTCTGTGTTCCCAACAACGTCGTCGAGATAGACAGGTCGGTATTTTTCTACCCTTCACGTCGGTCAATCCTGCTCTGCGGATTTTTGGGTGAGAATGGCTTACCATGGCAGTTCGTAATCTGGTGTTGCACCACTGCCAGCAGCATTGAGAGCTTTTCTCGCTGCCGCAGAAGATGATTCAGCTTGACCCGACATTGTTATGACTTGACAATACTGTGTTTTTGTCGCTGTGCGGGTTGTTGGATCATGAAAACAGCACACAGCGCAGTTTCTCATAAGGATGCCAGGCGCGTTAAGCGGGACGCGTTAAGTGCTGCTCAGGCTTGGCGGGGCCACCATCTTGATTTGTCTGGGCTTCCGCAGCTCTACAGTCGCCAGTCATTCCCCTACAAGTTCCGAGTACTGAGAATCGAGTTCCTTATAGGCAAGTGAGTTTCACGGCACAAGCAAAGCTCTGCAGCCTTGATGAGCTGCAGGGAAAGAGCATACATTCACGAGAATAATCCATCTTTCTCCTATTGCTGTTCGAATGAGATCGCTCCTCTACTGAATGCACCTTTATCTCGGACTACATCTGCCGAAGTTTGAAAACGTCATTACCAAGCAAAGCTCTGGGGCTCTGGGGCTACAGGTTCGTGGTTAATCCAGAAATTTCGAGCCATCGTGTGGTTCTCGAGTGGTTGTGGAGAACTTTCCAGGTCATCAAACCTCTACGAGTACACTCACTACACTCCATTGTTTGTTAAACTCCACGATAAGCTCATTAGGTTTTCGGGATCGCGTATAAGCAGAACACAATGATTGTGCTTACAGGAACCACGGGACATTTGGGGTCCCGAGTTTTGGATACACTGCTACGCCAGAAGCTGATTCCACCATCACGATTGGTCATTTCGTCAAGCCATCCGGACAAAGTATCCCCTGCTGCCCGTGATGCCGGCATCGAGATCCGCCATGGCGATTTCACGTCTCCTGGCTCGTTGGCCGCTTCTTTCAAAGGTGCCGACGCTCTGTTTCTGGTCTCGTTTCCCTCGCCAAGTGTCGACAGATGGCTCCATCATAAGGCTGCAATCGACGCGGCTAAACAGGCTGGTGTAAAGACTGTGATTTATACCAGCTTGATGTTTGGCGGCAAGACCGGCCTAGACAGCATAGCGGGTGTTCAGCAAGCGCATATCAAAACCATCGAATATCTGACACACAGCGGACTGCAATATGTTATTGTGAGAGAGGGGATTTATGCAGAAAGCTGGTGGCTCTACGCTGGGTTTCAACCACAGAAATTCAAAAAGGGCGACGCAGGCGAAATCAGATTTGTCATTCCAAACGATGGTCCAGTGGCTTGGGTCACATGGGATGACCTGGGGGAAGCGACGGCAAAGATTCTCCAAAATTACGAGAAATATCTCGGTCAGACATTGAGCCTGACGGGTCCACGAGCAACCAGCATCAGCGATGTCGCCAAGCTGGTCGAGGAGCACACCGGGCGCCAAGTCAAAGTCGACATCGTGGGCAGAGAGGAAGCCGAACGCTATCACAAGGTTGAGAAGAAAAGTGTGCCCGAGGACAACTTCTGGGTTGTGGAGAGCTGGAGTGGCTGGCATGTAAGTATTCCAGAGCAACAAGCCCGGCTTTCCCGTCCGACCAGATTGGTGCTAACAGCAATTCAGGATGGAATCGCCAAAGGGGAGACAGCGACAGTTGATCCCATGATCGGTGAAATCCTGGGACGGCCCCCAAGAGGGATTGAAGAGATGGCAAGTCGTTTGTTTACCCCTGAGTAGGCTTTTGTTTCGAGGGTACAGTGTCGGAGGATCCTGGGCGATAGGCATACATGGCATACAAGGTATACAAGGCAGAATTGTCTTTATTCAACTGCTTCCGTGTTGTCCACCGGCGTTCTAGTCATTTATGGACCAGGCTGAGCGGTCTCTCTTTAAATTAACCCAAGCAAGCATGGCAGCACCCCCCGTCATTGGCGTGTTCACAGCCACAAACAGCCTTGGGAAAACCGGCGAACTGGTCTCCACCAACCGCAACCCGTGGCTCTCCCGAGGTCATCCGGCGTTGCAGAAAAGAGCGAATTGAGAAGGGGATGGAAAACAAAAGCACAATATTTCACTGGGTCCCGGTATGCGATCTGAGACCATCCTCCTGAACCGTGCAGGCTTTGCGAGAAACTGAAAAAACTCTGGGCTTACGCGCGTTGGTGTCCTGGATCCTGACGGTTTCATTGGCTCTTCTTGTCGAGTCAAAGCCCCTCGGATGCGGACGCGTTGTGTGTTTGTCGCTCCACCTGCCCACACAACATTCTCGTTATGCACAGTTGGTGTTGGGCTGGTGCTGGGGGATCGTGCATCAGGCAGCCCGCCATCCTCAAGGAGGGGGGATTTTGCGTCGTAATCGTAATGCTCTCTTGCGATCCGGGTTGGTGTCCACCGGGAGAGACAATGTGCCGAGACACTGTGCGAACATTTCTCTGCTGAGATATGTATATACAGAAAGTCCGCGTCAGGTGAGTCTCCCAATGGTTCTCTTTTCTCCTTGCATCTCTCCATTCCCTGTTCCACCCACTGATCCCTTGAATTCAAAACGTCGATCGGGGCCTTAATTCGAGCATTCCTCCCTCTCAAAAAGTATTTTGGTCTAAATTTCGACCACCATGGGCCTGTCAGACGGACTCGTGGTGTTTCTGTGCATCCTGATCGCTGGGATCGTGGTGGCGGGTGCCGCAGCACTTCATCGCGTTGTCGCACGCCGCGAGTTCACGGCAGAACTACCCCAGCCCACCAACGAGCAGCAATCGTACATGAGGACGGTGCGGTCGAGAAAATGGCCTATTACCTGGGTTGATGAACGTCTGCCGCCATCAACCGTGACGTCGACCGTGTGAATTGGTCTCGTTGGTATCACCAATCCGAATTTTTGCAGAGGGACTGCGCACGGTCCATCACCCACACAATCCCGTCGACCATCTTGTCTTGTTGCCGATGAGATGGTCCAAAGGGTCTTCTCGTCTCTGCTGAGCCTTTGACAAATCTGGAATGGTGACTGAATGCCATGGTGAAGCCTTGTCAAATGGACGTACATCACCGCCACAATCACCATGAGTCGTCAAAAGACGAGTCCTACTGCGAGACAAGGATAGACAGATCATGAGTCTATCTCGACAGCCAGTATCCTCCATATGGCCTCGTGGCATACAACCGAGCTACCATGCAAGGTTCTTGCGAGATCGAATCTTCAGTTTTGAGACTCCATCTACCAAATATTATCGAAGTCGAGTCGAAGTCATCCAAGCGCCTCACGCCTTTGCTTGGGCCTCACCAGCTACCTAGTTGTATGATTGACCCACGGTCTGCAATCACGTCGCTCGGTATTCGCCCTCGACCAGCACCCGCCGCTCTGGTTGTTATCAGGTTGGCCCGAGACCGCGCGGTATTCTGCCCAAGTACATGTCGCCCCTCTCTCGGGGAGTCAACGATGTTGGCTTGCACTAGAAGAGACTCAGCTCAACCTCACCCACACCCAAAACTATCTATTATTCACCCTTGCTCCCTCCCTGTCTCCCTCTCTTCACACAAACGATCCCCCGAGTTCACAACGCATGCGGTGCAAGTACAAGTGCAAGCACATAGGGGTCCCGGAGGGGCCCGTGTCGAATATGGGAAGGCAAGGCAATGTTATGCGTATTGTGATATGAGGTGAATGAGATGGGATCATATGACGTCTCTCATCAGAACGCTCGGAACGCTCAGACAAGCCAGCCCAGGCCAGGCCAAGCCATGAGAATCACACCAGCATGGTTCCAACAGTGTCATTCTTGGAGATGATTGATAAATGGTGGGGAGGAGGAAAAGGGAGGGAGGCAGTGAGGCAGTGAGGCGGAAAGGGAATACGTTGCATGGGATGTATGTCTGGAATGTTTGGAATGTATTTATGAGATTTATGGGATACACGGGATGCATATGTATAGATGTACGAAGAGGGGTGATGTACATAATGTAGTCTACGTCTTTACACACTGTACTGAATGGGTTTTCCCCCTCTTGTCTGTACCATGTACCATGTACGTTCTCGCTACTAGTAACTCACTTCGCACTCGCTGCTATAGAGTTATAATACATGCAGATTTGTGGTACGTCAAACATATCTATCATATCCATCATCCATGCATCACCCATCCACTTATCAACATCCATCCCATACGTACCTATGTAGGTACCTACAGTGTCCATCCTCAGGAATATGAGGCGTTTTCACCAATTGAGGATATATCTAGAACCGGATTGGCTGAAGTGGTCACCTGGGTTCAAAACTCCTCTCTGTATCTATATACTTGTATTGTCTATATGGAGTACACCAACAGCACTCAGTACCTATTGAGGCTCTCACCCTCCTCAACTTCCACGATAGTTCCAAGGCTCCAACCCAACTCAACACCTCAAAACGCAAAGCTTTACAATAGAATCAGTGGCCCCCCCCCTCAAACACGTCGCCCGGCCACCCGCCAATTCTTCCCGTGTCTTTCAGCCGCCGCCCGCCATGGGGCGCTGGCATAACTCTTGACACTGAGTGATCTGGTGTCGATCGAACTCTTCTCCTTTTCTATAGGAGAAACATTCTCGTCTCCCACGTCTCTTCTACCGTAGGCTAACGTCTAATTTCATCTTGAGCAACTCTTGACCCTTCTACTAGATGTCGAGTCTTCCAGTCTTCCAGTCTTCCAGTCTTCCAGCCTCTCGCTCTGTCTTGTCTGTCTGTCAGTCAGTCAGAAGTGACCACAGGCAGGCACAGGCAGGCACAGGCGGTGATGATGTCGCTGACCGTCAAGACCTACCTACCTACTTGACTGTTTGCTCAGATCCGCCCTGTCTATCTCTTGCTGTCTCACAACCTCGACGGTGAAGGCGTCTTCAGATCCTCTGGAGCTACCTACTCTGGTTACACCGTCGCGGCGTATGGCTAAAATGCCGGGTGGACGTCAGTGGAGAGGGTTGTCAAAATGGTCAATGAATGAGTGAGTGAGTGTGAGTGAGTGTGACTGATTCCCGTCCATCAGATGCATGCCTACCTGTCTGCTTCTATCTATGAATGAACGACCAAGAGATGAAAGCTACCTCTAGGTAGGGTAAGGGGGTGAGTGGATAGGGTTTGTAAATCCAAAATCCTTTTCTACCTGCGTCTATCGCATGCACATGTACTCGGTACTGTATCCGGTACGTGGTATCTACTCGTATGACGGATGAGGATCTTACATCGACCACGACTAGGATACTATAGGAATATATCGTGAGCAAAAACACGTACATTGTCATTAGTCTATAACCACGTCTCCTCTCCCTCGATCTACAGTCCTCGACTGGGCAACGGCCACGTGGCCGAGACTCTTCGGTTGTTCAGTCTCCCGATCCCGCCGTACTGCAGACCGGGCGTGCACAGCAGATGCTGCCCGCCGGGGTTCTGGCTCAGGCGGATGTGCGCCCACTCGCCCTCGGCCAGGACCTCGATGCCCACGGGGTCGAGGGCGTCGACCTTCTTCTCCAGCTCCTCGTGCGTGTACCCGCACAGGTCGTGGCCAAAGTGCGTCTGGAGGTGCTCGGCGATGTCGATGATGTTGCGGTACCGCCCGAACCCGCGGCCGCTGCGCCAGAGGATGCCGTTGCGGAAACTGTCGATCCACACGGCGAACATGCCGGCGATCCAGAAGTTGGTCAGGGCGCACACGATCCACAGGTAGCCGCTGGACAGGCCCCATTGGTACGTGGTGCTGGGGACGCACTGGAGAAGGCCCCTGGGGGTCTCTTCGGTCTGCATGACCCAGTTGTAATTGTCGTCGACGAAGGCCGTGAACGACATGTTTTGCCCCGCGATCAACACGTTGGTGAACTGGCCCGGATAGTCCACGCGACACCCTCCACTGCTGGCACAGTGCGCGTCCAGGGAGATCCTGTCGAGTTGGTCGTAATCGAGCTCAATCAGTTTGTATGTCGAGTCTCCTGCAGTGGTGATGTTGACCATGGTCTTGTACTCGACCATGTACCCGGTGGTCAGATCGAGGAGGGTGGGCAACGCAATCAGATACGCCACAGACACAGCCAGCCAGATGAGGGTGACCCGGGCACGGACCGTGTCCACCTTTGTGACGGCTCGGAGCTGGTACCACGCCCCCTTGATGGACGTCGTATCGAATGCCATGGCCGTGTACAACTGCAACGGCACCCGCTCCTTCTGGAGAATCCGGAGTATGGCCATGCTGAAGAGATGGTATGAGAGCCACGACAAGAAAACCTGCGAACCCCTACCCAGAATCAAGTTGAGACCTGCATCCAGGATCTTGACCGACGTGTACGTGAAAGAACCCCAAGCCAGGTTGATGGCGAACCGCCCGGAATAGAGAGAAGGGTCGCAGGGAAAGAGTCGCACTGCCAGTCGACGATTCCCGAAGATGTCGAGGAGGGTGTAGAAGGGGAACCCAGCAATCAGCCCGGGGAGGACGGAGCCAATGATGCACGCCGCGTAGACCAGAAAGACTCCAAAGGTGATGAGGCCATTTCGGACGGTGCAGTATTTGCGAAGAGGTCTCAGAGGTTTAGGGGGGAGGGCATTCGGCGGCGGCGGCGGCGACACAGGTTGGCTCTGGAACTGACTCCCATATGGCTGGGGGAGGTCATCTTTGGAGGAGTCGACGCTGTGGACATTGAGCTGGGGTTCCTTTAAGAGATATTCCTCGATTGAAGGCATTTTTTCCCTTTCTTCAATGGCGCTGGGCGCAGCAAATATGAAGAAGAGAGTGACAAGAAACAAAGTCAAACTGAACGACACACCACACGACGCACAAGACTCACCAGCTGGTGCCAGGACATTTTAAACCGAGCGCTGCTCAACATGGCCTCGGCCCTGACGGTCAAAAAATCCCCTTTCAATGGATCGACTGAGGGGAGAAAGGAGAAAACTTTGGGTGATGGCGCACGTTAGCGACGCCATGTGGACATGAGGCACTCTGAGCCATGTGTGTTGGGGAAATTCGGTAGTGATTGTCCATGGCCCAGATGGCGACGAGGACCGAGTTCTAGAACCATGAAACCCCTCTAAGTGGTTCCGTCAAAGGTCCAAGTTGCTCCCTACCTGCAGATTTTATTAATTAATCAGGAGTGACAATGCCGTTTCTGGTCATCATGGCCACTGTAAAGGTTTCGGCTGGAATCGCTCAACCCGCTCACTAGTAACAGAATGGGCGTCTCCAGCCAGCCTCGGCCAGCCCGCCAGACGCCACAGACTATAGTCCACAGGCGAGAACCGCCCTCACCATACCGAGTAAAATGTTCATGTACGAGCACGAGTAGCCATGTCTCTCTTGTGCTAGACAATGCCTCATACACATGCAGAGTCCTACAACGTGATCGTCTGCAATCGTGGCAATATAGCAACACAAGTCGATCGTGCTATCATACATCGGCGAGACATGGCCCGTCAGGGCGCCGCGCAGACATTCTCCACCACGACAACGGCTGCGGTCCGCTCAATTCCTATCATCTAAACAGCGTGATGGGACAGAATCGTTCATTATCAATCCTCTGCTTTCTGCGGCCCGACATCCAGCGACAGAAACCACCAGAGCAAAGTCCTGTAGGTGCTGATATCGCACGGGCCATCTCTCCGCCGGAGAGCCTGATGCTCATGTATTGTCCCCTTGTCATCCACAAGACCCTTTCACGGCCATCTCGGTTTTCCCATAGTCCGGAATGGCTATAAGTATCGTCCATGATCGCAATGAAACCGGATCATGCTCACCAGGAAGTCGTCTGAGTAGTCCACGTCTCTGTCCACACCTCTAGTCCCAATTACTGTACCTCCACGAACCCCAAGATCTCTTCGCAATGTCCGTCTCACCATATTCCGTCCAACATGACTTTGAAGTCCAAGAATACAATAAACGTCGCGCCGTGTGGAAGCAGTCCGAGAAGGTTCGCAAACAACAGGAGAAGCTCCTCAGAGACCAGGCCAAGCAGGACCGAAAAGCCGCATTGAAGCAGCTGGCCGTGGCGGAAAAAGGTATTTTGCATCGATCCCCCGGGATGGTTATCGCGCATTTGCTGAGAACCACAGACACGGCAAAGCCTCGAAAACCCTTTGGGTGGCTGTCTCGGAAAAGCCCTTCAAACACCGACGCCTTCGTGGCGGAGGACAAACTCGATGTCGACAGTGACTCGGATGAAATTACTCTGCATGAAGCGCTGGGCGTGTGAACTCGATAGCCTTGAACGATGGATACATTAGATATCGTTTCGGCAGGGGAGGATTCGTCTTTTTTCTTTTCTTTTTTGGCCATCACCCCAGACTCCACAATCCTTTTGTCGCCCCTTTTGCAACAACACCGCCCAACCACGACCCTCTCGCCACAATCGCCAAACTCACGCCCCTGACACCGACCCACTGACTCACCGCGGCCGTGACAGCGACCTCGTCGTCACAGGGGACGCGGATCCAGGCATCGGAACCCTCGACCTTCAAAATATCCACGGGAATGGCTCCCCCGGTCAGTCCGAGATATTGCTGGAGGGCCGCCGTGAGGTACGAGCGCAGGGTGATGTCGTCCAGCGCCTGGTCAGTGTGCAGAGGGATGGTGTGCAGGTGGAGGTGGAAGTAAGAGTATGGAGGGTTGCGGAGAGTGAATGTGGTACTGGTGGTTGGGTCTTTAGCAGCGGCGCTGGTAGTTTTGTTCATTGTCGTCGGGTGCTGGGGCGCTTCGAGGATATAAATTCGACGGTGTTTGGCGGGGAAATTTGTAGAATGATGGGATCCCGTCACATATGTCTTTACACACAAAGAGAGAAAGAGAGAGAGAGAGAGAGAGTGTGTGTGTGTGTGTGTGTGTGTGTGTGAGTTGGTGAAGGTTGTGAGAGAGAAATCCGACCAGACTTATTTACGAGTTTCATTTGAATCATGATATTGGTATTTCCAGCATGTCCGCACACAAAACATCCCGTAGATACGTCATTACACAATTTCAGACGAGGTCTTTACCATCCCAATTTAGTTCCAATATGAGACTGGCTACGATTGGTCTCCCTCGACCTCGCATTCACTCGAAACAAGGACGTCGTACTTGGACTGTCACTCTTGTCAACCGCCGGGAACGAGATCCTTCACATCAAAACGTGCATGCATACTCTGTTGTCTGCCCGGTGAGCCCATGATTTCCAGGCTGAAGCATCTCTCGCGCCAACTTCAACACTCACTCCCACAATTCCCTGTACTGTCCAGGACGATGGCGTCCTCGTCATCGCCGCCACGGCCGACAACAACCACATTCATTCTCCCCAACACCGACCCCGGGATCCCAGTCACCCATCCCTCGACGCTCACCGAGGACCAACTTCTCGATTTCCCGGCCTTCAAGACCTGGCTGGATACCCTACAGAGGAGCCTCTGTCTGCAGCACAGCTCGGCATCCCACCCGTTCCACTCGTCCCCATACTCCCTGAGGTCCATCGAGATCCAATCCGCCGACTTCTTCTCCAGCGGCCGTCTCGGCTTCCTCAAGTTCAAAGCCACCGTGACCAACGACAATGACGAGTCCCTCCCCGGCTCCGTGTTCATGCGCGGCGGGAGTGTTGCCATGTTGATCGTCCTGACGGCGTCGTCGTCGTCGCCTGGCACTTCCTCCAAGCAATCATCCTCAAGGGGTACGACGACCCCCAAGCACCAGCTAGGAGGGGACGACGAAGAAGAAGAAGAAGAAGAAGAAGAAGAAGAAGAGTACGCCATCTTGACGATCCAGCCCCGCATCCCCGCCGGCTCGCTCAGCTTCGTCGAACTGCCCGCGGGCATGATCGACGACAGCGGCACGTTCGCGGGCGCCGCGGCCAAGGAGATCCACGAGGAGACGGGCCTGGAGATCTCGGCCGACGAACTCGTCGACATGACTAGACTCGCCGCCTGCGTCACCACCGACCCACAGCAGAGTGTCTCCTCCGAAGGAGACGAAGAAGGAAAAGGCGACGAGCAACTCCAGTCCGCCATGTACCCGTCCCCGGGCGGCTCGGACGAATTCATCCCCATCTTCCTCGCCCGCAAGACGCTCCCGCACGCCCAGATCGAGGCCCTCAAGGGCAAACTGACGGGGCTGCGGGACCACGGCGAGAAAATCACCCTGCGAATCGTCCGGCTGCACGACGTCTGGAAGGTCGCGTGGAGAGACGGCAAGACGCTGGCGGCCATGGCGCTCTACGACGGGTTGAAGGCGGAAGGGAAACTATGATTCTTTTCTTCGCAGAGGAATTTATCCGGTTTTCAGTGGTGCTTTTTTTCTTTTCATTCGCGCGCTCCTCTTTTTCTCACCTCGTTTCTCGTGCCCTCGAGCCATGTCTCCGAGAAGCTGGGTATCTAATACAGTCCTACATCATGAAAGAAAAGAGCCCACGAGGAAAGAATCTACAGCTGGGAGTCGGTCTGATGCCTCAACCTAAAACTACCCACTCACTCCTAGCGAGCAGCAGATGACGGTCCCGAACCGTTCGGCAACGCAATCGTGGCCAGGTACTTCTCGTGCACCTTCCTCTGTGCTTCCCATTCCTTCTTCAGCCTCTTCACCCGGCTTGCCGTCAGAGGCGTTCCGTCCTTGGCCGTCGTCGGCACACCATCCCCGTCCCATGACGAATACTCCACCGAATGCGGCGGTTTGAACATCTCGGTCGGACTGATCTTAGCCTTCTGGAGCTTCTCCTGCGCTTCCCTCTCGCGCTGTCTCCTCGCCTCCTCCTTTTGGCGGGCCTTGTCTTCCTTTTCGCGCCGCGCAGCCTTGAGGCCTTCGGTGACGGGTCGGACCAGCGCAGGAGCGTTTTCTCGATCTTCAAGGAATATGTCGAGTTGCCAGAGATCGACATCTCGGACCCGGTCGCAGAGCGCGAGGATCTGTTTGTTGATATCAAGCGGGGGTTGTGTGCCAGTGGGCGTGGAAGCTGTTTGGAGGGCGTCCCTACTGAATTCGCTCAGAGCACGGGCATACGAAGGTCGCGGTCTCCCGAGGGGAGGGGTATCTTCAAGCCCTGTCGGTGTGGTAGAAACGATTTCCTGGACTTTCTCGGCTGTGATGGATTTGGCAATGGCGGCTTGCCGCAGTTCGTCACGTATTCTGGCCAGCGGATACACAAACTCTTTTGCGGCGTCGGGGATCTCTATGCCTTTCCAGCCAACCAGATTGGTGTCTGCTGGTTCAGAGCCATTCAAGCCGAAGACGTTGACTAGGCGTGTAACGAAAAGGCCGACCCTGCGATGATCGGCTGCGGTCAATTCGGAATTTTTGGCGCTGTTATTGTATGTGTTGATTAGCTGTGAGATGGTGTTCATGGCGACGGGTGTGTTGAAGGAGTCGAGTAACGCATTTCGAACCTTCTCTTCGGCATCTAGTACGGCGTCTTCTAGACTGGCTCGCTGCTCATCGGAGGGTTTTGTGTTCTTCATGGCATCAACGGCATTGAGAAAGAAGTTGTCCACACGGTCTTCCCAGTTTCTGCCTTCGGTGACCATGTCGTCCGTGATCTCTATCCCGTCCTTCCAGTTTCCGAGCAGGAAAACAATCCGCAAACTCCTGGACGTCCAGTCCTTTCTCACATGGAGGGCTTCTCGGATGGTAGTAAAGTTTTTCAGGGACTTGGACATCTTTGATCCTTGAATGGACAGGTGACCCATGTGGAGGAAGTAATTCACCCATTGACCATGATTCGCCCAGAACGCCTCGCTCTGGGCGAGCTCGTTGTCGTGGTGAGGAAAAGCCAGGTCGATCCCGCCAGAGTGGATGTCCATCTGTTGACCGAGCTTCCCAGACGCCATGGCTGAGCATTCAATGTGCCACCCCGGCCGACCAGGGCCCCATTCGCTGTCCCAGCTGGGCTCGCCGGGCTTGGACGCTTTCCACAGGGCAAAGTCGGCGTCCGACCTCTTGGCTGAGGCGTCCTTTTGTGACAGGGCACCTTCGCCGTCGGCCTGCAGTTCTTTGTCGTTTTTGTTCCAGGGCTCTAACCGCGCATAAGGGTATCCGGCGGCCTCGAACGCTTTGATGTCGAAATACACCGAACCTTCTGACGTCCGGTACCCCATCTTGTTGTCCACGATCTTCTTGACAAACTCTGCAATCTCCTTGCCGTGCTCGGTGACTCGGACCAGGTCATCCGGATCCATGACGTTGAGGTCGTGCATGTCCTGGAAAAACCGGGCTTCGTATTCCTTTGTCAGTTTCGTGAATACGGCGTAGTCGTCCCCGCGGATCGTTTTCCCAAACTGCTCGTCCAGAACCAGGCACATGGGATCGCTCACGCGGTTGTAGAACTCGTGCGGGGTCAGGAGTTTGGGATCTTGCATCAGGGCCTTTGCCGCGTTGCGAGCGGTGTTGATGTGCATCTTGATCTTGGCCTCCTTGTCACCAGGCTTCGTGCCAGGCTCCAGGCTGCCCCCCGCGAGGATGTCTCCATATATGTGCTCGACGAATCCGTCAAACGTCTCGGGCGTCGCTGAATCCTTGGGTCCGATGCGTTTCAGGTTCTTTTGGATGTAGTAGAGCCAGGCCTGCCGGGCGTCTTGACGGACTTGGTCGTCGATGTACCTAAGATGGGTCCAAGTCAGCATCTCCATCTGCATAGAAGTGTCTGCTAACGGGCAAACAACAAAACATACCGGTGGTTCTTCTTGTATTCATCATATAGATGCCGTTGCCTCGCTCTTAAAATGATCTTATCATCAATGTCGGTCGTGTTCATCACAAGGCGAATTTTGAAGCCAAAGTAGTCGCGCAGAATGCGTCGAATGATGTCCGTCGTCACATAGTTGCGCGCATGGCCCAGGTGGGCGTCGTCGTAGACCGTGGGGCCGCAGGCATACCACGAGATGTGGCCTTGCTGTATAGGGACAAAGGGGACTTTCGACCGGGTCAACGAGTTGTAGATCTTCAACTGCGGCTGGTGGGTGGTGCCCGTTGGCATGGTCCAGGGAGGTTGAGCCATTCTGGTGGATTTGGTGCAGAGTCTCAGAGCTGATGAGCAGAAAGGACGCTTCAAAAAGCTCATGAGACTCTAGCCTTCTCTGACTGAGTCACCTCCCCTTGAGTTGGGGGCAGGCAAGGCAGTTAGTTTTTGAGTCACGCAGCGACGAATGGAATTTCGATTTGGACTGGAATGAGGCTCGCAAAATCACCGAATAATAATAAAAATACCCCGGAGCCACTTGTGCCACTTTCACCCACTCAAATATGAGGAGGGCACAAGCAAACAAGCTAGCTTGTTAGGACCTTTTTTGGACTGCGGGTCGGATACTATTGGCGCCTCATTCTATGAGCGATCATCATTTTCGTTCCTGAGAGAAATGTAAAGGTACCGAGTACAATCCGTGCATCCATACAATTTGCGCATCTCTGTCTCTACAAAATTGCAAGTTTGTCCGTGGTAAATGCCTGAGCAATGCAGAAACGCCTTCCAATAATCGTGTCACGACTTTTTCCAAACCACCCACGAAACACCTCTCTTACCGGCTCCCTTGTGCTGTGAGAACCATTTGTAGCCCATCCAGGCCATCTTGGATGCCAACCCCCATAGAAACACAGCAAGGAGAAAGCCCCACCAGCTCCCAGAACTTTCCCGTGGAGCGAGATCCGAGTATCCCAAGATCTGACCCTCGCGGCCCAAGGCGCCCACGCGGAATTGGGAATATTGAGATAGTTGAGATAGGTCAAAGCTTTCTTCAAAGAACTCCTTATCAATGAAATCGAGATCGGTCCATTCCTCTTCTTGCTCTCCTGTGCCACCTCCCTGCAACACCCATGCCACAACTTCAGTCGCACCATTCCAACTGACGTAGAGTATATCGTCCAAGATGGTGGCGGCTGGCGGCTGTCGAGGCTCACCGACCCAGTCCGCGGATCGGTAAGCCCTATACGAAACTGCAGTAGTGAAAACATGAAGCCATGGTGCACCGTAATGGACCTCGCACAGCAGAGTTCCGTCCAGAGAAAATTCGCTCAAAACCGGCGAGTGGCCAAAGCCCACAAACATGTGTTTGCTGTCAGGAAGGTATTGCGCCGACCCTTGAGAAGGTGTCCGTGTTTGATATTGAGAAATATAAGAATGCAGGAGGGTTACAGTCCGGTTGGTGATGTCCAGTTGGAGCATTAGCGCTCGACTGTAGGGACCGTCGACATGCAAGGGCCCTCCCTCCTTGTTGTCGAAAAGCGTCAGGATCCCTTCTTGTTCGTCCAACCATCGGGCATCGTGCTGCCACCTGAAGTTGAGCGCGTCGCCCCCTGAAAGATCCTGGAATTGATTACGTTGGCCGCCAAGGATCCACATAATCTCGCCAACTGGGCTGATGCAGGTGACCGTGTGGGTGTGGCGCGACGAGATGAGATAGTTGCCTTTGGAGTCTTTGTCGACGCTGTTGATGTGGAAGAAGTCGAAAGGAATACTTTTGATATATCCGCCAAATGGGTGAGTCATGAAAGTCTCATTGACCTGAAAATGCTCCGAGGCTTTCCACTCGAAGAGCAGCTCACCAGTCGCAATATCAACTTCCTGGAAACCACTGTCGGTGAGCCATCCGTTCTTCCATTTCCCCAATGAGGAGAGGTCAGCTGGGGTGATGTTGTAGAATGTTAACAGTGCTGTATTGTCTTTGGTGATCTTGAACTCGTGCAGGTCGCCTTCGATGTCGCTCCCTCGAGCAACTGCTGCAACTGTGTGTTTGGTCTCGTACGAGCTATCCAGCTAGTCCGTCATTAGTAGCGGACATATGATGGCAAACTCGCAAACTCACCATGTAATAGACGCCTTTGCCCATAGTCCCTCCCTTTTTACCGGACCAGAACGTCAAGTATTGCTGACCCATATAACTCTGCACCTTCAGGTTCGTCGTCACATCAAAATTCTGTCCTTTCCAAACAAGCTCACTGTTGCTGTCCAGGATGGCCGGACCAGGATTAGGCATTGAGCCTCCATTGTAATTGAGAAAGGTATATCCCTTATCACAATTTGGGTCATATTTGCTTATGCTCACTCGCGGCGAACTCAACCCATTAGAGATATATGTCTGCGATGGTGAACCACCATAAAAGCCGAGATCATACAAGGTCGGATTCAGCGTCGGAGACAACCAGATAAGGAGCGGAATTGCAGCATATGAAATGGTTAGGTAGAGGACAAAAGCACCAGCGACAACAACGACTGCCCAGAGGAGAAGCCTGATGGCCAAAGGCTTCATCTCGAGGCGCCGATGCCCCATCAGAGGCATTGGAGCAGGGCCAAGGCAGCATTGTAGCTATCCTTCACGCAAAAAGAGGCCAACACGTACTATATGTAAAAAAAATACAGCTGTTTCATGGTGGGCAAGGGGATAAAAGGACTAGCGACGATACCAAGCGACGGCTTGTCGTCTTTTGACCAACCACGAAGGCCGCCGCACTGTTGACGACATACCCAGTTCAGCATCGGCAAGGGTCGACCAAAGTGGCGGTTGATACATCGGCGGTTGGTTTTTGAGACTGGGCAAACAGTCCGCGTAATTTCGGGGTGTGATGGTGGGCATTCAAGCTTGGAAGAGGGGAGATTTTCCCTTGTCCCACGACGCTGGCCAGGTTAGCACCTTGAGCAGGTAACATGTGGATAAGAATGCCGCCGCAAAGGAGGCTTAGCAGGTGCAATGAAACGGGATCCTATCAAGACGGCATGAGACGCGACAAGAGTTAGGTGTGGGGATGAGTAGCGGATGCCAATGCTTGAGGTGATGCTCGTCTCTTCTTGTCTACCTGGATGGGCGTGCTTGGTGTCTTGATGGTGGCATGGGCGGGCATGAATGTCGTTGATGGCTTGCACTGCTCCATGTCACTGGTGGTATTGCGCCACCCGGACCTTGCAAGATGGAGGAAGCTAGAGAATGTCCTGGCCAAAGGCTGCGATCTCATCGTACCAAGTCGACTTGGACAAGCACACCCGGGTCATTTTCCGGTGGGTTGTGATTTGACTTCCCAGCCTCAGGATGGCTCGCAAAAACTGCCCAGAGGAGGATGGTTTGCGACGATATCGGCAGTATGAGGTATACAGGGTGGATATGCCGCTGGAGTAGCAGGAAATGGATGTGAAGTGCAGGTAAAGCGCAGCGCAGGAGAGAGAGAGGGAGAGAGGGAGAGAGGCAGAGAGAATGAGCAAGATGCCGTCCAAGCCGGATCAACCACCGCAGGTGCCACACACCAACCCACCCGGTAATTATCCGCCTCGCCGTCTATCCTTCCTGTCACTATGTACTACTTGGACGAGTAATTACTACCACCACCATCACTTTCAAGACTTGCCGTCTGCACCTTCACTCCTTCGTCAGAACCGAGCTGGGCCTCCGTGCCACAGTTCAAATAGACACTCGGAAGTCGGCCACGGGCTCCATCCCTCAGTCATTGATCGACACTCTAGCATGACAGCCGGTAGCCGCTATCAGGCCCGTACCCACGCTTGACAGGATCCGGACTGGTACAGCAGAACCAATGATGGGATACTCCGAAAACATCAAATACAAGTAGGTGAAGTTGATCAACACCAATCCCAACCCTCAATTCCCCAATTCCGGGTGATAATGACCAGGCACAGGACCAACAACCGAACACCACTATCGATCCTATCCACACCCACGTGCATCCATTGTTCTGCTTTGCTGCCACCCAGCCTACACTTTTGCCAAAGCCAAGACTCTAGCTCGAGATATTCGTCGTCACCAATAACGGCGATATCACAGGGTACCAAAGGCCGGCGAAAGAGTCTGTCCTTCTCAAAAGAGGAAAAGAGCAAGGTCCCGATAGACATCATCTCGGCACTATCACTCCGTACCATAGCCACATGCCCTCTTGCCATCTTTGCTCCAGCCCATTCTCGTCCTAGCTAGCACCGTCTGGTGCTGGGAACTCTCCTCATGACAACTCCAGCGTCATGTGCCCCTGCGAAAGCTTAGCAAAAGGGCCCTTGTCTGCATTCCTGGAGAACTGTTGTTGCCTCCTCCTAATCCCCAGATATGGCAAATAATGGCCTGGGTGAACGACAATGAAGACTATCACCACGAGGAACATCAGCGCCGAATCAAAGGCATAGAAGAACCACTCGTGATCGATGAGGTAATTGCTCGTCCCCAAGACGAATTCGATGAAGCGAAGCAGCGTCCGAATCAGAATCAATACATTGGCCACGTTGATCACCGTCAAGAACAACTGCCAGTTGCGCTCCTTCGGTAGTGACACATCTCGAAGCGTGGTCCTCAGCAGGACGTTGAGTCGCAGGGCGGCGAAGACGAAGAAGCCGAATGATGCCAACTGTAAACCCAGTCCGACCAGCACCACGTTTTTCCCGGTGTTTGCGTGCTCTTTCGTATTCGCTCCGGCGACCATGGCGCCTCCAATGACCTGCACAAAGAAGCTGAAGACATCCGATCCTACAAACACGGGGGTGATCCTGCGTGCAGGCACCCACAGATGGCGGGCTGTCTGAAAGCGTGGAGGGACCACCCATAACACGACCCGGCCGAACGCCATATAACAGGCTGCCGCCATCACGGCGGGCGCGACGAGAACTGGTTTGGTGGTTAGCGGAGAAAGAAGATGGTAAGAAATATAGGGGCCTCTAGTTCCTTGCCGGGTTGCTATGCTTTCTTTTGTTAGGGGGCGACCTACTCATAACAGTCTGGACGATGAAGACGCTCTTGCCATCGAGATTTTTGATGGAAATAGATCGAGTCAGATATCCAACAAACTCCACTGTGTCAAGGTCAGTACAGCCATGCAGCAGCAAATGGAGGGTACGACGGCAGACTCACTAGCCACCGCAAAGTTCATGGACCACCAAAACCAGGATCGGTGCCAGAACATCATGCCCAGATTTGTGATCGATGCAGCACCATACAGCACGAGAAAAATGACCGATGCGGCAAATGATGGAACATAGTTGTATCGGCCTTCCTTTGCGAAATCTTGAGGAGACTTGTTGCCGGACTCGCTCTCGTTGACGGCTCGAGAAGCAAGCTGGAGGAGGGTTGGGATAGATCTCCCCAAAGCGTCCATGATGCCACAGGGTTTGATATGAGGAACTAACAGTTTGCGAGCAGTGCAACAACTCAGTTGACTGGCGACAAACCTAAAGCGCCAACTTTCAGAAGGATGACCACAGACGGGCTGCAAGCTATAGGTAAGAAAATCGTCTTCGTGGATCTATGCTTCAATGTCTCATTATACTGGTCGACTATGCTCCAGCTTGGGACAATGAATCGGTGGCAACAAGGTGCATCATATTTGTGCCATTCCCGACGCAAAGCCTTTCGCAGGCCCATCTGGATCGGATCCTCGAAAAAGACTACGAGTGCCACCCCTGAGTGGGTTGTTTCAGGCACTAATAACATCGCACTTCTCTAAGCGAACAGGTCTCAGGCAGCAGGCAATCTCGAAACCCATTCCAAAATTGGCTGACAGTTCCACAGCTCGCAACTCTTTCCGCTTGAGGATTAGCCAGAGCCTGATGAAAGAAAGCCTAGAGGCTCGACTGGGGCGGTGCTTCTGGATGCAGACTTTATGGCAAACTCCGACGAGGTTCTCAGGGTCTGTGAATTCAAGCTTAGAAGGAGGACGTGCCTCTCAGGTGTTGCCATGGAGTAGATTTTCCTGGTCATCGATCCTCACGGGAACAAAGTCACGTGGCAGGCTGAATATCATGGTTACGCCTCGAGGCGGCCTTGCATACTGCCGAGATGGATCCATCAGCCAGGCTAACACGGCGATAGCCCCCTTAATAATGGATGTCCTGTATGTCCAGCGGGATATCAGATCCCACCAAGGCTGACTCTGGTGTGGCTTGTAGAAAAAGGGGCAAGGCATTACATTGCCCCGAGATGCATCACCCTTGGGGCATTCAACTCAGCCACTAATCATATGGCATTCTTTGCTGCCTCTGCGTTCACCTCCGACTCTTTGTCCTTAACACCGTTCTGGAGCTGACTTTTCGCTCTCAGTTTCGCTTCCTTCTTCAGTTGGCGCTGGCTCTTGGGCGCATGCGATACCATCTTGACATGCTTCGACCACTTCTCCTGTGCTAAGGCTTCGTCTTCTTCGGTCCAGAGCCTTGGTAATACGGCAAAGACGAGGTACGAAGTGTGGGTTTTCACTTCGGCCTCTGTCCTTTGCACGAGCCTGCCTCCGTTGAATGGTAGTTTTCCCACGTCGACTTGGTGTTGCTGGTCCTTGACCTTTCCAGACTTGTTGTCTTCATCCAAGCTCTTTCCTGTGTGGAAGTCCTTTAACCGTTGTTCTACCTCTCTGAGTCGAGAGACCGCCTCCTCAACATTCGCAGCAAAAGCGTTGGTGCCGCGCATGCCATTGTACTGCAAGCCGGTGTATTCTCGTCGAACGTCGATGCGCTTGTGCTGGACTTCGACCATCTCGATCTCGATCCAGTCATATTTCCGAAGCGCGGAGATGGTTTTTTGCGCCTGTTCGATACAAGGGCTAAATGTGCATATATGGACCGCCGAGTGAGGGTCGAGGACGCTTGGGGAACCTTGCTGCGACGACTCGCGCGTCAGATGTGGAAGAGCTTCCCACGGACAAGGCAGGTCCAGAAAGATGGCGTTTGCGTTGGGAGACGTCTTCTCGCCGGTGGGAGTGTCTTCAGAATCGTAGATCAGAAACCCATCTTTGTAGACATCTCGATGCAAGGCGTGCACCACGGTGTCTAGTCCGTGCTGGACCATCTCCGCCTTGACCTTTTCGTGCCGCTCGCAGTGAAATTCGTAGCTGAATACTCGTCCGAACCGGTCGATGTCCTCGTGTCCCTTGCCCTTGTCATCTGGCGCGGTTTCTCCAATTCCCTCTTTCTCTCCCTGCACTGCGTCGGGGACGTCACTGCTCCTCCCCTCCTCCTCGTCCGCACTTTGACGGGGACGGTGCTCGTCTTCGGGATACCCGCCAAAGACAGCCCTGGCGGCGGCGTGTGTGAAACTCCCGCTGCCACTGCCCGCCTCGATCAGCCTACTCCCCGGCCTCGCCCGGATCCGGTGCAAGATGTAGCTGTAGTCGGGCGTGTAGACGACCTGGGTCCGGTGGGGGAGACTGGTGGTCCAGTTCTCGGGCGTGGGCGGGAGGACGTGCACGAAGCCCGACTCGGCCACGACGGCCTCCTTGACTGCTGCTCCCTCGACCGCTCCCGTCCCTTCTCCTCTTTGCACCCCGTCTTGCGGAGGATTTACCTGCTCGCTTCCTCGGCCTCCCTCCTCTTCGTCCCCTACCACCACCACCTCCTCCGCCGCCGCCGTCTTTATTCTCCTGTCTTCATCTTCCAAGAGCGCTTCATCGGCCTTTCGTTTCTTCCCGCCGCCGCCGCCGGAGACGACATCCTTCCCTTTCTGTTGTTGCTGCTTCTGTTTCTGCTTCTGCTTGATCCGCCCCCTCGAGCCGGTATCGACTTTGCTGGCCCGGATCTGGCTCCCCCAGGGCACGCCGATGATGGTCGAGTGCGGAAACGAGCCGAACCGCGTGTTGGTCACCACGCCCTCGGCGTACCCGTCGTCGGCATCCCGGGTCACCTGTGTGGAGAGAACCACGGGCAGGGCCTGGTCGCGGCGCAGGTGCAGCGAGGCCAAGTCGTGCTCTTTGGCGACGCGCGTCGGGGTGAGGAATGTCGAGACCATGGCTAGGTTTCCCCCCTTTTCCCTCTTCACGGTCGTTTGACTCTCGTCGATTCTCCTTTCCCTGCTCTACCCTCTCACTCACTCTCTTTCCAACGCTTTGATCTTGTCGTGCAGCACTGAACAGATAACCAATATCTTCTAAATCCTCGATCTGGTGGTAAGACCAGGACCCCCGAAGGGCAAAGATGAAAGCTCGACCAACAAGACCCGAAGCACCTTGTTGTGTTGAATTTTCTCGTCTATGTTTTAAAACCCGTGGATATTCCCCCAACAGATGGATGAGATACCCTTGAAAACTCCTGTGATAGATTTCTAGGTTTGAGTAAGTATCAGTTTGGGGATTATTTTGTACAAGCTGAGAAAAGATTTGAAGGTGAAGAGGAATAAAAGTGAAGAAGAAAAGATATGGCACTCGAGTTGAGTGGGAGAGTTTGTTTGAAAATTGATATCACGTGTAGATAAGGATTGATGACTTTCTTATCTGGAGGTGCTGCCAGACCAACTGCACAGTTCCGAGTACTGGCGGTAAATCGACCTCGTACCTACTGTATGTCGTACAGCCTCGCAATGTCTCCATAGGTAGTTAGGTATGTTGTCCAAATTCATTGACATGTTCAAGCGCATATGCACGTCATCCCGCATAACCTAGTAATGTATATATGAAACTCGTGGCCCAGCATCTGACTTGTTGCACCATCAGGCTCATCCCTCCCTCCTTGCTCCGTCCCTCGCAATATACATCCATAGACACCCCGTTGCTTTCCCTACCCTCATTTATCCCATGGTTTCACCGCCGCCTCACACACAAGTCCAGCCTGCGGTAGCTCGCCGTGGGCGAAGAACCTTTTCAAGACCCCAAACGTGCACACGCTGGGGTTGGTCGTGCCCGCGCAATGTCCCGGCATATCCTGGGTGACAACGACGCTGCCTTCATGCCGCTGTGCCATTTTGAACGCATTCCGCACCGGCGTCACCGGGTCCGCTGTGTTGCCGATGAACAGTAGCGGGCTTCCACGAGGATCATAATCGGAGAGGTTCGACTGGAACGGACCTGTGAACCGGTTTTTGGGAGAAGGTCGGTTGGTTGGATCCCAGAGGATGCAATGTAGGGTGATTTCGGCCCAGATGGATCCTACCACGGGAGATTGTGATAGCAGTAGATCCAGGTACTTTGTAAAGTCCCGCTTTGATCGAAAAGTGATGTCGTCACCATCCCCACAGAGGATAGAGACGCTGGATTCCAGTTGCCACGGATAACTTGACGGGAGCGGTAGGTCCTTTCCGAAAAAGCCGTCTGGTGACAGAGCCATGTGAGGGACAGTTGGAAGCAGTGGTGCAAAGTCCCCAGATTCAGGGAACGGCCAGCTCTCCCACGCTGACATGGCTCTGGAGATGTCTTGCTCCATCAGAGCTTTGAGAACCAATGCCAAAAGCGGCCACAATTGGATGGGTTGATATAGGTGCATATGAATGATGGCCTTCATGTTGAAGTAAGTGAGGATGTAAGCATTGTCGTTTTGGACCAAGGGTAAGGGGTTGTTCTTGAGGCCATCGACAAAGTTCTCGACTTGCCATCGCATCTCTTCAGGCCCACTAATCGTGGGATTCGATAGAGCACACTTTGGCCCGGCCTCGAAACAATACTCGAAGAACTTGGTCCACGACTTCATGTTGTCCTGAAGATTAGTTGTCCATCCTGTAGCAATATAGTCATCTGCGTCGACCACCCCGTCCAAGACCATGCGGCCGATTCGGTGTGGAAACATAGAGGCGAAAGTGTTTCCCAAGAAGGTGCCATACGATAGACCCCAGTAGTTGAGAAGCGGAGGACCCTCGTTTGACTCTACCGAGTCAAGCGCCTGTTGATTACGAGCATGGCTGTCTTTCGACCTCAGCTCTCTCCGCAAATGTACGTCAACTTGATCAATGATTTCTATCATGTCGTGGGCCACCAGCGCCGTACTCACAAACTGACGAATACTTGAACCATCGGGAAATCTGCCTTTGCTCGTTTGTGCGCAAAGAAGGCCAAGGCTTTGGTCAATGGCCCATTTGACATCCAAAGCATTGGGGTTGGATTCGAGGCTTCCAGCGCCTACTCCCAGGAGATTGAGAATGTCTCTCACGGTGTCATCTTGAAAGCAGGCCAGACTGGGGGTTGAGAACTGTACACCACGGGGGTCGAAAGACAGGATTTCGAAATGCTTGTCACCATCCAGAATGTTTTGGATGCTCTTGCCGGACCAAAGCAGAATGCCCACGCCGGAACCGCTTGGGCCTCCAGGATTGATGACAACTGTGCCTCCAAAAGATTCATCCCCGACGTCCACCACAGCAGGCAACCTCGCGATCGCTAAAATGATCGAGCCAGAATTCGACGAGTTGGACCAGTCAAGGGGCACCTCTAACCTGGCGCATTCAAAGGAGTCATAACATTTGTGGTAGTGAAGCTCTCTTGAAGATGGGATCTCGGTCCAATTGAAAGCGTCACTGGTGTTGAGGCCAGCAGGATACGGGTGGGCGAAGGACGCAGAACCATGACCAATGAGCTCAATAAGGAGGCATCCAAATAGCGTGCTCGGCCGTGGTCTCATTTTGGTTCACCCTGCTCCCTGACGCACGCGGATCGATGATAGAAGTCCCCAGTGATGGATGGAGGGGAAGCAGGTATATACATCGAAGTTCGGATCGACGTAGGGAATGAGGGACGGGTCGCCTCAAGCGAGCCGAGCTCCCACTAACCAGCGATACAGCTAGGCAACAAGGATTAGCTTTGGTTCAGGGAGGGAGACAGACACCCCGCAAGGTGCGCCAATCCCTGCGCTCATCATTTGTGGCCAAACGGAGTGTGATGGCACATGAACCTCAATGCAGGAGTTGTCTGCAGAGTCAAGGAAAGAATGGTAACATGGACTGCGCATGGAAAAACGGGCCCTCAGACATTTATGGAGTCGTCTATTCCGGGTACCTATGTCCCTTTGTACCGAGTACTGAAAGCCCGCTAGGTGCCTGTGTACCTATGTACCGAGGCGCCCATGATCCGAAGCTCGGGGGCTTTGACGAGGTTCTTCAAGGGGGAAGGGTGATACCTGGTGAGCCCTAGCACTGCCTAAGTCGCCAAGCAATTAAGTAAGGCTTATCTGAACCTGTAGGCGCTTCTTTAACTATGGATTGCCTATGAAATGGGCGTCAAGCGGTTACATCATCATAGACACGCGTAAAGATATTTAACCCACCACGCGACACCATCACGCCCTCAACGTCGTCTCACGTTCACGGCATTGACAACCATTCAGTTCTGGAGACCACCAAGATACTGCGGGAAATGGAGTGATCAAGCCTTCAACCGCAGGCGCGGGCGCTGATGCTCTACAACTGAACTCGCTGTCCCATGTCTTCGTCGCAGCCCTTTGTGCCCTCATCGCCCCTCACCCGCGCCGGTGCCAGGAAGAAGTCGCAGTTCACGTACAAGCACCTCCATCTCCTCAGCCAATCGTCCACGTCTTGTCCCTTGAGGTGCATCGCACTGATCGACTACGATGCCTTCTATGCGCAGTGTGAGATGGTGAGACTGGGCGTGGTCGAGACCCAACCACTGGCCGTCCAACAGTGGCAAGGTCTCATCGCCATCAACTATCCCGCCCGGGAATTCGGCTTGAACAGACACGTCACCGTCGCCGAGGCAAAATCAAAGTGTCCGCAGATTGTGATCCAGCACGTTGCGACATGGCGTGAAGGCGACGACAAGTGGGCGTACCGGGACGATGCTGCAAAGCACATCCAGACGGACAAGGTGTCGCTAGACCCGTATCGTCTGGAGTCGAGGAAGAGTTTGGCCCTCGTCAAGGAGATCCTCCCCCCGCCGCCGATACAGCGCGTCGAGAAAGCCAGCATTGACGAGGTCTTTCTCGACCTATCGGCTCAAATCCACCAGATCTTGCTGGAAAGGTATCCGGAACTTCAGTACGTGCCCTATGACGATCCGACAGAGAACTTGCCCCTGCCACCCTCAACGGCTCTGAATTGGGAGGCAGATGCTCTGGTGGACCTCGATTCCACAGAGACGGAAGACGACGACCCTGATTGGGACGATGTGGTCATGAACATTGGCTCTGAGATCGTCCGGGGTGTGCGGAAGACGATTCGCGAGAAGCTGAAGTACACCTGCTCAGCCGGTATTGCGCGTAACAAGATGATGGCCAAGCTTGGAGCTGGATATAAAAAGCCCAATCAGCAAACTATTGTCCGCAATCGGGCGGTCCAGCACTTCTTGTCCGGGTTCAAATTTACAAAGATACGCAATCTGGGGGGCAAACTCGGGGACCATATTGTCGACACCTTCAACACGGACGATGTCACGGACCTCCTCACGATTCCCCTCGAACAACTCAAGGCCAAGTTGGGCGACGACACGGGAACGTGGCTTTATGGAACGATTCGTGGTGAGGACAACAGCGAAGTCAGTTCGCGGACGCAGATCAAATCAATGCTATCTGCTAAATCTTTCAGACCGTCTATCAACACAACGGAGCAGGCTAATAAATGGCTAAGGATTTTTGTAGCAGACATCTATGCTCGCTTGGTCGAGGAAGGCGTGCTCGAGCACAAGAGAAGACCCAAGACCATCACCCTACACCACCGGCAAGGCGGACAGACCAGGTCAAAACAACTACCGATACCAGGAGGCAAGAAGATCGACGAGATGATGCTGTTTGAACTTGCCAAAACCTTGCTTGGACAAGTCATTGTGGACGGGAGAGCCTGGCCGTGCGCAAATCTATCGCTTAGTGTGGGTGGCTTCGAAGAAGGTGTGTCGGGTAATAAAGGCATCGACACGTTCCTGCTGAAGGGAGATGAAGCCAGGGTTGCAATGGATGTCCCACCACGAAGCAACACCGCAACACCGGATGTCGATGAAGGCCGGCCTGAGAAGCGGCGAAGATTGAACGAAGGTCGGCCTAGCATTGCCCGCTTCTTTTCCAAGGGCGAGAGCACCGAGGAAGGCGAAGACGGGCCCGAAGCTGGCCCTCAGGAACGGGATTCCAGCGGACAAGCTGGTAGTGAAGGGATGCCACACCGAGAAAACAGCCATCCTCCACCTCAATTGCACCAACAAAACATCGCCACCTACTTCTGTCAGACGTGCCAGAAGTCAATCAATGAAACCGACCGAGGCGAGCATGAAGACTGGCATTTCGCCAGAGAACTTCAAGCCCAAGACGCGCCCTCTGTGACGGGCCCGACGAATAGTCGCCCTCCTGGTCAGACCAACGCCAAATCGAAGCGTGGTGGTGCGAGTAATTCTCGAGGGCGAGGCTCAAAGGTCGAGAAAGGTCAGAGTCGCCTTGCTTTTGGATAGCTTGTAGTGGCTTTTGGATAAATGAACCACCGCCAGGGAGGCGTTGGACTGATTCAAATGGTCTGATCAGCATACTCCTTGTTGAACGCCCGTCCGATAACCATCCTCCTGATCTCGCTGGTGCCAGCCCCGATCTCGTATAGTTTTGCGTCCCTTAACAACCTCCCAGCAGGGATTTCGTTGACGTAGCCATTGCCGCCCATCAATTGGATGGCGTCCAACCCGCACTCACTCGCCCTCTCGGCAGCGTAGAGAATTGCACCGGCACAGTCCTGCGTGCGGATGTCGCCCTCTTCGTCGACCTTCTTTGCCGTGTTGTAGGTATACGCCCGCGCGGCCTGGAGCTTGGTATACATGTCGGCCAGTTTCCCCTGGACCAGCTGGTTGTGCGCGATCGGGGTGTCGAACTGCTTCCTCTGGTGGGTGTAGGGGAGGACCAGGTCCAGACAGGCCTGCATGATGCCCAGCGGGCCCGCGCTGAGGACCAGTCTCTCGAGGTCCAAGCCTTCCATCAGCACCCTGACGCCCCTGTTGACTTCCCCCAGGACATTCTCCTTGGGCACGAAGACGTTATCGAACACAAGTTCGCCCGTGTTGGAGCCGCGCATGCCCAGCTTGTCCAGCTTGCGCGCGACCGAGAAGCCCTCGAACGTCTTTTCCACGATGAATGCCGTGATGCCCTTGCTCTTCTTCGCGGGCTCCGTCTTGGCGTACACGACGATGTAGTCGGCCTCGGGCCCGTTGGTGATCCACATCTTTGTGCCGTTGAGACGGTAGCCGCCGTCGACGGCCTTCGCCGTGGTCTTCATGCTCACGACGTCGCTGCCCGCCGAGTGCTCCGACATGGCCAGCGCGCCCACCTTGTCCCCGCTGATCAGGCCGGGCAGGACCCGTTCTTTCTGCTCCTTGGTCCCGTTCAGTGAGAGCTGGTTCACGCACAGCTGCGAGTGCGCCGCGTAGCTCAGCCCGATCGACCCGGACGCCCGCGAGATCTCCTCCATGATCACGCTGTGTGCTTGGTATCCCATGCCCAGGCCGCCATACTCTTCGTCAGCCGTCGGGCCCAGGAAGCCCGCCTCGCCCAGCTTCTTCCACATGGAGTGCGGGAAGTCATTCTCTCGGTCCGTCCGTGCGGCCACTTCCTCGGGGATCTCGCGGCGGGTGAATTCTTGGACGCGTTCGCGCAGCTCGTACAGGTCTTCGGTGGTGGGAGGCGTGAAGTTGGCGGGATGTTTCGATGTCGTCGACGCCGCTCGTAGGACAACTCTTGAAAGCACTGGAAGGGACGTGGTACGGGAAATACGAACGCCCGAGCGAGCCAGTCTTGGGATCAAAGCGGACGGCATGGCGGTCGATGCTTGAATTCTATACAGACTGAGAAGAAGTATCCTTCACAGGATCTGGCTGATGCTGTGGAATGATGGGTGTTTGGTCAAGAAGAGACGAGCGAGGTCAGACTGAATAAAAGCCATTGCTCCGCGTGTTGGCAAAGCCGCGTCTAACCGCCGTTGCCGAGGGAGGCTTCAATCAACTGCGGGGACTGTTACACTACTACAGCAGTGTACACACGCACGCACAAATAATGTCACAGGATTCTCTGCAAATGTCTTCGTTGAGCTAAGTGCACTTGGTGTTCCTCGTACTTCTCCAGTTGCTCCTAGACAGCGAGATTCAGCCTTTGAGCGAATCATGTTTGTGTTCAGACCCCATCCAGCACATATTCACGGGCAATTCCATTAGAGAACCACATGTAGCCCTCAACTTTGGAATGACATGCTCAGCCTCCATCACTTTTCAGCGAAAATTCCAGCTAATTCTTCTTCAACTCCCCTGGTCGCCCGCACAGATGCCAGTGCAGATAATGTGACTTGATTTCAGTGGCACTTGTGAAGTGTTACAAAACCCCAACCTCAAGCCACCTGAGGCTACTTCATTGAGCATCCGATGGATCTTGTGGATATTCGTAGAGGCGCAAACGCTGGAGGATTGAGCGATGATTACGAGCATCTGCACTTAAATTCTGTACGCTGGTGGCTGATTGTTCCGACCAGCAAATACGGGAGGACCAGCGGAGCTGACTGATTGTCGCTGCCCTAGAAGAAAGACATCACTAGAACGCCCGACACGTCAGCGAGGACATAGACTAGAGAGAGAAGTTCTTTGCTCACTTGCGCTGACATGGCATTCCGCAGTGGGCGCATGCATGTACAGGAGACGAAACTTTCTCAATGACCGCTCTTCTGTAGTGATCACCATCCGGTCTGATGACTTCACCTGCAGGGCCTTTGCTGATGACGCCGATGAACTTCCTGAGACTTGGTTAAGGAGAGCAGCCCAGGGTGTAGTGCGAAAAATTGGTTACCATTCGTTGGTTGTTGACATGAGGGCTATGATTCTGGAGACCTCGTCAATCACTCCGGGTCTGCAATGAGCTGGCCGGACAAATTGATATTCGTTGATGTTGTCATGAAATGGAAGTCCAGGGGGATTTGTGATGCGCCAGAATTGCTTGCTGCTGTCCTTGGTATGGTAGGAGTCGAGCAAGAGAAGTCTGCGTTCAGCCATCTTTCCTTTCCCTGGAGTTCGAATGCTATGAGGTGAGTGGAATCGATTGAAACAGAGGGCACAGTCAGTAGTGAAGCGCTTGAAGGAAGATCAAAGACCAGCGTGCGAGTTTGCAGTGGTTAAAGAAAAGGCAGGTGAGCGCGCGACAACATTAGGAGCCTGCAATATCCTCATCTGTTCATTCGCGCACCGGCGATTGCAATGTGCATAAAGAAGCCAGATTAGCTGTGGAGTTGTGCTGGCAATAGATGCGAACTTCGTCCGGCATCGTTGTGCTCCTACATCAGTGTTTGCACCATGTCTTGCTTCCCTTTGAGCGTCTCTGCATCAACGTCCACCGTCCTGAAGAAGTCTTCCTGATGGACAAGGAGATACAGAGTCAAGTGTGAGCGGTGGTATGATGAGACTGTAAGGCTGCGCACGGCTATGGTGATCGGCCATGGCCTGCCAATCGGTCGCCGATCGATGGGACAAGAGGTGAAGGTGCAAGATGCAGAAATCCCATCGTCAGCCGCAGTCAATGTCGGCAATGTGGCGATGCTCGGAAAAACTGCCCGGTTTGAGAGTTTTCCCGATTCCGACTCACTGTCTCTCCTGCGGTCCCTGCGATCATCCCAAGATTCACACGTCGTCTCAGCTTCTGTCTTCTGACTCTTCTACACAACAAACAACCGGCAGGAATTCCTGTCTGCAGCTTTGTTCCTGGTTTGCTTTTCATCAACGATGTCATGGGCAATGTATCTCTCGGTGCCACCAAGTGTTGACCGCTTCTCCTCCGTCACTTTCTCACCAACCACAGCGAGACGGACCCCACGCCCCCATGCAGCGAGCCAATCGAACAACAAGATAGCGTCATTGTACATATCAAAATGCCATATCTTCACAAGTCTTCATCGTACCAGCCGAGCCTCTTCGAGCTAAGCATGTGCGTTTTCTGCAGCCTCCCGCTGTGGAACATCACACTAGCAACTGCAAAATATGCGATAACATGGTCAAACAACATTGCCACTCATTATTGTCCATAATTTAGATCTTTCTCAGTACCCACAACACTCCCTTTGGCCACTCACATGGCGTCGTCCACTTGATGATGGCGTCAACATACATCTGTCGCGTCTCTACAGCCAACCCTTGCATGCCGTGCTGAGGGTGCCAAGGTCGTGCCGGTCACCAGGTTACTGAAACAGAGACTCCCACTGGATGACATCTATATTCAGGTCCTTACGGTGAGAGTTGGTGTCTCTGCAGCCATCAGCGCCTCCTACGTATACCTTCTTCTGAGTATCATGAAAGCTTCTTAGTTAGGCAGATATAAAGGAGACTATTGACACCTTTAGACCACCTCTCTCCCCTATTAACTCGTCCAAGTGTGCAAACCCATCCAATCTCAAAATCGAATAATCATGGCACCCATTGCTATCACCCCTCCACCAGTCGAACCCAAGCTGGGGCGACCTGGTATGCATCGCGCCAACACTGCCAACATGGGCACGAAGCGAAAGATCATCTGCTTCTCAGGTATGCCTGTCCGTATTAAAGAACTCGGCTCCGTCTAACAACCCATGTCAGACTTTGACGGCACCATTTTCATACAAGATACCGGTCATACTCTTTTTGATAACTTTGGTTGCGGTCCAGAAAAAAGGAAGATCTTGGCGCAGCAGCTAGAGTCTGGAGAACGCAGCTTTCGCGAGGTCTCAGATGAGCTCTATGCCTCACTGGATGTTCCATTCGAGGACGGCTTCGAGGTCATGAAAACCGCCCTGGACATTGACCCAGACTTTGAAACCTTCCACGAGTTCTGCGTCAACAACAACATTCCTTTCAATGTCATCTCGGCCGGACTCAAGCCTGTCTTACGCAAAGTCCTTGACCACTTCATCGGCGAGCAAATGAGCAAACACATTGAAATTGTGGCCAACGATGCCAAAATTGCCCACGATGGCAGCAAATGGGAAGCTGTGTGGAGACATGACACCGATCTCGGTCACGACAAAGCCCGATCAATAAACGAGTATCGGGCAGCCGCACAGCTGGAGAGCGACAACGGCACAGTACCAATGATTGTTTTTATTGGTGACGGCGTCTCGGATTTACCAGCAGCCCGTGAAGCTGACGTACTATTTGCTCGCCGAGGATTGAAGTTGGAGGAGTATTGCAATGAGCACGGCCTCTCGTACATTCCCTTCGACACATTTGCCGACATTCAGAGGGAAGTCATCAAGATTGCCAAAATTGATGACGAAAAGACACACGGCAAAGGTCTGCCCACCAACTTCAACCCTCGTGCCAATATGTGGAGAAGGGTTAGTAGCCGAGCCGCTGTGCCTGTGTTCGCTGCTCTGAGTCCGCGCAAAGAAGAGAAGGCTTTCTTGTGGCCGGAGACTTTTACTCAGCCAGCTACAGTGCCGAACAAGGAGGAAGCGAAGGCCGCTGTCGCAGCTCCAGTCGCATAGACGGCCGGTTTGTCAGGTCAGGTCCGATCTTGGGCTGGTAGTTTTTCGATTTTTTCTGGTTTATCGAATTCTAGCGGGCGGCGATGGTTGATTGTGTTTTGAGACAGGACCCAGCGAGAAAGAAATAGAAATAGATCTGCATAGACAGATTAGTATTCTAGACAACATAGGGATCGATTGAAAGAAACCTCTACTGGAAGAAATGTGACAATGAATAGTAAATATCTTCCACAACAGAACTCATGCTTCTCTCGGTGAGTTCTTTGAGACCAGCAAACCAGCCAATGACTGCGATGAAATACTTTTCTCCGATATAAATAAATTTTGGATATATACATATGCACACGTCCGATACTCCAACCCTCCAACTCTGTATCGGCTCGATTAAACAATATAGCACTACCAATGCCACACGGTGGTGATAGTGGTGGTGATGTTGCCGGTGCTCCATCACCCGCGCAATACCCGTCCCTCCCCGCAACCTTTGCGGCCAAAAAGTCGCGGATCCTCGCAGACCTCGACCAACCCGAGGGTGCGTACTCGGACAATTCGCCCAAGGGTACGGTGGACGCGCAGATCCGCGACCTGATCGACGAGATCAATCGGTACGAGGGGCTCGTGACGACGAGTAGTTGCGCGGGCAGGGTTGCCGTGTTTGTCGAGGGGCCAAGGGTCAAAGGGCGTGGCGATGACCGCCAAGATGGCGGGGGTGATGAGGACGAGGTAGAGACGTGGGCGGGGCAGGATGGGCAGCGAGGCGGAGGACGTGAGGCAGCACGAGAAGAAGGGGGAGGAGGTGGAGAAAGTCTGAGCGTGGAGGTAAGCGGTAGGGTAGGAAGGGAGAAGACAATGACGACCTCAACGTCTCCAGGAGGCAAAGGCGGAGGACGCTGGCTTTATGTCTCGCATGATCCTATTCCTATCCCTGTCCCTCCTATACGGATCGCCAATGCCACTGCCACCGCAACCACCCCTGCCGACGTCGTTCGGAGCACGGATGAAGCAGCGAACCCAGCAGCAACCGAGCCGAAGCAAGAATACTTTTCCAACCTCTTCCACCTGGGTAGCCCATCACGCTCATCGCCGTCTTCTTTCCCAGCATCATCTCCCCCTCTGGCATCTCGACCAACACCATCCCTGACCCTATCCCTCCTGTCCCCCACGGACCAACCGCCCCAGCTGATCCACCTGACATTCTCGCCGCTGATCCTGCACGTCCACTGCGCGACGCTCCGGCATGCCCGCCATGTGCTGGCGGCGGCGGTGAACGCGGGGTTCCGGGAGAGCGGGGTGCAGAGTCTGCGCGCGCTGGACGACGCCGAACACGGCGTCATGGTTGCCGTGAGGACGGCCGGGCTGGCCTTTGAGACAGTCGTGGGTGTTGTTACCCGAGCACTTCGGGAGGAGACAATCACCTCTCCTGCGGGCGGTGGGCGGGAAAGGGAAAGTCAGAGCGAGGTGGTGATGCACAGGGTCGTGAGTGAGGAGTACCTCGCCCTGTGCGCCGCGGTGGTCAACGAGCGGTTCGCGTGGAATGTCGAGCGTAGGGAACGCTTTCGACGCGAGCTGAAGAGGACGATGGGCAGGGAGGGATCGAGTCCCGATGCAACCCGTGAGAATAAGACCCGACCTGAGTGGGAAGGCAAGGAACAGCGCAGGAGGCGGAAGAGACAAGAAGGGCTCGAGAAGCAGAGGATCAAGAACGAAAAGGACACGACGAACATCACGGCAAGGTATCGAAACGAGGTCGAGGTGGAGGAGCTGGATCAGGATCTCTCAATGCTGGACCTTGATTGAAAAAAGCACTTTCTACTACCTCTTCTTCCGGCTCTTGGACTGTACCACATGGGCACATGTCTACAGCTGAGCCTTTCGGCCTCTAGCAAGGAATGGCCTCCTCTTCACTTCCCCCCGAATCAATACTTCACCATCCATCCTCACAATCCCGAAATCCGCCAATCCGGCAGCCTCGAAGTAGCTCCTCAATTCCTCCTCGCTGAACCCGGCATGGGCCACCGTGTGCATGACACTCTGCTTCGTGGCATCCGAGCTCTCCTCCATGGCGTGGGTGACGAAGTCCAGAATTAAAAAGACCCCTCCTGGCCGCAACCGTTCAACGAGCCGTTTTGTGGCAAGTTGGATGTCTTGGAAGTGGTGATATCCCAGGCCTACAGCCACGAGGTCGAAATCGAAGAATTCAGGCGAAGCTAGGTGCGAAGGGCAAGGGTCCTTCGGGTCAAGAAGATTGCCGACCACGGCGTGGGCTGTCAAGTTTTCGTCGAGCCTGTCGTCCAGCCCGGCCGAACCATCCACCAATGATGAGGTATTGCCAGTGTTTGTGGAGTCAGGATTGAAACGCATGTTGTAAGCCTTCACCATGTTTTCACTCAGATCGATGCCAACGTATTCCGTGGCACGCGCGGCGAGAGCATGTGTGATGGTTCCCGGTCCACATGCATAGTCCAAAACGCGTACCTGTCGTTTAGCGGAGGACGGTGATTGGGTCTCGAACGTCGCTGAAGGGTCGATGAAGTCCACGCCGATCCAATTCACGTGCTGGTGGATGAATGCGGTCACCTTGTTGAGAAGATCTCGTTGCCACTCCTCCGAGGTGTATCGCGAGGCGAAGTTACTGTTGAGCGATCTTGTTAGCCGTATCTCTGTGGTCCGACATATCCCGCAATACAACGTATATCATCTAGTGATGAAGTGGTGCAGGATAGAGAGGCAGTCACATTGACGTACTTCCAATGTGCGCGATTTGCTTCGGTGAACGCCTCATTGTCAGGACGAAGACTTTCATCTCCATCAGGAGCATCGTGATGGTGATGGTGATGATGGTCTGAGGTTTCAGCCATTGTAACGATGAGTTCAACTTGTAAAAATTTCCTCTACCGGGAATATAGATTGGTAGAGCACTTGACTTCAGACGACGCAGCGCACCCACGATGTAATTATACCCCTTCAGTTGTCCAGAAAATGTATCCGAAGGTGGAACAAAGCACATAAGGCTGAAGCAGAGATGGGCCGGAGAGTTTCCCTGATCACGGAGACATATCTGCGTGATGCCGTGGGTACGTACTTGGTAGCGCCACGGACTGTCCGAGATCGTGAGAAGAGGGCAAGATGCCGACAGGAAGCGCAAACCCTGAGATACTGACGTCCTCAAGCCCTGACATGTGACGGACAATCACAATAGTAGAAAGATTGCTGGTACCAAGACAGAAAGATAGAGGGGAGCAATCGCAGTCAAGATAATTAGTGTCCAGGTGGTGCAGGCATTGAACTTTTGATGACGCAATAGTCGACACGCTTTCTCCAAGCCAACGCGTTCCGCGGCGAGCTTTAAGTGGTGAGGCGGTGGCAGGCATCAACGACGATCAAAGGTCTGTCAACAGCTCAAGTACCTTGGGAGATCAATAACGGATATTGTCTTGGATATTTGCGCTGCCACATCAGAATATCCCTCCGTTGCTGGATTTGTATGGTCTTCACGAGTCCCCCCTAGCAATGCCAGCTCGAAAATCGGCAGCTTCGAAAAGGGCGACCCCTGCCTCCAAAAAATCCCACAAACGCCAATTGTCACAAGTCACACCCTCGATCTCGCCGGGAAGCAGGGTATCGAAGAGATTGAAGGAGTCTGCCGAGAAGGATCAACGTCGCGGCAAGACCACCCCCACGAAGAGCAAGTACTTTCAAGAGCCCGACAGCGAGGATGAGGATGTCGATATCAAGGAGGACGAGGGCGAAGAGTCGGGATATGAAGACCAAGAGGCATCGGAAACAGATCAACCCTCGACCGAGGAGCCTGACACAGAAGACGATTACGAGTCTGACGAGGAGCACAAAAGGAGAAAGCCGAAAAAGAAGACCGTCAAGTCTGGGGGTGGGATCACTGGCGGCATCCAGGCTGTGGCTAATGCCGTGCTAGAAAAAGGTAAAGAGCTCTGGAGACCTGGGGTGAAGACGGGTCTGGGTCCAGGCAAGCAGGTCTTCATTGAGAAACCGAAACCCAGGGGTGATGGGGGGATCAAGTATGCTGCTGAGAAGATCCATCCGAATACTATGGCTTTCTTGAAAGATTTGAAGGAGAACAATGACAGAGAATGGCTGAAGAGTAGGTCGTGTGCTCCCTTGGGTGATTCATGCATGTTTCTGGCACTTTACCAAGTGTTTGGACCATATTTCACGTCGCCAATACTGATAGTGGTTGGGGACAGTGCACGATGTTGACTATAGGGCCTCCTGGAAAGACTGGGAAGGATTTGTAGAAGCATTGACCGAGAGACTTACGGAGATTGACGAAACAATCCCAGAGTTACCGCCAAAGGATGTGGTATGTGCGAGAGAAACCACTTTGCTACGACTCTCGCTAATCTACCTGATATCAGGTCTTCAGGATCTACCGCGACATTCGATTCTCTTCTGACCCAACTCCTTACAAAGTATGTTCCCCTCCGGGCTGCTTGTCGAGGTTGAAATGCATGTTACTCACATCTCAAAGCCTCATTTCTCTGCAGCATGGTAAAAGCCCTGAGTTCCCTCGTTGATATCCTGTACTAACTGCCGCTAGGTCTCGGACTGGTCGTAAAGGACCTTATGCGTGTTATTATGTGCATATTGAGCCTGGAGGCAAAAGTATCGTTGGTATGACATTCATCCATCGTCAAGTTCCCCGCTAAGAATTGAACGTGTCAGGTTCTGGGTTGTGGATGCCGGAGTCCCAGCCTTTGGCCCTCCTGAGAGCGAACATCGATCGCAAGCCGGAGAAACTGAGAAGAGTCCTCACAGAGCCTCAGTTGCGGAAGCAGATCTTGGGCGTCGCGTCGAACGACGAGAAGAAGGCGGTCAAGGCATTTGCTGATCAGAACAAGGAAAATGCGCTGAAAACGAAACCGAAGGTATGTGTTTCATCCTCTCTTTTTGTTTAAAAAAAAACTCTCTGCCTGCGCACACGGACGAGGGGAGGACAACGACTCGTGAAGACATGTTCTCGCTGCTCCCAAGTTAGCCACATCAGAATCTGGCAACTAAAGGAACTTGCCAGCAAAGCCCTCTAGGATGAAAGGCCAGACGTGCAAAGAGGACAAAATTGTAGAGCGGAGGCACCTGCTTGCGTGACTGTCCCTCAACTCAACGGCATAATTTGCTTGATGCGTCTGCACCAGACCTGAAAACCCCTGAAGCCCCCGGCTCGGTCTCTCGACTGCAAGCAGCTAGGACCTCAGGGAGGTGACATGCAGCCATCAGGTCTCTCGCGCAGCAGAGGCCATTGATGCATGTGCGCACAGACTTGACAAATGAACACGCGCTGCAGACACAATTGGAGCCCAAAAGGACTAAGACTGGGAGCTGCCGGGCTTTGGAGCGAAAGACCTACAACTGCCCCTCCTGGAAGCCCATATTCTCCGGGGCCTCCCCTGTTGGCGGCAGCCGGCGCAGTTCTCATCACCACTGCAGCATTCCTCGTTGCCCAAGGAGTCCCTCACAAACAGAATGCACTTGAGTATCGAGTACAGGTCGTCTGTACTGAACATTGCATGATCTAGACTGGGCTGACGCTTTGTTTTGACAGGGCTACGACGCAGACAACCCAAATATCGACCTCCTTCGGCTGCGCTGTTTCACTCTTGGAAAGAGAGTCCCCGACGAAAAGGTGGTCGGGGAGCAGGGACTTCAGACCATTCTCGAGTTAATTCGTCCCATGGTTCCCTTTGTGAGTCCACCTCTTTGCCTCCCATTCGTGCCCATTCGTGCGCATTGTGAGCCTGGACCACCTGCCGGGTGCTACCACAAAGAATTCTGATAAGACTGGCACTGCGACTGGACAAAGCTTATGCGTAGACTTTGCAATTGTTTTGGGTGTCCAATCATCACGTCCACCTCGAAACATCAGCGAGCATGGCGAGATGACCGGGCCGCCGTGAGCCCAGGCGGTACCCAGGTGGACTTGAGTTGCTCCCCACCTGGGCCGTTAGATACAAACTCTGACCAGAAACACTGCTGCGAAGACCCTTTACTGACTTCCCGCACAATAGGTCACATACCTCAATAGTGTCGTGATGCCAGACGATGACGAATCTAGTAGCGATGAGGCAACTGGCTGAGAAGACAAGTCAGCAAGGGGAGTTCTGGGACGAGTTGTTGCCACAGTCTTTCAAACAAAGGTTTGGTGGCGGTAAGAACCTGGTACTCCGGACTTTGCCTGGTTCACAATGTTGATGTATGGAGAGACCTCTGGAGATCTTGGACGCCCTGTGGCATCAATTCAATTTTTCTTTGTTCCATCCGTGGTTCCTTTATGACATCCCACATCTCTTTCTCCCTCTTTAATAGAGAGCACCACGTACACCAACGTGACCAGCATTCGAAGCCAATGGACCAATAGTGTCGTGGGCAACTATCATTGGATAGTCTGGGTCTCAAATGCGAGTCCAGTTTGTGGTTGCATCTGGAGTGCTGTCACTTCGGATCAATAGTGACACTGTCCCAGCAAAAGCCCATGAATGACAGCTTGCCTCGTACGAGGCACATTGGCGCAAAACGTGGTGGTGGCGGTCACTGTGACGTGGCAAGGGAGTGACTGGTGACTTAGTCTTCGAGTATATTATTTCGATGCTTTCCGTATCGGACATGGTGCCATTTGTTCTGTCTCAGGTGTTCCAAGTTCAGCTGAGCGGTCCACTTTTTCACCTGTGGGAACAGCCAGTCATGGTTCGACGGAGCGGGGACTGGTGACGGGGAGGCGTTGGGCCAGATCAACGACAAGAAGAGAAATTATTGCAGGCTCCCCTGGGCACAAAACTGAGTGTGGGTGCGTGGAAAAGAACCTCGTACTCGGTACTTTGGAGGTACTGAGTAATTTTCTGACCATCACAAGGCGAAATGGCGGTGGGCTATTCCAGGGGTGGACCAGGAGTGCCAGTAGCAGGCGACCGACTCCATCTCTTTTTTGCGCCGGTGTCAAAGAGCCGAGCCGCTGCGTCAAGCCAAAGTCATGTGAGAAGGGTCTTTGAGCTTCCAAATGTCAGTCTGTCAGACCGAACACGAGACCATTCAAACGGATACCAGACGCGTACAAGACGGATACACAACGTACCAAGAATACCATGAGCCAGCAAACCTTCCAGCCTCTCGATCTGCCTCCCACTGTTACTCGGTCCGTAACTACTGTCAACGAGATCAATATTGGTGACTTTCTCGGATGAAGTAACAGGATGTCGGTATCCTGACTCTTTCAGTAGTCTCCCCTCATACTGGTGTTCAAAGCTTACGTATTGATTGCAGCAAGGCGATTAAACAACCTCTACTGCTTGCCACCTCTCTCCGCGAGACTCCGTGTGCGAAAGGATCAAGGGCAAAAAAAAAGGACATGAATGACACCACTAAAAGGGCAAGAGAAGGAAACGAAAGCGAAATTGACCGTGCCAGGCCGGGGTGGTTGACTCTTTACGTGGAACGATGATGGTTTGAGTGTCTGGGGGTCCTCGTCCGTCGTGGCTCGATGGGTCAGGCGGGCACACGCCCTGCGCCGGTCGCAATCTGGTTTGTCTACAATGTTTGCACGATGGTGAGGGTCTATGGCGGCCCGTCTGCAAATGCGTTCCGATTGCTCGGCTACAGCCAGTTTCGCTCTACCCTAGCAGGGTGCGCCTCTCCCTGCGTCCTCCGTTCGCTTCCAGCACGTCGGTTACACCACCGAGGGAGCGGCCGCAGTTCTTGCAGGACGATCTATCGACTTTGGGAGCTGAAAATGTGCGAAGCCGTGAGCAAGCTGGTCTGCGGGATCCATCCCCGTTGATTGACCAATTCCCAACCGCACGCCAGAAACCACTTTCTTATTGAGTTCTTTCCCCTT